TAATATATAAGGTATATAATTAAAGTAAGAATTTAAAAGAGATATATTTAAAGTCTTATACCTTCGAATAATATAAATGCCTATTAATAAGCTTATAAAGGCACTTCCGCGGTAATAATTTAAGTACTTTAAAGCTTTATTTAATATAATTATAATTATAAAAGAAAGTAATAAAGACATAATATAATATATTTTATTATTTACCTAGGCAAATTAATTATATACCATAATATATAAGAATAAAATATATAATTACTTAATAAAAAATAATAAAAAGTATATAAATAATACCTTTAACCTACTTTTTCTAATTTTTATCCTCTTTATCTTTATCTTTTTTATTTTTTTTCTTTTTTTTTACTCTTATTATTTAACTTATTAAGGCTACTAAGGCCTAGATTATATAAAGTCTTATCCTCTTTAATAAAAAGCTTAAAATAATCCCTTAATAGCTTTAATTAAAACTTAATAATAATATAAACGCGCTAAAATAATTATTTAATTAATTAATAATAAAATAATATATAAATAAAATATTAAAAATACTTATTAATAATATATTATTATCTGTAGCCTTTATTAAGGCCTAGATATTAGGCTAAATAAAAAAAAAGCTATATATATTTTATTAATAATATTTTAATATTTATAAATTAAGGGATAAAGCTTATATAAGGTAATAATTATAATTACTTATAAAATAAGCTATATAATAATAGGCATAGGTAATAATACTTAAGTATTAAGAGAAGTTATTAATCTTACCTAATATTATAGCCTTTATATAAGATAAATAAAAAGGGTTAAAAGGTAAAGACTAATAGCCTTATATAATTAAAGCTATATTTATAATTATTATAATACTATTATTAATAATATTTAAGTTTATAATAATACTAAGGATTATATTAATAAGTAAGGGAATAAGTATAAAAATATAAATAAAATAAATAAATTAAGATAGATTATTAAAGGCTATAATAAGGTTTTAGAGCTATATTATTAAGTTAATATAAGTAATATATATTAAATAATTTATTTATATAATTAAAGCACTAAGGCATAAAAGTAATAATTTTTTAAATATAAGGAGGCTATTAATAAGTTAATATAAGTACTTAAAAAAAGTAATATAAGATAAAAATATTATTATAAAAGATTAATATTAAAAAAAAGAAAAAAAAAATAATTTTTATAAAGGCTTTTTATCTTTAAAGATTATAATTTATAATACTTAATTAAAAAGATTTAAATAAATAAGAAATAAGCCTAAAATAATATATTTATTATATATATTTAAAGATATTTTATAAAAAATAAATTTTTTTTTTTATTAATTATTTATTTTAAGTTATTTCTTTTATTAAAGCTATTTAAAGAGTATTTAAATATTACTTTTAGTAAGTATTTAAATAAGAGGTATATTAAGTTATAGCGCATTATTATTAGTTAGTATAGCCTCGCTATAAGGGCTATGCGCTAGTATAATAGCTATTTTAGACGATGCCCTTATTTTAGGAAAAATAAGGCTCTTTTAACTATTATTTTTTATGCTTTAAGGTGACTAAAGGCGCTCTATACGACACATGCATAATAAATATCCCCCTGGTCGCGATATTAATTCTGCCATGACTTACCGCCTAAGGGCCCCCCGCGCCTATTTATGATATTAATAACTAGATAGGTTAGTAATCCATTTATCCCTAAGATAAATATAAGTATTACAAGCATAATATTATATTTAAAAATAATATATGCGCTAACTAATAAGTTTAGTAATTCGCTAAGATATTATATTTAAGCTTTAATTAATATTTTCTTTCTTATATTTCTATTAACTTACCTTAATAGCTATTACTTAAACCTTTCTATCTTTATAATTAAAACCTTTTTCCTTCTCTTAAGTTACTCTCATAACTTAATAACTTAAAAACCTTAATCCCCCCCCTAATTTCCTTGCTTTATTTATAGTTTTTTTCTTATTAAGCCTCTCTTAGCTACTAGATTATATTTAATAAGCTATAAATCTAGGCTATATTTCTCTTTATAACCTTAATAAATAAATACTTATTAGGCTTTTTATCTCTAAGATTTTTAAGTAATAATAGCTCTTAATATTATATAAAATACCTAAGATTTTATAATACTCTTAGGCACTTTAAGGTTATAAGGAATATTTCTTTACCTAAGATTATAAGCTTAAAGTAAATATCTAGCTTAATAATTTAATTTATAATAACTTTTATTATATTAGTATCTTAAAATAATAATAATTATATATTATAAAGGAAATTATATATCTTATAAAAGGGGCTAAAAAATAAAAGATATTAATTTTTATATTAGGTAATAATAATATAATTATATAACTTAATAATTTTAATTACTTAATTAATTATAATTCTTAGTATTAGGTTTAAAGCTATAATATTAAGAGATTATAACTTAAGAAGATAAAAAAATAAATAATTCTTTTATTTCTTATATAAAGATTAAAATAAATAATTAAAATACCTATAAAAGGTTAGACTTTTATAATAATATAGCTAGGTATAACTCTTTTATTACTATAGAAGTTTAATTAGGCTATTATATTAATATTAGGTTATGATATTATATTATATTTGAGATTTATTCTTTATTATAGTTATAGCCTGGCCCTTGATGGGTTAACTAAGCCTGAAGATCGTTATAAGCATAAACCCAACAACATATCAGCATGAGACGCCCTGACGCCTCGTGTGTTCCTTATTCGACATGGTGAGTTCTGGACCCAGATAAACCAGGACAAACACCGAGCTGTTCTGCTTGCAATCAGTCAGTCTTTAACAACAGTGTTCCATGAACAGGAGAGACGGAGTGGGCAAAATCTGGTAGATATACGGGCATCACAGACATCGAGCTCACTTCAGTTGGGATCCAGCAAGTCTCCTCTGTAGCAACAACGCTCGTGGGTCCCGGCAAACTCGTCAACCCTTCTCGTATTACGCACATCTTTATCAGTCCGAGAAAGAGAGCGAAAAAGACTTTTGAACTACTGCAGATACCCTCATCACCTCCTACAGCCGATGCAGAATTGGAGGTTACCTATACTGAAGATATTGCAGAGTGGGATTATGGCGACTATGAAGGGTTAAAGGCCGGCGAGATCAAAGAATTGAGAAAGACTAGGGGGCTTGACCAAGAGAGGGAGTGGAACATTTGGAGGGATGGGTGTGAAGGCGGAGAGTATTACACCCTTTTAACTCTCCCCTCGCTTAGACTTGATTGCTAACTTGACGGTTTGTTCTCACTTGCGGTAGGACAATGCAGCAAGTCACGGAGCGCCTGGACAGGCTTGTATCGAAGATACGAGACATCCAGAGGCCTAACATGAATGGCAAAAAGCCTGCCGATGTCCTCCTTGTACGGCCACGAGCGCCCCTCTTCCACCTATCTCTTTGAACCTGGCCTGGCCCTCTCATCTTTTGAGCTTTGTTTCCACAGCTAACGGATGGGAATTGCAGGTTGCCCATGGCCTCATTCTACGCTGTTTTACTAAACGCTGGCTCGGTTGGCCAATTGCTTTCTCTTTTCCAATGATACTGGACCCAGGGGCAGTCACGGTTCTGAGGTACGCGACTTTAGGTCTTATGCAGTCTTTCTTCGCCACAGAGTCCCTCTCAGGCTTAAGACATATGCCAAATCATGTCTATTGTTTGAAGCTAACTTGCCCAAGTTATAAGAACAACAATGCTGATGAACCGGCGCTTCATGTCGGCATGGCGCTTCCGCCTCTATCGGACAGTAGCCACCAAAAAGGATCGTAACGGCGTAAATGGCTCTCCTATTTGGCTTTTGGCTCGTGTGCTTTGGGAAGTTACACCATACCTTTGTACTTAATGCCTACCGAAAGAGCACTTATGCTAGAGAAATGGCAATCGGATGGATATGTTCTCCCCTAAGCCTGGATGTCCTCAAGACGCTTTGACGCGTTGCCATATGTGAGTCTGGATGCAAGACAGATGCTAAACATACGGAGCAAGAACAAGAGGATGTGCGTTAGATTATTAAAGGCTTTATGAAGCATTGAGGGCGATTGAAATGAAATGTCATGTGACACGACCTCGTGATACGTAATCACCCATTGCTGAGACAGTTGGAGTCAACATTGAGTAAAGAGTCCTGTCTTGGCATATATCACCTGCAAACCTGACTGGCTCCGATGAAGCCACCAAGGCAGCCACCCCCGCTCGCTTTGTCTTTGAGCATAAAGAACAAGTTGCATTGTTCCCAATCTCTCCTTTGCTCTTTAAGTCTCTCTACTGCCATCCCCTTCCTCGCCCAATATGGAGGCCCAAGCGACACATGTCCATCAATCACTGCCGCCACTTCCTGCGCTTGGCCAAAAGCCTCATTATACTCGGATTTTAACCCTGTTCCCTGGCGACATGGATACTCCTCTATTCTGCACAATGCAAATCATTGACCTGAATCATCCTCCCTTTGCATTTGAAGCACTATCCTACGTCTGGGGTAAAGCAAAGTCACCTGAACATCTCTTTTGCGATGATGGCCATCTCGAAATCACCATGAATCTGGACAAGGCTTTGAGACATCTCCGACTCAGCAGTATGAGTCGAAGGCTTTGGGTTGATGCTATTTGCATCGATCAAACAGATCTTGCAGAACGAGCCCGTCAGGTTCAGTATATGCGACTCGTCTACAAACGCGCTTCTCGAACGATTGTTTGGCTTGGCGAAAAGCAGGACTGGACCGAGACAGCCATTGCCTTTGCAAAAGAGCTAGTCAGCTTGAAGGCTGATTTCATTGGGAATCTTGGCTTGTCAAGTAGTAGAGAACCGGCTCCGGCTAGAGACCCAGCCCAGACAGACCAGGGCAGAAGATCCTATGCATACTCACTACTATCCAACGTTTTTAAGAGCAATCAAGAAGGGGCCGAAGCTTTATCGAAGCTGTTTGGATGTGAATACTTTACTCGGGTCTGGTATGTTCTAAAAAGTGGCTATGGTGTCCTGAGAAACTCGCTCAGCTGATACTCTCAAACGTCAGGTGTATACAGGAGGTGGTGGCTTCAAGCTCTAGCATCCTCAAATTGGCAGATCTTGAGATCGACATGAAAGACCTTTTGTCACTGCTCCCCCTTGTACTTGATCGACGAGGGTTGAATCTTGAGCCGACGACTTTACAATTGTGGCGAGGGGTTTTCGAAATGCCCCTTATCTACAAACAGCTCAATCACTCACCGCCTGAGGGTTCTCTCGGAACGATGTTGGTTATCTTGACTTCCATCAGGGACTTTGGAGCAACGGACCCCAGAGACCGCATCTTTGCCATCCTTGGAATCACCGACGAGGGCTTGGAGCCAGTCTACAGCATCACCGAAAGCAATTGGCTGGCTGATGTTGCTCGCAAGGGTTATTCCTGGATTTCGCGCCGAATCAATTCGATCTCTCCGGCTCTAGAGCCAAATCGACACCCTGCATTGATCCCAGACTACAACAAGAGCAGGCGAGAAGTCTATCAGGAGTTCACGCGCTATTGCATCTGGAAGCCTCCACGACTTCTCACCGTTCTCGGGCACATTCAACATCACGAGGATCCAGAAACTGTTCTCGACTTTCCCAGCTGGGTACCGAGATTCGATCAATGTAGGATAGTTTCCAAGTTCATTCCGGAGTTGTTCTATGCAGGCGTGCCTACCAAGTTCCAAATGTACATCGCAGAGACCCACGACAATCCTTTTCATTCTTCAAGTCCATTCAGTAACCCAATCGAAGAGCCAGACATCCTTCAACTAAATGGCTTTCAAGTCGACACAATAAGCGCGGCAACAGACGTATTCACGCAAGGAGCTGACGAAACACTTTTCGCCACCTTACTTTGGAGTCAGCTATTCCCTCACCCATTGTTCCCAAGAGTGCCGGGGCAAGTGCATCAATATCAGTTCAGCAAAATGGCAACTGATGTTGCCTTTTTACAGACTTTGTGCGCTGGAGGCATGTTTTCGGCATGTTCCCAACTAATGAACTCGTCGACCCAGCCTGGAAAGACTCGGCAAGCCCGTTTGGAACAGTCACAAAGGCTAGCAGCGCAAGCGATCCTCAGATGGCTTCGAGATAGGCCAGAGATCGACTGTAACGATTATCCGGACCTTGGACCACCACCAATAGATGAGTTCCACGGGACCTCGATAGAGAGATACCAGGATCAAGCTATCAGTTTATGCGCCAACAGAAAGGTCTATAGGACAGCGACTGGTATTCTCGGATTAGGACCAAAGTTCTTGAAACCAGGAGATTGCGTTGTGATATTATTTGGAGGATCATTTCCTATTGTTCTTCGACCGCAGGGTCGTGACTGGATCTTGATTGGTGAGACGTATTTGCATCATGATGAGATTTGTCTTGGGCAGTTAGCGGCGAAGGCCAAGAGTCGAAAGAGCCAAGTCAACGTGATGCGATTTAGGATCCGGTAGTATTGTATATCAGACATGTTCGGTCGTCCAATATCAAGTTAGACAATGGTGACATTCTTTCTCTTCCATTCAGGCTGTCCTGAGGGCTCCAGAAGCTCCATCCACCCAATACGCTCAAAGACGTCTTCCTTTCCCATCTCTCCTGTCGTTCGTGACAAGATTAAACATCCGCGACTAATCTGGCCAACGTAAGGAACCTCGTATAGAACCGAGGCGATCTCAAACGTCGGCTCTAGATCTTCTGGCATGCTTGCAGGATCGTCAAAGAAGATCCTTGCTCTAATATCACGTCCTTGAGCGTCCACGGCAGCACCACGGGTTATATTCAGACCCTCACCATCGTGTCTCATTCGCAATACCTGGAGAGATCGAACAAGAGTATCCAACACAACTTCTCTCCTTGATTGAGGGGGTCTCGAGGGGGAGTGAAGAGAGTCTTGCACGCTCAATAGCCTAGCTTCTTCCTCGTATCTAGGGCTGGAGAGATGTGCAAAGTCGACGCTGCTCATCTTTGACGAAGCCCAGGACCAGGATGGCCCCATCTTGGTTCTGTCGAGCTCAGTACAGATGCTTCCAGATCCATACCAGGCCAGACTGAAAATAAGCTGAGACACAAAGTGGCCGCAAACGTATCTGTCAGGGAAGAACAGCTGCGTCCTCTCTGCAACTCCTTGAATCGCAACCAATCTATCTTCAAAGTAGGTAAAGTCCATGGATGCGTACTCTCTTACGAGCTGGAACCAGTATTTCCCAAGCGCTTGCTCCCTCGTAGTGTCTTTGGAGCGTAGAAGCTGCTGATGAGAACGATCGACAGATGAAATGAATTCGCTCTGTGGTACGCCTTCCGGGAAACATTCGGATGCCTGCAATTCGGCACATTCCCAAAAGACTGCATCACGACCGAAATGAATTACTCTGTTTGACAAGGATCGCTCCTGGAGAGTCCAGCCTCGATCATACAGGGGAGAATTCGAAACATTAAATAGCCAGAGAGGGTGGGAAGGGTCGGCGTACATTTGTCGGAGCTGATGGCCCTCCTCCTCCGAATCATTGTATTGCCCCAGCAGTATTGGCGAGACGGGGTATAGTTCACCTGGTCTCTCGTTGAGGAAGCCATCGCTGCTGTCGTACGCCCCAGTAGCTGCAATAGTGCACAAAGCGTTCTGGTAGTATCTTCCCATCAAAGGGGCTTCTGCGAACCAGTCGGTGGCGTCCTCTCCTTTGTTGTGTTGGATGATGCATATAGCATCGACAAAGAGGTATCGGTAACCCAGTGCTCGAGTAACGTCAATGGCATCAAGTATGGTCTGAGACAGATCCTTGAGGTCGATCCCGCGTCGTCTTTGCTCAAAGTTGTCTCTTGTTGTGCGGGCATTGAGGTTTCCTTTGCCCCAGCAATAACTGAGGATGAGATAATCGGAGAATACCGTTGATCCCTGCTCGAGTTTCGGTACATAGAGCCTAGGTGAACCTCCTTTTACCCCTACGTCGATGACTCTATTGGGTAGCGGAGGCTTTTCCATGTGAGTACAGAGACTGGTTTGACCGTGCCGAAAATTGCACAAGGCATGTGCATTTCTTCCCTGGTCTCCGCAACATGTTTTGATCCAAGTCTGGATGCGCTCTTGAACGAGGTGTTCAAGGTCTGTTTCTCTATCTTGAGACTTGAACTCTATCCATTCAATTAATGATCTGCATCTGCACTCCTCAATCTTCGCTTTAAGGGGAAGGTATTCACACTTACGCCGGATAGGCTCAATGGTAGTGTATCTTGCTGGGTAGAATGTTCCCACGAACCTGCCATCTTCCGAGTCTGCCATAAAGACAGCCAAACTCTTGGGCCTCTCACTGCTAGAATTCAAGGATGTCACCTCGATCTGAGTGCCGAGCTGGATTTCCTCAATGTCCCGGGCGCTGAACACTAGAACGCGACGCAGAATCTGACATAGCGGACATCCAGTGGCAGCTGAGGCATCCAGCTGCTTAAAGGTCTTGGAATGAGAGAATACACCTTCGAATCGCTCTTGGTTGACCGCCTTCGATAGCTTCCGGCATTTTTCACACCGGGTGCCAAGTGTAGCGCTATCCATGTCGAATGCTCCTAGTATCGGGCTGGGTGTGAAGAGGAGGTTGAGTCCAAAAGCGGGGTAGGGACACAGAATGGCCCCCGAGGCTGAAAAGACTTGGCTGCCTATGGTATTGTACTCGGCTTATACGGCCCAATCACGACTGCTCAGGCATTTTAGGGCTGTAATTCTTAGTAAAGCATGCTCCAGAACGGATCATTTTGCGAATTTGCACGACAAGTCTCGTCGTTGAGCAGGCATAGTTGAACTTCATCTTCAAAATGAGTACCTAGATCCTCGACTCAAGAGCTGACACGTGGATCTATATGCTATTGAAATGTTGAATAAATATTAACATGAAGGTCACCTACATATTAACCTTCCTAGTTCAAGAATACAAGTGTGCCGCTTAGTAGTAAGAGAATGATGCTAAGGGAGATGGAAGAATCTTCAGATCAATATGCAATTAGCTGCAATGCATCGCGAAAGGAAAAATAAGGGCGACTAAGACAGGCTAGGCCGTGAATAGGTCATTAATAACAGTAGGAGTAGAGAATAACTTGAAAACTACTCTAGATAGTACAAGTCTTAAACACGGTCGAGACACTACGCGTGTGCTATTCCTAACCCCTATGCCGCGGCCTCTTTGGTATCTGATTTTCTTAAGAAACACAACGCTACTAGGAAATAAGCATTATTAAAAAGAGTAAAACACTCTTTATATTTCTAGAAGTTTTTACTCTCTACCTATCACGAGGTCTATTAAATACCCTAGAGGAAGAAATAAAAGTGCCAGAATTAATTCACCCCGACAACTATTTCCCGCAGAGATCAAGAATGAAAAGATCGTGTTAGGACACCCAATGTATACTCAAGACGTATTCCACCAAGGTGGGTCTTGGTAACCAAATTGGGGGCGGATATACCCTGAGTCTGTTCATGTCGAAGCTTTATAATGAGATGCTTATTATACAAGCAACCTACCTACTATGCACGTTGGTTTTCACAGTCTCACTGTGATGGTAAATAAATTCACTATGATATGGTTTGGTTAAGAACTTACCTATGTCTTTGGCTTGCCTAGCTCCGGTTTGTTTCCCGCCCAAGTTGAAGCCGGCGTTGGCGATACACACCGACCACTAACGCCGACCAAGAACGCAGGCCAGCAAAGGATTTACAAGGGCCAAGCCGGGCTGATCCTGGTAGTGATTTTCAGCTGCCCCATTTATTATAACCGATCTCCGTTAACCGAATGGCCGCTTCATGGGGCTGCAACAGTGATCCTTGTTCGCGGTCTGTGATGCGGGTCAAGAGTCCTTTTGAACAAGTTCATCTTCGACGCCCAGCCTCCGCAGTCAAACCGATATCCGTTTGAGGCGAGTTTGATTTGCCAACTTTGAGTCTTTGTCGGTTCTAACAGCGAAAACTCCTACCCTGTACGAATATTGTTTATCCTTACCAAGCAAGGAATGACTGGGTAAGCCAGCAGTTAATTAAAAGCTGAGACCTGAGCGAAGTGACGGATGGAAAAGAGATAACTAACTCATTTACCTACTGCTGACCTCGAGCCATGCTCGTATCGGAAGGGCACAAGCAAATGTACGATCGAACAGATATTTTCTCGGCGAGAGCCGCGGCACTCTGCTAAATTAGTCCTGCCAGCCAACAGGGGGCCAGACCAGTGACCAGGCCGTGCGCTGATGCTCAGAGTTTCTCCATGATCACGGCCGAACCCGAAATTATACGGAGCGAGTGGTACATGTGCTACATGCGTTTTTCGTCTAGTCAGGCAAGTTATACCTGACCCGCGAGCAAAAATCCCTGATCTAGATCAGTTGACGGCCAGATCTGGCGACGCAAATTTGAGAAAGGTTGACGATGAGGGGCAAAAGCGATCAAGTCCGTTTCGAATATATTAAAAAGCGGGTTGGAGTGGCTGGGGAGAAACGTAACCTTGCCAGCATCACTTCGGCTTCTCCACAATCTTTTCTATCTCGGGTTGGGCACCGGCGTAGGGCTGCCGTCGAAATCATCTTTCACGTGAAGATGCATGTAGACGACGGTTTAGGGAATAACACAGCGGAAAAAGAGGAGTCAAGGTCAAGGACGGGGCCACTGAAAAGAAATATCTCAGCTACACCGGCCAGGAGCTATACACTGAAAACGCGTAGATACGTGCCACTATTGAAACGAAATAGCTCAAGATAAGTGGTGAATAAATCATATACGAGTGTCATGGCGAGGTTGAGGCACCATCAATATTTAGCTACAACCACGGATTGTCCGACGCAATGATCTCGGAAGGGTCCAACACCCGGCCCCAATCTTGCTCTTGCCATACGTCGTCACCCGGAGCTGTCAGCCACGGGTTATCGTCTTCCTCCATCATTGGGTCGTCATCCCGCTCTTCTAGACCACACTTCTCCACCTCATTAGGATCCATATTTTCGAGAAGCTGCCAGATGCGCCGCCGATTAGTGAAGCCAGGAGGTACATCCAGCCCTACCTCGCCGTGATCCCATGCTTTGATGTCGCTGTTCTCGGGATAGGTAGGGGGTTCAACGCGCGCCATGAGTTGCCGGAATAGTCTTTCCCAATCCCATTCCTTGCCATCTTTGTCTTTGAACTCTGACACAAGCGTTTTGTCGAGGTCCCAGAGAAATGGTATTCGAAGAAAGAGATGCTTCCAGCATGACTGTGGCAACAAGCGAGTGCAGTCCAGGCCGTTAGTTCCCTCCCGGAGGAGTGACATAATCCTGTCCTGGAGCTCCTGAGGCAAGCTTTCCAGGCTCGTTTGCAGGCTGCTGGGGCGAGATGTGTGAGCCTCAACGAGCTGCAGGTTTGATAGCAGACGACTGGTGAGATTCGGAATGACCAAAGGATCATCAAGCCACTAGAGATGGGTCAGCAAAGTGAAATGGGACGCCGGTGTGTGTTGTGCTCACCCAATTGTAATAGGACCCAGGATGGTAGTCAGGAATATAGTAACTGCCCCATCGCCTGCGCTCTTCATCTGACCTCTTCGGGAGCGGAATGAGGGGAAGCCAATGAAATAAGCTAGGGCCTGGCCGGACCCTTATTGTCAGTTCGCATCGTCGATCAAGAGTGACCCAAAGATCTCGAAGTGATTTCAGTTGCGAAGTAAGCGATCTTTGCATCACCCAAGAGGCTATCGTTAGACAGGCTTCATGTACACCAAGGCACCAATGAAGGCCAGTCGGACTATCGGGAAATAGATCTTCAGACTGGAATTCCCTTTGTAGGTGAATTCTCTGGCCGTTGTGATATAGCCTTAAATCTCCCATAGCGCCATCACATGGGCTGGCAGCATACTCTGTTATCTGCTCGCTGAGGGGATCATATTGTTGTCGTTTGCAGTATTGCTCGTGAGGACCTATGAGGGCGACAACAGTCTTTTGCCATAGTGAAGGCTCCCAAGCGATGGGACCAGACTCGTAACGAGGCCTGCCGTACATTTGGTAGCCGCATATTGAACATTGGGGGAATTCATTCGCGCTGCCCATGTTGTGATGATTGTGTACGATAGAAGTGGAGGTTGGACAAGAAGGAAGCAAACACTGCCCTATTGCCTGCGCCCTGTCAGTACCCTCTTCGCCTCGTTTGCGGGCCGAAGCGGGTGGGCCGGTAGTTGTTCCGATAGACCTTTTTTTCGGAAGAAACATCCCGTAGACAGTTGGTAAGCTCGTATATGCGGCCGTGAAACACGTTAATGTGCGTGCTGTGCCTTGCTCCGTGCCTTGCATGAGATTGCATGCTGCGCCTGCGGGACTTCCACCTGCACGGGCCGTCTACTCGGACTGGACGATGAAAAGACAGTCCCTTCAATCTCACAGTGAGTGGTGTAGAAGCGTGTGCCCTGTAGAAAGCCGCTAGAACGTGCCTCAGTCGCCATGCATGGACCGTTCACCCACTGCATTAGCTTTGTGTGAAACAAACGATGGATTGCAGCGACCTGGATGTTCCTTCAGTGCTGGCTTCCAGACCACGAATGATTGTAGTTATGTCAAGGGTGGCCTGTCTATTTTACCTCATGAGCCTTGCCCACGCAATGGAACCATAATATGAATTGGATCATGTGCTAGATTTGACAGAGACATTCTGTGCGCCCCGAGATTTCGGCCACGACGAACGGCACTGATCATTGCTCGACAACTGCGCTGCGGATCGGGGCTCATATGCAAGCAAGGAAATGCTCGCATCCTATTTTCAGCTGGCCGGGATGTATCGACGCGGAAAAATTCTCCAGAACTTGATCAAGATGAGTTGCAAGGGTCACAGTAGGATGTATAAGGACTCAATCTCCTGGCACGTCTTCTCCATGCCATCCCACCTCACATTCATTTCTTTGCTCTTCAGTCATTCGTTCTTTTCTCTCCTATTCTCGCTATGAGAATTCTTCTTTTGCTCTGGGCCTCAGGCGCCCTGGGTGGGCCTTGTAGGCCATCCAACCCATCCACAACAGGGTCTTCACTCCCTCATCAATCAGCTTCCACTGATACCGACTCTCAATCGGCCTCTGGCTCCATGGGCAGCTTGTCTGCTAGTGGATCTCAAGGCACCTCTACTGGCACTCTTTCATCGTGGCTCACCAGTAGTGTCAGTGGCACTATTCCTGGCCAGCCTGGCAACACCAATACCATCCCTGGTCAGTCCGACAGTACCGACACTGAGACTGGTCAACCAAGCAACACCAATACCATCCCTGAATCTGATGGCTCTAACACCATCCCCGGTCAGACTGGCACTGCTACTTCTGGTCAGTCCGGCAGCATTGAGACGGAGACTGGTACTGCCTCTATTCCTTCCCTGGGCATTTCTGAGACCACCCTTCCCGGAACCGAGACTGGCTCTACCCTGCCCGGAAACACTGACACGACTCTTACTGGAACTGAGACTGGTCCTTCTGATACCGAAACTGGTACAGAGACCGGCCTTGATGGTACTCAGACTGGTACCGAGACTGGATCAACTGGAACTCAGACGGGGCCTAACCATCCTGGAACCACTGGAACAGAGGGTACCGAGACCGGTCCTGTTGACACCGAAACTGGGGTGACTGGCACCGAGACCAACCCTGCTGGAACGCAGACAGGCTCGCCAAACACCGGAACTGGCTCTATCGGAAGTGAGACCGACTCTACGGGAGTTCAGACAGGCCCTACTCACTCCGATAACACCGAGACGGGGACCACCACCGATACCGGTGCTTCCAATACTGAGACTGGTCCTTCGGCCCCTACTGGCACTGAAACAGGCTCTGTCGGCACTCAGAGTGACTCGACTGGTACGGAAACTGGCTCTTCAGGCACGGATACCGGTCCTACTCAGCCCGGCAATACCGAGACTGCTTCTTCTGGCACGGAAGGCAGCCCAACTCAACCTACAGGCACCGAGACTGGATCTTCTACCGAAACTAGTCCTTCTGATACTGAGACCAGCTCGGCCGGAACTGAAGGCAGTGCTACTCAGTCTGTTATAACAGAGACGGGAGCCACTGAGTCCGCTTCTTCTGGAAGTGAGTCCGCTTCTACTCAGCCTGGCAACACCGACACGACTTCTGGCACCGAAACTGGTCCCAACCAGCCCTCGAACACTGAGACGGGAGCTACTGAGACTGAGCCATCCGGTACCGAGACCGGCTCTTCTGCCACCGAGAGCAACCCCACTCAGCCCGGCACTACCGAGGGCGCGTCGTCCGAGACAGGTCCTTCCACCGAGACCGGGCCTGCTGGGACTGAAACTCAGCCTACTCAGTCTGGCAACACGGAGACAGCTTCCCCCAGCACTGAAACTGAACCAACTCAACCCGGAGCCACTGAGACGGCAACTTCTGGCAGTGCAATCGTGACAAGCGATGTTCTGCCTTCCACTACTTCAGCTGGTGTCCCAACAACTCTTCCTCCCACTACCACCACGTCAGGTCAAAGCGAGAGCTACGCTTCCACCGTCACGGTCCCTCCTGAGAACTGGTCGCCCACCTGTGCCTCTGGCCACCCTGAGTGGACCACCAACACCTGGATCACCACTACATCAGAGGGTTCCACCGAGCAGACCGTTGTTCCTGTCATCGTCGGCTCCAAGGAGTGCGATGACGATGGCTCGGGTCTTATCCTCTTTGGTTTCCCTCCTGTTACTGGCGTCTGGTTCAAGTTCCCAGGCTTCCCCGGCTTCTCATTCCCCTGCATTCAGACATTCATCACCAAGTGCAATGACCCACCGAAGTCCGAGAAGGACGACGGCGACGATGATGACGACGACAAATCATCCACCGCCTGCAGCGAAACAGTCACCGCCAGTGATTGTCTCGTTGCTTGCACCACCTACACAGGACCCGCTGATGCCGAAATTACGCCAGACTGTACCACGACCTGCACCAAGACTCATACTGGCTGCAGCGTGACTGGTGTCACCTCAACGACGACCGAGGCTGAGGGCTGCAGTGCCACTGGTGGTGGTGAAGAATGCGCAGAATGCTCCGACGAACTTCTATACACTATGAACGGAAGCCTAGGCAGGGATGTGGCCGATGAGGATCCGCTCGTTGAGAAGAGATGGTCATCTCCGGAGTCCAACCGAGTCAATCCTGGAAACAAGCTGGGCAGCTGTGTCATCCCGGCAAGTGTCCCTATCGCGTTCCCCCAGTACCCTGAAGGCAACGACGTCTTTCTATACGAACAGGCCATCAAGAAGTCGGGCAGCTCGCCCCTGAGACTAATTGACAGATGGTACTTCTGGGAACGGAAGGATGACGGCCGCGGTTGCTATTTGGACCTCAACGGACCTAAACCATCCAACCAGTACTTTGGTGGAAAGCCGCTCCCCGCCCAAGGTGCCGCCAATTACCAGGAGAAGGCGCCTTCAATCGATCACATCTTCGAGAAGAGCTTCCTGAAGGACTTTTGGTGGTCCATCACCCCCAGGAATGGGCGCGGTCAGAGCATTCGTGGCACCAAGCCCAGCCAGCCTGTCCAACAGATTAGCTGCGACGACTTGATCTACTATGGCAGTGCCATGTCATCACCCTTCGGATCCCAGCCAAACAACGCTCAAGACATGGAGTTTGTCAAGGATGTCTTCAAGACTTATCCTGGAGCCAGACAGAACCCTGGCGGTCAGGAGCATCAGCAGATCCAGCCCCTTGATGCCCACTTCCTCGATGACTTCATCGGCGTGGATGCATGGACCAATGAAGCCAAGGCAAGTCAATTTGACGGTACGAGTGAGACTATGCTGACAAGGTGCGTCACAGGGATTCGCCACCACACCGCAGAATATTCGATTCCAGGTAGGACAGGCTGTGAGTAAGGTGATCAACTGGCAAACGATCAGTCTGGTCCAGATGGAGAAGGAAGTCAACTCGCAGATTGAGATCATTGACAAGCTCTTCATTGGAGTTCAGCTGGCCAATCAACCTCATTCTCACCAGGCCATGATCCGGCAAAATCTGCGAGTCTACAAAGCCCTGTAAGTCCTCCTAAGTTGTAGCATCTCAACAAAAGCTAACAGTGCTACTCTACAGCTTGGACATGGACAAAAACGCTCGGGATTGTCTTCAGGATCCTGCAGTCGTCGACAACAAGTGGTCATTCGCAGAGCGATACAAGGCGTTCATGGAGAACCGATTCACCGGCACCGAGACGCATTCCATCAACCAGGCCATCGCACAAGCCTTTACTGCCATGACACCCAGAATTCTACAGGACCTCAACGATTGCAGGACCGCGATGTTGAACAAGATCAATGGAAATACCCAATTGAGCCCGCAACAGAAGACAACTCAGGAAGGTATCTGGAAAGGGAGGTACAACACCTTGAACAAACGATACACGACTTTGCTCAATCGGGCTCGAGGGGCGGGCACTACCAGCATCAACGTCGCATGGGACTGGGACATTGGCAACATTCCCACGAAGCGCGATGAAGTTGAGGAGGGGCCTTCCTGCAAGGTCGCATCCACTACTAGCGAGAGTGCCACTACTCTGTCGACTGTTGTTTCCAGGTCCGAGACAGAGTCTGACCCTACCTCGACTGGAGAGCCGCTCACCAGATGCGACAATGATGATGGGTGTAAGGATTGGGACTGTGATGAAGGGAAGACGGCCACTTGTGCCACCGTGGCTCTCCTCCCTGGCTTCAAGATCTGCCAATGTGAGGGTGAGGATCCCTCCTCGACAACCAGCAGCGCTCCTGAGCCCACAAACACTGGTGAAGGCAAGGGATGCTTGAGCAACACTGAATGTGACATGGAATGCGAAGAGGGCAGAGAGCCTTCCTGTTTCCACTGGCCGTTCAACCCCGACAACGCCTTTGGCACCTGCGTGTGCCGTCTGATTCCAACAACTACCGAAACGCCAACCCCAACAACAACATCGACGACGACATCGACGTCTACAACTCCCCGAAAGACAGTGACTGTGACAGCTGAGCCTGAGCCAACTCCGACCGCTTACTGCGATGTCTATGCTGCAGGTCTCTTCTGGTACGTCGAAATTACGAGAATCGATGGCTGGAGCGACGACGGAGGGTCAAAGCTCAAGGACGAAGAGGGCGGCTGTGGTGCAATGACAGGTTGGCACTGGTACGGCGAGACAGAGAAATGGGGCACTAGTGTGGCCTTTAACCTGCCATTCACCATCAAGGCAGGATGCGTGGAGCGAGCCATCGTCTCAGCCGGAGGACCCAAGCTGGAGTGTGACACCCACCCAACCTGGGAGATCACGGATAAGAAGCTTTCCAAGGGCGATGCCAAGATGGCCATGGCAGCTGAGATGCTGCAGCCGGATGAGCCCTCCTTCCCAGATCTGTACCAGGAGGCCGTGGAAGAGTCGGAGGAGAAGTACGGAACGGTCACGGTTACGGATCTCTATACTCCAGTGGTTTGGGGCCAGCCTACATCCAGTGCCACGCATTAGAGTTGATCTTGATGTATATACTTAGCCTTAACATCAAATGACTTTTTTCTAAATATCAAGTGCCATTTTGACGAATTAGCATACCGGAAGGGATGATTGCTTTAACGCAGAGCCCAACAAAGATGGGATTGATCAGATTGGCCAGGGCGACCCCATCGATAAGAATGTCGACGCGGAAGAAGAGCCCAGAGAGGATCATTCCCTGCTGTAGACGGTAGCCCCCACTGATGAGCCTACGGACTGGGGTCCTAAGTATAAAAGGACCCAAGAGGGTGCCACTTGTCAAGCAACACCTAGCAATCACGTTTAGATAGAAACTTTTTGCCATGACTGCTATTTTGTTTATCAGTGTGGAACTTCAACAAGTCCCACCACTACCTCATAGCTTTCCCCCAGTCTTGTTCAAACACGCGGCTTGAAGAGCCGCCTTGAAAATATCCAGCCCCAGGTCCAAGTCCTTCGCCTCAATCGTCAACGGGGGAACCATGCGAATACAAGGTCCAGCAACGATGACCAAAAGACCGCGATCTCGAGCATTTTGAATGACTTCGGGTATCTTGCCACTAAACTCTGGCTGCAACTCGATTCCGAGCATCAGGCCGTGACCTCGGACATCCTTGATTACCTCTGGCATCTTGGCCTGCACATCTTTAAGTCCCTTGACGAGATGGTCAGACTTGACCTGGACCTGCTTGAGGAAGTCATCCTTCGATACGCGGTCGAGAACGTTGTTTGCGATTCGGCATGCGAGTGGGTTGCCTCCGTAAGTGGTGCCGTGGATTCCCAGGCCGATGGTGTCTGCAACCCGTCTCGTCACAATGGTAGCGCCGACAGGGAAACCATTGCCCAACGCCTTGGCCGTGGTGAGGATATCAGGTTCGGCAAACACCTTGTTGGTCTTGGGGTCTCTCAAAGAAGGATGAGCATGGGCCCAAAGAGATCCTGTTCTGCCGATACCGCTCTGTACCTCGTCGGCAATCAGCAGGGCCTTGGTCTCGTCACAGCGCTTCCGCAGAGCGGTCATGAACTCTGCCTTGGCGGGGTAGATGCCTCCCTCTCCCTGCAATGGCTCGACAATAACGGCACATGTCTTGTCAGTGATGAGAGAGTCGAGTCCCTCAACTGAGTTGAAGGTGCCGTGCTTGAAGCCAGGAACCAGAGGCGCAAATGGCTCGCGATACTTGGGGTTATAGGTGGCCGACAAGGATCCAAACGAACGACCGTGGAAGGCATTGGCGAAAGCAACGACCTCGAATTTGTTGCCAGAAGGATCGACATGCTTAGCAAAGTTGCGGGCAAACTTCAAAGCTGCCTCATTGGCTTCCGTTCCTGAACTGGCCAAAAACACTTGGTGCGCATCTGACATGGTACCGGACGCTTTCGTCTTGGAAACGAGGTTTCTAGCCAAGACGTCTGCCCATTCGTTCTCAAACAGCATCGAGGCATGCATGAGCTTGCCGGCCTGTAGCCAGAGACCCGGTTAGAAGAGAGGCCTCTGAGGGGTGGAGCGACTTGCCTGATCGGTGATGATCTTGGTGATCTCAGGATCGGAGTGACCCAGCGACACAACGGCGATGCCAGAGGTGAAATCAAGGTACTTTTTGTTGTTGGAAGCGATGACATATGACCCCTCACCCTTTGTGAGCATCAAGCTCGGGCGGGGGTATGTTGGAAGAATACCTGACCCTGAATCGGGTTTCTGGGCCTGAGCATCGCCTGGGAGAGTTGCCTAGATAAATGTCAGTAAGGACAAGGTTTGCATACACTCGGATCCTACCATTTTCGTGTTGAATTACGGTATTATTGGGTGTTAAGGAATAAGCACAAAGTTTGTGAGGAAGACTGTCGCTTGAAGCCTTTTGTACCATCATCACTGGCGGCACCGGAACCGACGTGATACTGGGAACCGACACAAAGCGTAACGAACACCGTTCAAACTTCTCCACAATTCAAGCCGCCAAGGTGTTCCTGATCAACAACGAGGTATCACGGGACTCATCAGATTGATGGGGTTGGGGGACGCTAGACCTAGGATAGTTGGTTCAGTATCTGCTGGCCAGTAATACTGCGTCATCAAAGCGGGGAAGTTGTAGATTCGGTGCCGGTCGGTTCCTGGCCGGCTCCGAGAATTGATGATAGGGAAGCCGAGTTGGCTTGATGGAACTCAGTGAGATGGGATCAATGGTCTGGGTGGATAACATACTAGATCCTTCCTGAAGAACACAATGTGTTCCGGAGCCAAGATGAATTCATTGGACCTGACTGCTTGTGGTCGCACAGCTACTTCTTGTTGTCGGTCTCAACTATGTCTCCAGAGGACGCCATTGGCCACAATGCCTGGCACCATACAAGGAACACTTGCATCGAATAGGGTCAAGAGCAGCCATATCTGAGAAGTATAACAAAAAATCCCCATACTAGACATCTATGTCGTCTTACTGAGATGGAAGCATTGGCCGGAGTGCGTCGGCCAATTCTGTAGTTCCATACCGAACGTTGTCAGTGTTAGGCTCGACGTCGACAAGGCCACCCTTGTTTTGAGCGTCATTAGCCTTGATCAAGAGTTCAGCGAGAGTCACACTCATGGCTCTTTCAAAAGCCCCCTTCCATTGTGAACGAGGCACAGCCTTCCCCTTGAATGTCCGGCCCAACAACTCGCCCAATGCCGTCGCAACATCTTGAGCGCTGTACCGGCGAGGGCCTTCAGCGTGCACAATCTCCACGTCCTTGTCGCTGGGAGATTGCAACAAAATATCAGCGGCTATCAAGCCTAGGTCTGGTGCCGAAATCGTGGGAAACGGCATATCAACCGGGTTGTGAAAGCTCAACAGAGTGCCAGACTCTATCGCCGCTGGGATGGCGCGTCCCCATCCTTGCATATGTTCGGCCGATCGCAGGAACACCTTCTGACAGTCTAGTTGGCGAAGCCGCTCCTCAAAGGTGCGGCACATGGTAGGCATCCCGATATCATGAGTGATGTGAGCCCCATAGTCAGAAATCGCCAGAACACGCTTCGGGCGAGCCTCGTCGAGCGTACAAGCCAGATTCTCGATGGCTCTTCGCATTTCCTTGGCGGTGTCCTCGGCTTGTGGGGATGGAGGAAGGATGATTTGGACCGTGTCTGCATCCCCGATTGCCTTCGCAAGGGCTCGGGAATCCTGCAGGTCGGCTACAGCAATCTCGCAGCCGATTTCACGCAGTGGCGCCGCCTTTGACGCATCGCGAAGAATCGCTCTGACAGGGACACCAGCCTTGCGCAGTGCGGATGATGTTGCAAAGCCGACTTTGCCGGCCGCTCCGAGGATTGCATACATGTCGAGTTTTTGAGTTGAGATGAGCAATGTGGTCCAGAAGTGAATGACCTTGATAGTGTTGTTGATCTTCCTTAGTGAAAGTTTATGAGACGAAGAGAGGTGATCTTAAAGAAGGTATAAGAAACCAGGGAAATGATGAAAAAGTTATGATACATTGATTGCACTGTTCGGAGTTGGTAGTGATGCATATCAATAAACCCGTGGATCTGCAAATATCCAAAGCCGTGAACCTGTAAATCCGGAGGCCTATGAGCTCCGCAAATCCGTAGCGCCAAATTCAACTCCGTAAACCCGATGTCTATACTTAGCGTCATAGTTTCACTTTACCAATTGCTCACCAACTCTGTGTTGTATCAAGCCGACCTTTTGATACAGATCTAAACCTTCGCTTAATTCCTTAGTCTTGCAGCACAGAACCGAGTTCAAGTAAGAAGAGAGCGGGCTAAGACTGCCTTGGCTGAGTCTATGCCGACTCCTAGTCTTGCGCATGGGGGCCGCAAACAGATTGATCGACCCTCGAGTCTTATCGCTTGTTTGCTTGGGCCGGACAGCCCCATTCAACTCTTTCTTGATTAAATGAAAGATTATTTCTCAGTGCACGTAAACATGGATTAATGTTTTCCCTGCTGGTCAGCCTTGGCTTAACAACATTCCCCGCAGTCGTCTTCAGACCCTTCATACCTCATCTTACCTATTCATCATACGTTTAATCTGCTGAGAATAAGCTTCCTCTTCTCCACAAGCCATGTCACACTTGGAAGCTATAGACTCTGATGTTTTGACATATGCCGCTAGCAGTGTCGCCGCTTTAGAGGAGGCCCGATTTCCACCACGGAGTCAGGCAACATGGGCACTACTAAAAGAATGGAATCTCTGCTCACGATGTCGCAGGCTACTATTCAAGCTAGAACCCAGTGGTTATATCGAAGAATTCCCTGACGACATCCGAGAACGCAGAGATAAAGGTTGCAGCTTTTGTGGTGTGCTGTGTGAGGCTGCAGTTTGGGCAGGGATCTGGTCCGATGTCCAATCTGAAAACGAAAAGTATGTTGTCACACCTTTCGTAGCAATTGCTCATTCAATCACAGTGAAGAAACTGTCGAGTTTGAACTTGTAAGCCGATCCTCCGTCGAGATGATCTCGATGGCCGACGTCAAGCCCGAACTCGGCTGTGTGATATCAATCGAGGATGGTATGTACGCATCGAGGCTGCCGAGCAATTTGAGACCTTAGTATCGCAAATCCTTTCGCTAACTTATCTGTTGATGGCAGAACCTATTATGCAGCCTATTGATGCAACCACTCAGTTCAATCTACCAGGAGAAGGTGTCTCCTTTATCAGAAACCAGCTCAACAACTGCCTCTCCAATCCAGCACATAATTGCGAGCCCCTGACATTAGATGACAAAACACAATGGCCCGCCCGAGTCTCACAGATCCGCAATCAATCTGTAATTCTCCTCGACTTCAACACTAATGTCATGCCGGGGCAATTTGCCGCCCTCAGCTACTGCTGGGGCACAGCGGCTGAGTTGCAGTCGAAGCCACCATACAAGGCAACGATGTCCACCATGCAGGTCCTTCGCTCCGGGATAAATATCTCAGACCTACCTATTACTATTCAGCAAGCCTTGTGGGTGTGCAAAGAGCTGCAGATTGAATACATGTGGATTGATTCGCTCTGCATCATTCAAGACTCATTGCAGGACTGGGAAGTTGAGGCCAAGAAAATGGCCACTGTGTACTCCATGTCCAAAGTAACCATCATCGCCGCCTCATCGACTTCTTGTCACAGCGGCTTCTTAGATGTCGAACGGCGTCATGGCCAGCTTCGAGCATCGCTTGAGTGGTCTTTTCAACTAACTGTGGGCCCCGTTTGCACGTCTGGATTCCATAAGGACAAATCGGTGGGCCACCCTCATGACTCCCTCGATACCCGTGGGTGGACATTTCAAGAGGAAGTGCTCTCATCTAGATACATCAAATTTACAAAGGATGATATCCAGTGGAAGTGCAATGCGGGAAGCGCGTGCACATGTGGTCGGCAGCCTAGCCAGGCCTACCGTGGTCTTTGGCAGGTTTCGAATCCTACAAGTCTTGACGAACGATCCTGGGAGAGCTTAGTCGAGGAGTTTTCCCACCGGCTCTTCACCAAAGACACAGACAAACTGGTTTCACTGTCCAGTTTGGCAAGGAAAATGACCCCCAGGTTCCCCACAGTCGACGGAAAGACGCCATATGTTGCTGGACTTTGGCGGCGCACTCTCGTGCAACAGTTGAATTGGTATGCAGCTAGTGAACTGGGTCGGTACTCTGAGCGCTATATCGCCCCAAGTTTCTCCTGGGCCTCACTTAGCTTCTATAGAAGGGGTGTGGAGTTTCCGCTACCTCTAAAGCACATTCTTTGCGAGGCCGTAGATGCAACAACGACACTTGTGTACCAGGAAAATCAGTTTGGAGCTATCTCTCGAGGAACCATAACCCTTTGTGGCCCGCACATACACTACACTATTCGCTTTCAGGAGAAAAAACCCGAAATGTTTACTTGGGAGGAGGTGAAACCAGCACTCGAGGTTGAACACATAATACTAGACTGTCCGCTACGCGAACGCCTCGTCAATGATAGCCGCGTGACGCTGCAGAGGTCAACGGGCATGACGCAGCAAGAAGATGGAGAGTTCTCTGTCAGCGTTCTTATCTTGGCAAAATCTGGGCAGCGGCCATGCGGAACCTTGTACTGCTTGATTCTCGGATACGGGGAAAATGGGGAGTACCAGCGGCTTGGCCGGGTTCTATTGAGATACGCGGATAACAAGACCAAGTTTTCGGCCGAGCATTTCAAGCCTTTGAGAAAAGAAATTGTTCTAGTTTAATACACATCGCCAGCCAAATCATTGCTTAGGTCAATTCCGCCCCTTGCTATGGTTTCTTTGTTTCCTTGATACCCTCTTTCTCACCACTAACTCATTATACACTTTTTATAAACTCGTTATACATGTAATATAAACTTATCATGAGCTTATCTTGAATTCATTACTGACTGCGATCTATCATGAATTGTTGTAATGTCGGCCGAATCCTTCCGCCAGACTGCCAATCTCAAAAGCTGCGTTGCCAGATCGCAAGGCAGCTGTTGCTTTGTTACCTTCATGATATTCTTGGCACTCACGGAACTTGTCCAACCCGATACCGAGATGGCCACCGACCCCCGCTTCTTGGCTCGACAATGCAAACTTGGGAAGACAACAACACTGGGCAACGTCTTCGTCGCGGAGAATGCAGAGTATATTTTAAAGACACTCAAACCTTAGGATCAGGGCTCAAGAACATACCAACTATTTGAAGAATCGTACGTGGTTCAACAACTCTTGTTGTCAATCTACCCCCGTGATCCTCTTAACCAGGGTGAAGCCTCGTCGGACTTCTATTGTTCCTGCATCCCTGCAGCCACTTCACTACCCCGCTCACACTCTGTCCTTGATAAATCGCTCGTAATTACCAGGACAACGTCGACATCATTTACTCCAGTCTGCTCCATACCCGTTGGCTCCCCGATCCAGTCGCTGGTCCATCTACCGCCCTCCCAACATGTGTCAAGATACGCCCGCAGATTCCCCACCCGGTGGCATCCTCCCTCCCCAGCACTGGGCACAGCAGGTTGTCTCACCACCCCAAGCCACAATGTGTCGTGCCTTGCTTATGGTTACAGCAGGGACAAACCGATGACACGGATGCCGATTCTGCCCTTGGCGATGGCGCTGAATCATCAACTGCTTCCATCAGCTCCAGTATCCTCCAATATAGAACTATTCATGGGCGATCTTATCACAGTGAGCAGGGCAATGCCCAGTATTGGTACGTCCTCGCATACCCTTCTTGTCCAATAATATCTAATGACATTTTGCTAGGGGTGCAAATGATGAAACTCAGAACGAGGTGATGGACATCAAGTATGCTTACCACTACTGTCACCTGGATGATGTTTACTGAGACCCTCTAAGCCATCACACTCTGACTCTCGGCATTGGAGAAAAACTTCATTTGGCGCCACTAGATAAAGAGAAGCTTGAGGTAGGCGGCTCCTAGGTGTTATATCGCTTTGTTGGCTAACACCTCAGTTCGTTGTCGATATTGGCACTGGAACAGGTAAAGAATGCCCAATACTCAGTCCTAGTGTACTCAATACTGACTCGAATCAACGACACAGGCATCTGGGCCATGTATGCTTTCCCATAGCAAACACCATGCAAAAGCTCGCTCGCTGACACTCGTAGTGACTTCGCCGACGAGTATCCCAACGCACGTGTTGTAGGAACAGACCTGTCTCCCATCCAGCCAGGTTGGGTTCCTCCAAACCTACAATTGTTCGTATCACCCATGCTTAATCCCGTAGTCAACTCAAGACTAACCAGAAGATGGCAGTGAGATTGAAGACTGCACCCGCGAGTGGACATTCAAGCCCGACTCGATTGATTATATCCACATTAGATGGCTGGTTGGTAGCATCAAAGACTGGGGCGCTCTTTTCAGCGAGTCCTTTCGCTGCTGTAAGCCCGGGGGTTGGGTCGAGAGTTACGAGACTTCCTCCGCGATCACGAGTGATGACGATACTGTCAAAGATGATTCTGCAATGGGACAATGGGGCAAGTTCTTTGTCGAAGGAGGTAAAAAGCTTGGCGCGACTTTTACTGTCGTAGAGGACGATACTCAGAAGAAGGAGACGGAAAAGGCGGGCTTCGTTGATATCCACGAATTTGAGTTCAAGGTAAGTCTTTGCCCCAAACGGCCTTTCTCTCAAAGAAGGCTCTATACGGTGGTAAATACCGGGCTTACAATATTTACCAGTGTCCTGTCGGTGGATGGCCAAAGGACCCCAGACTCAAGGAGATGGGACGGTTCACTCAGTATGGACTCGAGACCGACACTGAGGGCTTCGTTCTCTTCATGGCTCACACTTTGGGCTGGAGCAAGGAAGAGATCCAGGTGTACATCTCTCATCTCCGCCGCGAGATGCGGGCAGGCAAGTCGCATGCGTTCTACCGCCAGAAGGTGGTCTGGGGCCGGAAGCCATCTGAAAAGGAGGCTCCCAAGTCGAGTGATTAGAGGCATCGCAGGAGGACTGCAGACTTGCCCGATGGTCATGAGAAAGGAGGTGGATCACGAATTGATGAATCATATGACAAATATATTTACTTCGCTTCCACGTAGCTATTTAACCTTACTTTGTCTCTCTTCACTCATTGAGCCAGTTAAAAGCAGGCCTAGTGGTTTCAGTTGTGATATCGTTAATGTGTGTCTTAGCATACGAGCGTCTTAGTAGAGAAGGACAAACATGAAAGGGCGTGCTTGCAAATAGAGAATGCCAGGGCGAGGTAATGATAATGATACATCAAAGAACGATGGTGCTGTTGCCGCAGTGTTAAGTAAGTGCTTTAAAATATATAATAAAGATTATAGATAAATTATATAAAAATAAAATAAAGAAAAATGGATTTTTAATTAAAAAGAAAGAGAAAAATCCCGTTCCTCTTTAAGGTGCAAACTCATATCTGAAGAAGAAAAGCCGTTGGCCATGCACCAGGGCAACTCTATTTTCAGGGCAGAAGCCACAATGGTGACCTTACCTGACAAAGAGCAATTTTCAGAGCAGGAGATAGGAAAGGGGGGGGGATTGCTCAGTCTGAAGGAGACCAAAGAAACAGATGCGCGTAATGGAGGACGCGAGACAGCGGTGCGCAGGCAACTCAGCCCATGAGGCTGGAGAGGAGGAAGAGTGGCGCACACGCCTCCGGCCGAGCGCTGCCAAAGAGCGGCTGGCGACCAGAACGGAGTTCGCCGCGAGGTACCTCTGCTCCTGTCAGGGGTCCTCGGTTTGCGGTCAGCTACACTGTGTCGAACCCTGTTAACTCTAATCACTGCTAGGGGTCGATCTTGGCGCACAGGCTCGCAGTGGTTGGCTGCCAGCGACAAGGGGTGCCATCTAGTGAACCTGGCACCTCATTGGGCATGGAGTTCTTGAGAGCTCAGTGCTCGTAGGTCGAAGTCTGTGAGTGTCTCCGGGCAGTGTTTAGGGTAGGCAAATATAAGCGAGATCAGAGAGCCGATAAGATAAGAACCCACCTACCAAGATAAGATCTGACTGATAAGATTAGATCGCATCGGCCTGATAAGCTTGATAGCACGCCCGAGCGAGTTTCTGCAGCCCCCTTGCTGAGACTCTGGGTTTGCATGGCTTGAGTTTGCTTTGCAGGAAAATTTTGCATAATTTTAACCTTGCCTTCTCTTGCAGCCCATGGCAGCTTACTTGGTATTTCTCTGGTTACGTCCCAAATATAAAAACGCTTGTCGCCTTGGTCGGATTTGCCATCCATTCACGGCTAAATACAATACGCTGTTTTCAAGATCCAACCGGACAGCTTTCAGGATCCTGAGCCGTTTCAGTAACGTCAACACCCGTGGAAATAACATTTGTTAGAGTTTGATGACAAACCTATATAATTACGAGGCTCCGCCGCTTTAATAAGGCGCTTTAACTCTATGTAACGAAAACTCTTTTGCTCTTTCTTCTCGTCACGACTTATTTCTTATGGGTGTTCACATTAAAAGGGCTCTACTCCTTCTGAAAACTTGCGGGACTCAATTCTTTGTGTGTTTTAAATCTTCCCTCTATCCACCCAAAGCTCACTTCCACTTACGGGCAACACGATGACGACCATCCTCAGTTTTCCGCCTGAGCTTTGGGTTCTGCTCATGACCCATTGCGATTCGCCGATCGATCTTAACAGTCTCATGAATGCCTCTCCCGATGCCTCGCGGCGTTTCTTTGCCGACATACGATCCATACTGAAGTCACGGGTCAAGGGAATCCGTGCCACCTTCGGCTCGATTCCTGCTGTAGCGCGCCGAGCAGCTCGAATCCGTCATGCCAAACAAAAGGAGGGAATTAATACTTTGCACAGGAAAGAAGCAGAAAAAAAGGTAAAACCAATCGCCACCTCCTACCTTGCTCGCTCTGAGACAGACACAGAACAATTTTTCCTAGCAAGACTCGGGCACCTTTACGCGCTTTCAACCATCATCACTGAAGCCGAGTGGATCGCATCTCAATATGCGCCACAAGCTTGGAACTACTACAAACATATGAATAGAGAAGATTTGCCTCCCCTTTGCGTCAACCTAGCTTCTCTAAGCAATGGCATGGAGCTGTCCTTGGGAGAGAAGGAAAAAGTCTCTTGTGCCGTCTTTTGGCTGGAGAGTTATTGTCAGGTGTTCTTTCGTGGTGAGGAGGTAATGTTCAAAGGGGACACGAACTCTCGTCGGGTCTATGTTGAGGAAGAAGCTGGGGTTTCGGAAGACGCGAACATTGTGAACAGATTCTACTGGATCGTCTACTACGTTTTTGACCAGCATTGGTCGCTGCTAGGCAACGTCGCCTGGAATTTACCCAGGAGTAGAAGAATGGTGCAGTGCAGAGCACCACAAATGAAGAAACACGTTGCTTTTCAGTCGCTAATGTCTAGAAACTAACGTACCGGTACGTGAAAGGGAGACCAAATGCCATCAAAACCTAGGACGGACATAGTCGGCCCCTTAAAGCGAGCTATACTCATGTATCGGATTCTCCATCAATCCAGACCACGATATTCCCTGGTGGATTCACCATGTCCTTGAAGAATTGTCTTATGGCCTCCTCCGTGTACCGCATACTGAAATGCATGAGCACAAATGTTGTCCTGGGCCACTTTCGAATGACTGGCTCTAAATCGCTCCATATTGTGTGCTTGGTCCGGACGGCCTGTGGCTTGTGCTCCTCGTACAAGAAACTGCACTCTGTTATGACCACCGGTATACCCTCCTGTAACCAGACGGGGTCGGCAGCCAAGGTTGCCGCTGTGGTATCACCCAGAAAGGCAAATATCGGAGTTGATCGTGGAGCCGTGATTTCCACGCCGGACTCGCGTAGTGCCTTGAGTTCGGGTCCTTTCCGAGAGGTAAATTCTGGCTTGAGGCCATGTGTGACCATGGAAAAGACGTAGCCTACACACGGGACTGTGTGGTCGCAGTCAAAGGCTGTGGCAATCACATTTTTCGTTCTTCTCAAGTTTACAGTATCGCCGTGTTGAACGCCATGTGTAATATGAGTGTTGAGCCATCCATTTCGATCCGGGTCGTTGCTGCCTTCATCACTGGTGTCTGCGAGTTGGTCGGCATCTTCGGCAGTTATCAATCCACCGAGATTAAGCATCGTCCTGGCGAGGAGAAAGTCGTCGAGAACCTTGACCATCTCGACCGGACAATAAATATCAGGCGGATCCTCGCGTTTGACAAAGGCAGGTGATAGAAGAGTGTGGTCACTATGGCCGTGGGTGAGAAAAATGTGCTTTGGTCGCGCCTTGTTGACGCAGAGGCCAGCATCGAGAAGAAGGTTGAGCTGAGGAATGACGAATGAGGTATGCCACGCTGCTCGAGACTTGCCCGTCAAGACATATTGGCTATGTGGTTTTGGAAACCGCCACTCCAGCGTCTCGGAGCGTGTTGATTGCGGAAGCGGAGTCGCAAATGTCAGCTCTGTCATGGTGAAAATCGAGCGTAAGCGATTGAGCCAGGTAGAGGAAGGATGGAATTTTCGGTGACAGAGCGCTGCGATCTTCTGAACAACGTTGGTGTTGACCATTGGAACGTAACTATGTGCGTGGGTTGAGGTTGTCTTTATAGGCTTATCGCTTATCGCTTGTGTGCGTGTGTGGGCTGTGATGCAGGAGCCACTTTCGGCAAGGTGACTCATCAGGCACGGTTGAAAATGACTGGCCACGCCGACATATGTTAACTCAGCCACTCTCATTGAGCCACATGATTGATTGATTGATTGTGAATTGCGCCCAGTTTGTGTTTCATAGATTGGGTTATTTTTAAACTTGATGTGATTGTTATTTGTGGGTTGATTTGCTCGTGCATAGGTTAAGTTATGCTCCGTCATCTTTTGTTAGGCCTAGTCTTAAATCCTTGCTAAGGCATACTCGAATAAAATGATGGCCATGAAAACACGAGTGCCCTTCTGCCTGGCTTTGAGGTATAAATCACCCTTAAAATTAAAAAAAAAAGCACATAGAGTCATAATAAAAGATGTAGATAATCAGTATCAGGCTTTTTTAATAACTTTTTGGGCTCCCGTCTCTGTTGTGTCCATCAGATAGTTACCACAGGTGTGAAGTGATGAATATGCCTACAAATCAGAAAAAGCTATGAAAGACGAGACAGATATCGGAAAAAGTGGATTTCAAGTCAGAATTCTGAATTCTTTTCAAGTTGTATGAGCCTTGAATTCGCATCGTCGCTGGCAGCTGCAGTCGCTGGACATTATGCATCAAATCATGAAAATCTCTTAGTCGAAGGCCCCCAGCCATGGAAAGAAATACCAATGAAGAGAAAATTGGTAGGGTCAAGTCAGCGGTATGAAATGCGAGACTTTCCTGTGTGTGACTTGATGGTGGAGGATTGTGTGAAGCGTCTGTCTCTCGGCATCAATGGCAGGAATTCAGGGCCGTAGCGAACGGTAGCTTCTAGCAGGTGACAAAGTATTAAATATTTTTACATGCTTTACTCGATACTACATATTTTTCAACACTGGATGAATGCTACACAAAATAGATTTAGCTCTAGGTTTAGATGTCCGTAGGTAAAGATCCCTGGGAACTGCGAGATCTAAGCGGCGAAAACGCCGATAATGCATCCTGAAAGGAAATACGTAAGCACCCCATGGCCAGATTGTTAGCGAGAGACTAATGCGATTTTGATGGTGGTCTGCTGAGCAGTTGGATGCAACTATCGAGCAACTGCAGGCGGCGACTGAAGGTGGACAAGCGGACTATGTAACCTTAGTCGGACGATTCTGGCTTGAGCATTACTACTCATCCTTCATCGACGGAGACAACAGCCCGGAAGGCGTGAAACACTTGGGTTTTATTTGGGCAAAGGATTTGTATCCCGAGTTCAAGCCAACCACGTTCAAGCAGTTTTTCCAGGATATTCTCGACAAGAAAAGGACTCTGCCATACGCTGGCAGATCCTGAGCGACGATGAGAGATTTGATTTGTTAAGTCATAACTTGTTGCATCCTATCTTATTGCGATTCAAATAAACATCGACCCATTTGATTGTTTACTGGATATATCTATCCTACACAGAGCGAGGATTGCAACGTCTAGTGCCCCTTTCGACCTCCCACGCGCACGGGCTTCATCAACAGGCTGCGAACTTCTTGCAAGGGTGTAGGGATGAAAGGTTGTGGGTATTGGCGAGGAGGGGCGTCGAGCAAGTAGGATGGGATCTCCGCGTTCTGCCCTGGCGGTGCAGCCCTGTGTCCCAAGTCAGCATGATATTAACAAGTGATAGCCAGTAAGGAAGTGATCTCACCCATTGAAGGCTAGGTTGGTCAGCAGATCGCCAGCCGCGTTGAACATGACCTGGTTACAGAGGTAGGATCCTCCTCCGGGCAGGAAGAGCTTGTGCTGCCCTGCGAGGCCCTCGAGAAGAGCTGCCTGGTACTGTCCAAGCTGGGCCTGGAAGGCAGCTGCGGCAGAAGTCTGCAAGGTAGCCCCGTATTCATCCAAAGTCGGCGTCCATTTGACACCGTCCGAGTGATACGTCTTGACGGGGCCCTTGGTCACTTCAGTTGTTCCAGACTGTAGGATCTGAACGCCGCCGTCGTCGACCCGCTGGGCCACATAGACCAAGGTGAACTGCATAGTAAAACTCATGCTGCAGGGTGATGTCAGTAAGAACAAATGTTTCTATGTTTGGGTAGCCTACGTTGAGTTGGAGTCCCAATCTCCGGACGAGCTGCATTTCATGCCGACTGTGTTGTTGCCTGTCAGGGTGAAGATGCCACCATTTCCACCAGCGGTGAACTTCAAAGACGTGTTGGCAGTCGCTATAGCCTGTGTTAGCGATTGCTGGACACACGGATGAATTACATGCCGTTTTGATCAAGGGTCCAGTCATTCCCGCCGCTCGTCATGACGTTGTTGGTAGCCAATAGAGAGTCGGTTGCGGTCCATGTCCAACTGACATTATCACTACCCCTTGTGAAATTGTAGTATGTATCGTCGGAGTCTGGGTGGGCGGTACAAGTACCCGGCACATATCTCAAGCCAACGGTAGCACCACCATCGGTGTACGGCTCAAGAACCGGCGTTGTGGGTTGGATTTGGGAAGCCCGGTTGATTACTTGGATCAGAGGGAGTAGCCAGCCCTCCCAGAACTGGGCATTGTTCATGCAAAGGATGGCACCTCGTCCTGTCTCCGTGGCATCGGCGTCGACCCAGGTGCCTGAGTACGGCAGGGATGGGGGTACAGGAGGCCTAGCATTGTTGGTCATGATCAAGTAGCATAGTGCATTCGAGTCAGAGTCGTTGTTGGGCGCTTGAGGGTTCGTAGGATCCTTCCATGGATATGTGCCGTAGTCGATGGAGGTTGGTGGGAATGTTGGGGCCGTTGGGTTCACTGCGAGAGAAACTGAGTTAGACAAATCTCAAGCAGAGTAATCGCCGCGTGACTAACCGCTCTTGGGATCCTCGGTTTGCAGCATGACTCCGACCTGGGTATGTCCACCACTGGCCATCTGATCCATCCAGACATAACGAAGCTCTTCGAAGTGAGCTTGAATTACGGGAGACTCCTTGCTCCAATCGAGACCGTTGAAGAAGGAACCCTCGGGATAGTATCCGGGCGTCTCTTCAGGAAGTTAGAGTGTACCAGGCTCCTGGGTAGACTGCCACATACCTTGAGACTTGACGTAGAGCTTGGCCAGAGAGAATTGGCTGTCAGCGGGAACCCCCATCCGCTCCTTGTAGCCATCATAGCTTGGGTCTGTAGGAGGGATCGAATCATGGGCTTTGATATGTGGTCAGCCAACCGGGTTCAATATCAGAAGCACCAGCGCGGAGGGCGGAAGGACATACTCAGCGCGGTCCCAAATGCGACGACCCACTTGGTCAGGTCGAAGGTCTTGGTCGTAGGATCGTTAGGGTTGTCAGTGGTGAAGAGAGTCATGGTCCCCGACTTGAAGTTCCATTGAAAATAGAGCATGTAAGTGAAGTCGACAACGTTGACAATGATGGTTGGAGCCAAGAGCTCGCCCTGGAGCTTCTCCCCGTCCCTGGTCTGCAGGGTGATGTTTCGCATGGGAGAAGTTGGATCAGCTAGAGCCCACATGTTGGCAAAGGCCGCATTGATGGTCTTCTGACTCAAAATGACGGTCTGGTTGTAGGGCTTTGGCGAGGTCTTGTTGACAAGGCTCTGGATGAAAGGGTCAGTGTTAGGGGCCATTGTGAGTGTTTACTAGAAGTAAAAGTCTGGTAGCCAAGAGATGATTGTTTAAGATGTAAGTATTGCTCAAGCTCTGAGTTAGAAAAGAAGGTAAGTGTTGGTGGTGTTGGCTGTTGGCATGTCTATATACCCCCATTCTTCGTACCTCGAGAGGGATGAGGCATCAAGAAGCTCTATCTACACGCATGGGCCCACGGGTAATAATTTACAACTACAGATAGCCGATGCAGGACTCTTACTCAATACGAGACAAGACTTTGCCGGTCACTGCACCTACAAGAGGTATTGTCTCACACGCGTCGTATCATGCATCTTGTCCGACTTTCGTGTCCTGTGGGGGAGTCGGGGCAACATACGACGAGGGATAAGGATCTTTCATTGAATTGGCACTAACAGTCTCTGTAGACCGGCCCCCACGGGGAATGCAAGCCATAATGCCTGTAGATCAATGCGGCAATATAGAGACGCAATCATGACCTCAAGCCGTCTGCAGAGCGCACATCTATGAAGGACGTGGCATACATAGGGCGGGGTAGATCAGTATATCAGCCGATCACAATGCAGGTTCTCAGGATGTGTGTGTTACAAGAGAGATAGCCTATTTCCGAGACCCTTCTCGGAGCATCTCGATGCAGCAACCGTGTCTGTCCCGCCCTGTTGTGCAACATGTCGTGGAACAACAACACGGCCCGGTCCGGTCCGGAATCTTGATACCCGGATAGAATTTGAGGGAGGAGGGCCAAAGTGGAGTTTTCAACTGAAACGGGCAGGAGAAAATAGAAAAGAACGCGGGGGTTGTGAGACAGATGTGTTGCACAGGTATCGTTAACGTGGATCACTGGAGCAGCAGCGGTTCTAGTGCTATTTTTGAGGGGATCTGATTATTCAGGTGGGATTCTGTTTGTGCTTCTGCTTCTAGCTCATTATTTAGTTTCATTAAGCCTGCCTTGATGTTCATGAGGGCCTTGGCTTTGAAAGCTCGCTTCAAAGGTTGGGGTTGAATGTTCGAACTGACCAGTCTGTCACACGGCCTGTGCAGATTAAACATGTGGAAAGGTTATTTCGAACTGCTTGAGTTGATCAAGGATGTATTTAGAACTAGACCAGGGCCAAAACTTTCCCCTCTCCATATCTCCTAGCCGATGTGCCACAGCAGCACTGTCGACGATCCGTTGATGTTGTGTCATGAGACCTTAGAGACTTGCAGCCGATGAATTTCGGGCAGCATTCACAGAATCTGGAGGGTTCACGTGTGTCCTTGCTTTCAGTTGATTGGTACTAGCCATAAACATCGCGACGATATCTGCTGCACGCCGCTGGAAGCAGCGTTGAGCGTGGCCGCAGATGCAAGACTTCCTGAATCAGTATTCCGCTGTCGATGTGTGGGAGATTCAGCTCGTGAAGGAATCGGGGGTTTTTCCCTTGCGTGTCTCTTGTTTCCTCTTCCCTCTTTCCATGACACACGGTTGAAGATCAAGGAAATTCCCTAGGCTTAAAAGAGACCGCTCCGCGAGGTCACCATCAATCCAAGAAACACCATTACCCCCAAACCCAATCACCGAAACCCGTCAACATGATCACCATTACTCAAGACTCCGAGTTCATGACCAACTTGCTGGCTGCTAACCCTGTCCCAGCCGGCAAGCAGTTCGTCGCCATCCTAGACAAAGACTCGAATCCCGCAGTGTTTGCTCTAGGCGAGGATTCAGTCCTCAACCTCATCATCAACCAAGATGGTAACCCCTCTCGCATTGACTTTGGTGCTCTGTGCAAGGTCTCTGGAAATGTTCTCGCATTCGGGGTCCAGCAGAACCTAGACAGCACACTGTCTATTGTGATCGCCTCGGATGCTGGCAACAACCTCAGCAACGTGTATATCCTCGTGGGTGTCATGCCCGCCGACCTTCTCACGATCCAGCCAAGCAGTGTCTTGTTTGCTGGTGGCTCATACCCAGTAGTGTACGATGTCTTCTTGGGAAGTTTCCAATAATTGTCTGTGAACTTCAGGTATGCTAACCTGCTATAGAGCGACTTTACTCAGACGGCCGGAACCACAAACTTTCCCATGATCTTTCTGGCTCTGGCGCCACCAGGATCCCTCACCGAGTCCAGCCAACTGGGATATCTGAACGTGTCAGCGAAGCAAGGGGGCGGGTTTGACTTCTCGCTCAATACTTCGTGGAGGCTGGCAACGGATCCCATCTCCATCTTAAGCGTTGCCTTTGGAACATGTCCCCTCGGCAACGGAGCCTTTGTCTTGTACACTGCCAGCGATGGGAATCATCTTCAATTCTGCACGTTTGGGGGAAGTGGCTTTGTGTCCGAGATGACGTGCCCCGACGGTTTGTCCCCAGTAGCTTGTTATTTCGGATATGCAGTACTCACAATTATCAGAGGCACTTTCCATCGACTCTTATGTCAACCCCACAACGACATACACAGAGCTTCTGGTGGGCGGAGATGTCATCACACTGTTCACCTATCGCCAGTACTGCGTTGGGCAAGGCGTAGGCACGCCTGTTGTCACTGATAGTGGTGCCCTTGGGGTGAAGAATCTTCTCGCCTCCCAGTCTCAGGGCATCATCACCATGTGGTACACAACGGCTACGAGCTCAGTGTACTACTACACGGCGCCGCTCGCTTCCATCACGGGCGGGCAGCTAGTCCCTCTGCTTGATGATGGACAGGGGGCACAGATATCCACACTCCTGGCTGCTAAAGAGGCCCAGGGGACGCTCATGGTCGACACCCTACTTGCAGCCGACGGAACAGGAAACCTATCCATGCTCCAGTGCGCCTCGGACACCGGAATCTGGCAGTCAGTTCCATTCTACGCACCATCTGATGCCAACAACATGGATGTGCCAAGCTTCACCCTACGGTTCAAGACTTCCTCCGACGATCCGACTCAGCCTGTGCAGAGCTGTCAGCTGCACATTGTGAGCTCGGGTGCTGTTGAAGTCTTTGCCAACGGCGCCTCCGCGACCATCGACACTGAAGGCAAGTGGTACCAGGCAGATGCGTTTGGTGTGGTCAGCGTCATTGTTTCCACTGCAGACATGGCATCCTTCACCTTCCAGGTAAACCAGTTTCAGGCTGCCGGGGGCAGTCCCGTGGCCATACAGAACGATGTCTTGAATCCCAACGGAAAGCTGAACTCGAAGCTTGCCTTCATTCAACATGCAGGTGACCTCTTGAATGCCAAAACCCAGACAGGAGATCCGTTGATTGCACCAGGGACGGTCAACGAACAGGACGCAGAGCAAGCTGCGGCCATGATCAGCCAGTTGAATAAGACCCAGATATTTTTCGGGCGGCCGGGCCAGCCCCTGAAGAGGATTGACAACAGCCCCAAGGTCTACAATCCGAAAGGAGAGAGGCCGACCATCCTCGCAGGAATGGTTGGAAGAAACCATCCAAGGGAGATTGAAGAATTCTTGGATAGAATGAGCGAGACGAGTTGGTATGACCCTTGGGGGTTCTTTTCCTGGTGCTTCGAAAAGGCCAAGCAGGCTACAAGCTGGGTCCTTCAGAAGATTGGTACGTTATCGTCGCTTCTTCATGCTCTTGAGCACACATTGACGTTTTGAACTAGGGAATGTTCTGAATTTGGTGATAGAAATCGCCGGCACGGTGTACAAGTTCATCCTCGACGGCGTTGAAGCCGTTGGAAAGGCCATGAGCTGGGTCTTTGAAAAGATCACCGTCGGAGTGCAGAAGCTGATTGACTTTGTCGGTTTCATCTTCCAATGGGGAGACATCCTTGACACCTCTGACAGCATCGTGGCCTTTATCAACGCTGGCCTCGGATATGCACAGGACCAAGTCTCGGGTTTGAAGGCCAAGGAGCAGCAGTTCATGCAGACGTTGAAGGACTCTGTGAACAACCGACAGGCCCCCGAGAATATCGCCGCTGGCACCGAGACCAAAGATCCACAGGAAACAAACGACATGGATGCGGCCAAGAACAGCGTCGCATACAACTGGGTGTCGTACCAAGTTACATATGGAGGTATGGCTCAGAATGGCAATATCAACGGCGCAGCGGATCTCATGTCCACCATGCCAACTCTCGAGGACGGCACCACTCTGCAGGATCTCTGGAATGACCTGTCAACTATCTTTCAAACCCTGTACCACTACATCACCACCATTGGAGGCGATGTGAGCAACCTCTTTACCCCTACCACCACCTCAACCGACGCGTACAACAGACTGAAGCTCGACCTGATCAACGCTGCGATTGACACGACGCAGAACGTCCTGGATCTTCTCATCGACGCCCTGTCTTTGGTCTTGACTCAGTTCCAGGAACTATGCAACCAAGCTATCGAGCTCCCCATCTTCACTGCCCTCTGGAAAGCCATCGCCGGTGGCAGGGACTTTACCGTCTTCAACGCCTTCTCTCTGCTTATGGCAATTCCTGTGACGGTTGTGTACAAGGTGGTCAAGGGTACAGCTCTCCCGTCTTTGAAGGGCATGGACAAGACCACTTTCGCAGCCTACGTGAATGGCACCCTAGGTGACGATGACTCGGAATTTGGCATCACCCGCACGCAGATTCAGATCGTTGGGTTTGCGATAGCGGTCACAGCCATCCACCTTGAAGTGGACTTTCAGTTGATCAGCTGGGTGACCAACAAGATTCAAGGTCTCGCCGCCGAGACTATAGACACTGGTCTGATCTTTGTTGGTGTGGCTATGTTGATCATTGGATGGCCCGTTGCTGGTCAGAAGGACATGGGAATGAGATTCATCGTGAGTTATACTCCTTGCAATTTTATCTTATATAGCCCCCAGGGCCTAGGCTTTCAGCTTTACGAGTATAATTTGGCATACTGACTTCTGAAACAGGTCTGGGGACTCGACTGCTCCAACGTAGTCGCTCTCGCAACTGCACGATTTGTCTCATGGAAGACTAGCACCCCGCGGTCTGAGACGGCGCCCGCAGTGGCAACTTGGGTCGTAATGACGTCTATCCCCTCATACATGATCAAGGTCATCGTCAACAACGACTCGGAGTCGAGCGACCCAAGCCTTCTTGCCCGACACATAGCGGAGGATACCTTTGGCATGATCAAGGCGTGGCTCGCCGGCGTGGGTGAGGTAGTTGAGGATCTCAAGGTCAAGGCCGTTGCCAAGGGCTTGGGATATGTGTGCGTCACTGTACAGGTTGTCATGAAGTTTGTCGACTTTTATATTGCAGCAGAGGATTCTCTTGACAGGCCTCTCTTATTGCGGGAATAGCAGGGATGCATGACCAAGAAAGGGTAGTTCTCAATGATGTAGCCTTTAAAGTTGCTTACGAGGTCATATTTCATACGAAAACTGTAGTAAAATGCGAAAGAGTCAAGATTGGTACATAGATGGACGTACTGCGCCAGAAGGCCGCGTCCCGCAATTTTGGGTATATGTTTATATTATGCTCTGAGATTCAACGGCTTTCGAAAAGGGGTGGAAAGATAAATCTATATACCTAGAAATCGTAAAAGTGAAAATTTATACAGAGCATATGCTGATACTCTAACACGGGCACACCAACCAGGTAATACCAGCTTGAATAACGGCCATAAAGCCCGGCTCTATAATGCCGCTCAGCCTCCAGGCTTAGATCTTTCCAAAGCCCAACGCTCTGAGAAACCTTGGCCTGCGCGGTCTTGGCCTGAGTGGAACAAATAATGGGCAATCCCTTGAACTCAGACAAGAATCCAGAGTCCTTGCGGCTGAAGGCACTTGAATCAGAGAAAATGTTGCCCTGGCACACGCGACCGAGATGCGACTTGGTAGCCTCTGCAGCGGCGGTGTCGGGGCAGCTAGCTGTTGAGTTGACCCTTGAAGTCGGGCACGATGACTTGTTGGACATTCAGGAAGATATTACCCTCAAAGAGACCCTTGCCGGCTGTGTCTCCCTCGATGGCGTGGCCCTTGACGTCAGACCAGACGTTGTTGACAGCGTGGAGAAGGGTGGTGGCAGAAAGGGCAGTTCCGCGTCCGCTCGTGTGAATGATGTAGTTGTCTGAATGTGTAAGCAAGTATTCATGACTATCAGAGAAACTCACTCTGGAGGGTGATTTGATCGCCCTGGCCAACCATCTCAAAGGTCCAATAGTGGTAACCAGTGCATCCCGCTGACCACGAAGTGCGGCCATCAATAAAGTTGTTTGAAAGAGTGATGCCGGTGCTCTTGTCACGACCAAAGACGTAGTGCTGGCGTCCGAGAAGCGATGTCTGACACGATCAGCAACTATCCGAGCATTGCAATGATCGACCCAAATCTTGCTGGTACCAGAAGAGGCAAAGGCATCACCACCCCAGACGTATTAAGGGTTAAGGTTAGTGACATCTGAAGTGTGGTTAGCTGATCGTCTGTCTTGTATGAGTGCTGACTTACGGATGTTCTGGACGATAATGTTCTTCACGTTGACAAAACGCAATCTCTTGCCCTTGCTGATATCCTTGTTCCCAACTCTAATAATGGTCTTGTCAGAAGCAACCCTGATAATAGCTGTTCCAGCCTTGTCGTAGGTAACCTGGGCAGCGGGCTGACTGCCACAAAAGTTGGCGCTGTTTATGGCCAGTTGACAGCCCTTTCCAATTCCCCATGGAGCGCAGCCCGTTGCAGGCACCGTACCCTCGGAACCGATGAAGTCGTAGGTCCTGTCGAGAACAATGACACGAGGCGATTTATCAGTCAAGTTAGTGACAAGCTCTTGGATGTTCCTCGGGGTGAAGGGAGTTGCTGAGCCACCTCCAGTAGCACCTTGAGCAAAACCTTCAGCTGCACCAGAGACCTTCTTCGCCGCAGCGGAGGTCAGGAGTGCAGTGAACGTACTAACGAAAAGGCCGAAATTCATAGTTGTAGGGGAGTAGGTGTAGGATGCGAGGTGGCTTGGCAGATGAATAGTATAGTGTATAGCTACCTTAGCCCCTATATTCTCACTCTAAGGACAAGATTTAAGCAGCAACAACATATCAAGTCGGCTATTAACTCTAGCAGCAGATTCATATAGCCGAATGGCAAAAGTTGACATACTATTGGTTTCAGGTGGCCGGAAATTCGTAGGTAAGAGTCGAGCCAATGTACCATGGACATGTTATCCCACCACTGGAAATCAGTGAGAGAAGGTCCTTGGGTCACCGCAACTCAAGTCCCATAACTCATGCCCTTGAGGTGGGCTGGCCGCTTGGATGCGGTGAAGCGGGTTTCCCTATAGGATATTGTATTCTCAGTTAGGGTTCAATGCCGGCACATGAAAATAAGTATGCTCTTTGTTGTTAACGCTGATGGCTTCTTTCGGAAACATCACCAAGTTCACACAAAAATGGGTTTTCCAATGGGGGGAAGCCAGTCATGCGAGGGTTATTATTGCCAGTCAAAGGCGCGCTCAAACGTGAGGTTGTGAGATTGTGGGCCCCAACAAGATTACCGTGTGTTCCGGCGTGAGGAACGATGAACGAGACTGAACGAGACTAAACGAAGTCCTCGTGTTTCTTAAACGACAACGCCAAGGATAAGCTTGGAAACAGCGGAACGAGATACGCAACTGAAAGGATACCAACAAACCAACAGTCTTGGCTCCCTTATCGAGAACAGCTTCGCTCCCCCTTCGGTTCGTAATTCTAATCGCATACGATCCGCCCCGTTGGACTTGAGCTTTTTTGTCCTTTAACTTTCTTCACCTCGTTTATCCTCGCTGTTCCCATCCATCCCTGCTTAACAATGACGACTGGGTCCGAAGCTTCTGCAAATATGTCAGATGGTGACTTGGCGACTTCGTTAAGACGGCGGCTTGCACGGAAACCTCACAGAAAATCGAGAAAGGGATGTCTAGACTGCAGAAGACGTCGAGTCAAGGTGAGTTTGTCTACACAAGACTATTATGACGTTGACTAAAAATTGTCTCGAGTGTGATGAGGAACATCCGAGCTGTCGGACATGTGTGCGACGTAATGTCCACTGCGAGTACCCAGACAATGCCCAACGTCTGCTTAGCCCGCCAACAACTGCATTGGACTCCCATGTCCCACTGTACTTTGGCAGATCTTCGTCTTCACCATCGGCCTCAACACCAGCCACTACGCCGCTTTTCAGTCTCGCCAACGTCACCACTGACACATTCTCTCTGATCGACTTGCGTCTCCTTCATCACTGGATTACATACACAAGCCAAGATATTTGCAGGTGTCCTCCAGCTCGACACATCTGGCAAGGCATACTCCCCCAGATTGGATTCAAACATCCATATGTGTTGCACGCCCTGTTGGGTCTTGCTGCTTTGCATATTGCCCATCAAAACCCTCGGGAGAGAAAGGTCAGATGGATGGATGCAGTCGACTATCACAGCAGGGCGCTGGATGGCTTTCAGAGAGCGGTCGGATGCATCACTGAAGAAAACAGCGAAGCATTATTTGTTGGATCAGTATGCAACGTCCTGTACGTCTTTGCCCTGTCAAATCCGCTCCAAGAGAGTCCAGACACCGTCTCCTACTTGACAACGTCTTCACGGAATGACAGGATACTTGGGGCTGAGTGGATTCCCATGATTCGTGGTTTGGAAGCGGTACTTCAGCCCATCCATTCCCATTTGCAGGTTGGGAGGTTAAGCGCCATCATCAGCCTCGGAAATTGGGATGAGCTAGATCCTGAAAAGAACAGCTCTGACCCAGCCGATGAGTACTTTTGCAGAAGCCGGGAGGCATGGACAGACTCCAGCTGTTCTGGGGTCTACGAAACGACTCTCCAAACTCTACGGAAGTGCTATTTATACTCACAACAGTTCTCGTCCATGGATCCAAAAGTTATCGACCAGTGGGGATGGAACAGGGCGTGGTCAGGACCACTCATGTTCATTCACTTTGCGCCCGAAGCTTACTTTACACTTCTTCAACAAAGGCAACCGCCTGCCTTGGTTCTGTTTGCCTTCTTCGGCGCTCTTTTGCATGAGTTGGACAATTATTGGTTCTTAGAGGGATGGGGAAAGTCAATTGTCAAGGTTGTGGAGGATGTCCTTGGGGCGTACTGGAAACCTTGGATTGCGTGGCCCTTGCGGGTAGTTGAAGTAGAGCAGAGTTGAAGGTTAGAATTAACAACCGATTCTTATATTGCTTGGTTAATCTGATTATACCGGAGATAATATTCATCCTTCTCTTCTCCGATTTCCTTCTTTGCAAACACGAGAGAACCCAGTATTGTCGTGTTTTCGGGATTGGTCGTTTAAGTCATGGGTCTTATTTGGACACTTTCTTTCTCTGGCTGGTTCTTATGGTGCATATCCATAAGGTCCTTAACCGACCTGCGAACGACTTCTCTCGGTCAATTGGTGAATTGGCTTCGGTCAATATCCCTTTTTTGGTGCCGCGTCAAGAGCTCTGAGCCACCTCCATCTTCGTATACGTATTTCGCTCGGTAAGTGCTTGGCATGAATGCTGCGCATCTGTCTCTAGGCCGTTACGTGTCAGCGGGTCGGCCGAGTGCATCTCGAGATTGTAGAGCTTGTCTCCCAGAGCATGGCTCTATGCAGTAGTAATTGATCAGATTGCTCTCACACCTGTCATTTATCGGGATGCTATATGACCGTCATATTCATCCCACACTCTCACAAACCCATACTCACGATATCAGAGATCGATCAGTGACAACTGGATCATTTTATTCTCATATGAAGATGCTTAACTTGCTCTAGACTCCTTAGCTCTTTACGTGTAGTCAAATATATACAATGCTCAACGCTTTCACCCATGCAATGATTTCTTCTATGTATAACACACAACATCTCAAGAACAGCAGACGCTTCAAACAAATCCACCACTGCCCAAACTCAAAGACATGCTTGTCTATCTTCTGTCGGGGGCCAATGCCTCCAAGCCAACATCACCATCACTCTCATCGGAGCTTCGTCGACTGCTCTTGTCCTTCGGGCTGAGCTGTTCGACATACCAGATCAAGAAAATAGCCATAACAACCGCCATAAGGATCGTGTCAAAGATGTAAAGAAAGATCTCGTGGGTGATCAGATATCCCTTATTTCCCTGCAAATACTCAATCACGCGAAAAACACTTCGAATCAGGATAATGAGACTGGTGATGTAGAGAACCCAGAGATGTCTCTTCCAAGGGACATCACCTCTCTCCGCCACACGCGTCGGTGTGAGTATAATTCGACGGTGGAAGAGCATAGCTGTGACTATGAAGAAGCCAAAGATGCAAATCTGGCAGAAAAGACCGGCGATAATAATCTTTTCACCAATCTTATAGAGGTCCAAGGTCCCACCAGATTGGATGCCTCCACCTCCTGCTTGGAGGGAGAAGGCAATGACATCGCCAGTGACAAAGATCCGTGTAACCCAGTTCACTGGGATCAGAGACAGATGTTCAGCTCGGAGGGTGCGAATCAAGCGACCCAAAATCATGTAAATCGAGGCGGCGTAGAGGGCGGGAGCGACGAGGATCAGGATGGCTTGAATGACGAACCCGCCAATCGAGAGGGCATCATAATGACTCCATATTCGACCGCAGTAACCGATGGTTTGGACTTCGAATGGATGTCAGTATTTCTCCATCAGCCTGTCCAAATTGGTTCACTCACAAACTCCACCAATTGTGAACGCAGAGAAGTAGAATGCTCGGGCTCTAAGCAGCCTCCAGGTGTGAAGAACCGTAAGCACGGCAAAAACTGCAACACTTGCGATAGCTGCAGGAAGTGAAGGAGTGTATCGGTAGAGTTTAAAGTCAAAGGCAGCACCCGGGTCCGTTCCGTCTGCCATGTCGTGAACCGGTGGATGTGTTGAAGGGCGGGAATAAGGCGGTGGAGATCAAGTGTGGTGAAGGGCCCAAGTGAACGAGAGACTGACAGTTCAAGGAGTAAAATGGGCCGCGGATGGGAAAGAATGGAACACTCGGGGAGTTTCTTCGAGTGCAAAGACTAAATACTGGTATTCGGCAAGTTGACGACCCCAGAAACAGACCAAGTCGTGGCAAGCTAAGGCTTTTTTTCTTGACTCATATGGGCAAAGCGAGATGATCGATGCTGAATCTCGGACCAAGAACGAAATACGAGGCTGAGCGAGGGTCCACCACTGTCGGAGCGTCCGAGTTTGCGAGTGGCTTATCAGCAACTAAACGAAGAACGAGGTATGCACGACTCACCGACCAGTCTCGTTGAAGCGCGCGGTAACGAGCAGCGAAATCTCTAACAATTCCATAATTAAACACTGAGGCTGATTCAGGTGGTTCGGTCCGCAAGGCGTTTTTGAAGGGGAGTGGCATTGTATATAGCTACCGTGGTCCTTTCCTTGGTTTGGCATTTCTCAACCACTCCATTCTCTCATTCAACACCCCGGTCGTATTTTTCTCGTCTTATTTCTTTGGCTTTATTAGCTTATAGACCTTCTTTCGTTGCTTTCTGCTCTTCTGATTGGCTATTCTCTTTCTGTTCTCTAAACCTTCACTAGAGCGTAGCGTTGCTTTCTGTCGGACAGCTACCTTATCCGTTTCTTATCTCTAAACCACCATCAGCTTGACGGCATCAACCATGCCTCTTTTGCACAGAGCTGATCCAGCTGCCGACGCTGGAGCAACATTCTCGCTCTATCACTACGATCCGACAGTTGCTGGTGGTGTCGTCTTTGCCCTGCTGTTTCTCGCCACTTCAGTGTTTCACTTCTGGCAACTGTTCCGTGCAAGATGCTGGTTCATGATTCCACTAGCCATGGGAGGCATTCGTAAGCAATGCTTGTGCTTCTTCAGGAGATTTGGAGAAATCTAACCAATATTCTCTTGTAGTTGAAGTTATCGGATACGCAGCTCGAGCCAAATCAGGCGACGAGAGTCCCAACTGGACTCTTGGTCCCTACATCATCCAGGCGATTCTCTTACTCGTGGCACCTGCTCTTTTCGCTGCGAGCATCTATATGGAGCTTGGCAGGATTGTCATCATGGCCGAGGGTGAGGGACATGTTTTGATCCAAAAGAAGTGGATGACCAAGATCTTTGTCACTGGAGACGTTCTGTCTTTCTTTCTTCAGGCTGGAGGTGAGTGTTTCCCATTTCCGGTAGTAATCCTCAAAAGATACTAACAAGGAGGACTAGGTGGAGGCTATCAAGCCGCCGGCTCGTTGGAGGCATTGGAAAACGGCGCCAAGGTCATTATTGTCGGCCTCTTTGTCCAGCTCATCTGCTTTGGCGTTTTCATCGTCATCGCTGTGTCCTTTGATCGATCGATGCGACAGTCCCCGACAGGACGTTCGCATGTGGTTCCCTGGAAGAAGCACATGAAGGTGTTGTACGTCGGTAGCATGCTGATTATGGTGCGATCGGTCTTCAGGGCTGTCGAATATCTGCAAGGTTTCAACGGATACCTGTTGAGGCATGAGGCGTATCTGTACATCTTTGATGCTGCTCTCATGTTTCTTGTCATGGTCTTGTTCAACTGGATTCATCCGGCCGAGATCACGGCTATTCTTGGTAATATGGGCAATTCATATGGTTATAAGATGGACTCGGTGGGAGGTCACCATCGTTTGACCGAGGAGGCGTAATACTCGCCCGCTTTTGAGTCGGAAGCATGGTTTTATGGAGTTTTCAATGCCATTGTTTGGAGTCTGGGAATAGAGATAGAGTAGAAGGGTGATTTTATGACGAATCGTGGGTATCAAGGAGCTGCCTTTCCTAGTGTATCGAATGGTTTATCAGAATCTTGCTTTCAAGGCCATGCTCGATCAGTTCCGCGATCCGCCTCCCCTCCTGGTATGTTCAACACAGAAGGGATAGAATTTTGTGTTTCGAGAGATTTCAACATGTGTTTACCTCCGCATTTGTTGTGTATGTTTGGGGCCGATACAGTAATTGCCAACAACATGGCGACGATCGTCGCTGCAAATGCTTCCAAAGAGGACCGATCAGTGACAACTAAAATTGACAAGACGGGTAGACGGGAATCATAACCTACCCGAAACACCCGTACCAGAGCCCAGTACGTGTGTCAAATTCTAGAGACCAAACTGAAGATAATGAACGTTGCGTTTGAACAGACTTGGTTAGACCATTCCATCAGAACCAAGACTATGCGTGAGACTCTTTCTTAGTCCAGAGCATTTAACTACTTACTTTTCTTACAGCCATGCTCCCCATTACCGTGGAAGACGCCCTTTTTGATCAAGACAATTGCCATGATTGCCAACGGTGCTCCACTGAATATATGAAGCCTGGTTCCTCTTTAAAGCTTTAAGCAACTTTATAAGCCCAATAAGGATCATCCTAGTGAAGCTCGAAATCGACTGCCTTTAGGGTATGATAAGCTTTTCTGCTGGTGTCTCGTCTCCTCTTTGACACGTATTCCAAGCTCACAGGGACCCTTGATATGCAGGGGACTGTAAGGGACCGAGATGCTGCATGATGACGAGGATTGATGGAGCTAATCAAGCCACAATGCAAACTTAGCTCGGCCCTACCCACTCATTACATTACATAACTGTCCATTCTAGACAACGATTGGCGCGTTGAGTGTCTCGTTCTTCGTTCCCCTCGTATCTCGTTCTTCTTGTCTCGCTCGTTTCTCTTATTTCGTTCCCTCTTGTAGACTCGGTTTCCGCTCAGCTTCTTGTTCTTTCCCATCGCTCTCACCCTCTTTGTTTGAAGACTGGCCTCATTGGCGATGGAACCGACGCAGCAGCCGACGACAGGCAAGCGAAGACCACACAGGAAATCGAGAACGGGATGCTTCGAGTGTCGGAGGCGACGAATCAAGGTGCGTGTCGCTTTGCCACATCTCACTTCGATTGGTTACACGGTCTAATTCATGATGCAGTGTGGTGAAGAGAGACCGGCTTGTGCGGCATGTGTTCGACATGACCATCCATGCGTCTACCCGTCTGCACAGCAAGCCACCCCCTGTCCCACACCGGCTACTGACCACCCTACTGCCCGATCTTTGGATAGCGAGGCATCATTGACGTCTTCTCTTTCGGTACCCCACCTCGCCGAGAGGGATCAGACACCCTTTCCATCGTCACCGTCCTTTGTCCTTGATGATATGGCCTTGTTACATCATTACACCCTGTCAACAAGCCTCGACATTGTCAAGTCTTCTGGTGGAGACGAGTATTGGCAGAAGATATTCCCCCAGATTGCATTCAGGCATGCCTTTGTTATGCACGGTATCCTTGGTATAGCAGCCTTGCATCTCGCATATAGGCAATGTGCCGAGCGAGAACGGCTTCTCTTGATCGCCGCCCACCATCACAACATGGCCTTGCAAGGGTTTCAGGAGAACATAGTTCACATGACCGACGAAAACAGCGATGCTTTATTCGTATGCACGTCGATGAATATTCTCCACGTCTTTGGCATGCTCGGACCGCTCTACGATGGCCCTGCCGCCGGCCGCAAGTCCCGGATCCTCGGAGCCGAGTGGATCCCCATGATCCGCGGCGTCGGGGCCGTATTGAAGCCGGTATATGAACGAGTGCGGCTTGGACCTCTAAGTCCACTGCTTGGGCTCGGTAACTGGAGTGAATTGGATCCAGACGACAAACCATTTGCAGAAGACCATCACTTTCGCAGTATTCAGGAGGTATGGACTCAGAGCCACGACGCAAAAGTCTACGACAACGCATTGTACCATCTCCGGAAATGCAATGCCTACGTGAAGCAGTTCAAGTCATTGAGTCCACAGGTTTTGGCGGAATGGGGATATAATCAGGTCTGGTCTGGGCCGTTTATCTGGCTGCACTCTAGCCCAGACGAGTATTTTGAGCTGCTCCAACAACGTCAGCCCCCCGCATTGCTAATCTTTGCATATCTCGGCGTATTATTTCATGGTTTAAACGATTACTGGTTCATGGAAGGTTGGGGGCGGAACATGGTGGATGTGGCTGATGAGCTTCTGGGAGAATACTGGGGTCAGTGGATGACATGGCCAAGATCAGTTGTAGGCATTAATGAGTAAACAAAGCACCGTTTGACTAGAAATGAATGCCACTTTCAGCCCCAGTTAGTGTACCTCGGCACGTCCATTTCTTGGCTTTATGAACTAAGCCCCTGAGTGGCGCCAAATTTTGAACGAGGTACGAGCTGGGTACGAGTCAACCAAGTCGGAGCTATCGTGGGCTCCGCCACTCGGGTCATGTCAAGACTCGGTGTCTGCCGAGCCACTACAGGACGCTTGTTTCACTGCTAACGTCCCTTTGTCTTCGACTGCATCACACCAAGTCCCCTTGACCTCATATCGCCATAATATCTGACAAGAGCGGATTGACTTCAATACGGCCTCACCAGCCATTAATCTTTGCACTTGGGCCTAAGGCATCCTTCTTTGAGCTTCAACAAACCAGCCAGCCACGGCGACCTGGAACATTTCGCAGAATGCCCGACAAACCTACATCAATGGATTCCTCACCATCCATCTTCCCCAATCTAGGGGACAATGACGTCAAAATCCGAAGTATGTTCTCCCTTATCCTTTCTGTTGATCCCCAGACTCACTTGCCTGAAGATGATGCCCGAGTCGACATTGATTGCGATTCAATGCTGGTTCGCCGCCTCACCCGCCTCTACCACAGTCCACCCGAAAAGTATGAGGAACCGCCATCAGCCTATTCTGAAACTCAGCCCCAACACTCATGGGCCACGGAATTAAACATTGTGATCCAAGTTGTGGGGAGTCGAGGAGACGTGCAGCCCTTCATCGCTCTTGGCAATGAACTTCAAAGACACGGCCACCGCGTCCGGTTAGCAACTCATGACACATTCGCCAACTTTGTGCGAGACTCGGGCCTTGAATTTTACCCCATTGGTGGTGACCCAGCTGAGTTGATGGCCTACATGGTCAAGAACCCAGGTCTCATTCCCAGCATGAAAAGTCTCAAGGCTGGCGAAATCCAGAAGAAGAGGACCATGGTCCAGGAGATGCTTGAGAAGCTTTGGCATTCATGCTTAAGACCTGATCCCTCTACTGGTCAGCCTTTTGTGGCGAATGCTATCATCGCCAATCCCCCAAGTTTCGCGCACATTCACTGTGCGCAGGCTCTGGGTATACCAGTTCACCTGATGTTCACGATGCCATGGAGCAGCACTAGGGCTTTCCCGCATCCTCTCGCGAATCTGAAGAACGCTGGCAGCGATCCTCGGCTTGAGAATTACATCTCCTACAGCGTGGTGGAATGGCTAACCTGGCAAGGGTAGGTCTGCTCCTTTTTCTCTGATACAACATCTACTGACGCTTTTGACGGAAGACTGGGCGATCTCATCAACAAGTGGCGAAAGTCGATAGATCTAGAAGAGGTAGATATGTTTGATGCTCCCATGCTTGCACAAACGTTGAAAATACCCTTTACATACTGCTGGTCGCCAGCTCTTGTGCCGAAGCCATCTGACTGGGCTTCACATATCGGTATTACAACCCAAGCAATAATCCCATGTCCCAGAATACCACTAACAACCAACATAAAGATGTCTGCGGATTCTTCTTCCGCGACGCTCCTCAATACTCCCCACCAGAAGATCTCGTTCGGTTCCTCGCGGCCGGACCGCCACCAGTCTACATCGGTTTCGGGAGCATCGTGCTAGACAACCCAGAAGAAATGATCAGCATTATACTCGAAGCTGTCCGCGTTTCTAATGCCCGCGCCATCATCTCCAAGGGCTGGTCTAACCTCGGGGGCTCAGAGAGTGGGAGTATCTACTGGATAGGAGATTGCCCTCACGAGTGGCTCTTCCAGCACGTTGCCGCTGTATTTCACCATGGAGGTGCGGGAACAACGGCCTGTGGACTGAAGAACGGAATGCCCACTACTATCATCCCATTCTTCGGAGAGTGAGTTACCAACCCAGTACTCCTATCCACGGTAGGATACAGACTAATCCTTCGCTCACAGCCAACCTTTCTGGGGCCAGATGGTGGCCAACGCAGGAGCGGGCCCCAACCCGATACCACATGCAGAACTAACAGTCGAAAACCTTTCTGAGGCTATTATGTACTGTCTCTCGCCCGAGGCTTCAGCTGCAGCCGCATCCATTGCCGCCAAGATGGCGTCCGAGATGGGCGTGCGTACCGCTGTGCAGTCATTTCACAGGCACTTGCCTCTAGAGAGTATTTCGTGCGACCTGATTCCAAGCGAGTCGGCTGTGTGGCTGTATACGACTTCGAAACACTCCATCAAGCTCTCCAATATTGCTGCAGACATTCTTCTGTCGAACAAGGCGATCGACTCCAAGCACTTGAAACTGTCAGTATCTGGTCTACTTGATACGCCCAAAGATTCGCTGCGCTAACTTGGTCGTCACAGCTATCAAACCAACCCCATCTTGATCGAAACCACACGATGGGATCCCATTTCTGGGGGTGCCTCGGCGTTCATGGGTACAGCAACTGGCGTAGCGGGTTCAATGGTGGGCATCGTCACTAAACCAGTCGAAGAGTACCAAAACGAGCAAAGGCGGCGCAGTCGTGAGATTAAAACGGTTCAGTCTAGAGGCCCAGTCACCAAAGACGAGACAGCTAGTCTTTCACAACGGGCCTCATATGACTCGGCTCAGCCTGGGCCAAGTACTGAGCACTCAAGCTCGCTGGCTGGTAGAATGGCAGGGGCGTCAGCCAAGAGCTTTGGAAAAATTGGATCCACTGCTCTGAAAGGCATGGTAGTTGACGTTCCCATGGCAGTCACTGAGGGAATGAGGACCGCACCACGCCTCTACGGCAGCAATGTCCGTGATCACGGTCCTGTAACCGATGCCAAGAGTGGAATGATCGTGGGTGGCAAGACTCTTGCCTGGGGTTTTATCGACGGCATCAGTGACGTGGTGATGGAGCCATACAAAGGTGCCAAGAAGGAGGGTGCTTTGGGAGCTGTCAAGGGAATTGGAAAGGGCGCCATGAATCTGGTGACCAAGAGTGGTGCTGGCATGTTTGGAGTGTTGGCTTATCCCAGTGCCGGTATCACCAAGAGCTTGCGGACGGCGGTGCACAGCTCGACACGTAAAGCTATTACTCAGGCGCTACATGAAGAAGGGAGGTGGATGGCAAACAACACGAGAAGAGATGGGGTAGATGTGAGCGTGGTGGTAAATAAGTTTAAGAGTATTTCAAGCAGTTAACTCTAGAGGTATAAAGTTATATGCCTACTCAATATCACACTAACAACAAGGTCAAGATACATCACTATCATCTTCCGGTTCACACCGCCTTTGTCAGTGGCCTCAGTAGGCAACCAAATTTGGTATAGTCATGAGTGACGAGTATATTAACGTGCTGGTATAGTGGAGATGTGATGTGTCAGGCCATCAAGGCCCATCGAGCTAGGTCAAGTCGACTAAAATACTAAACAGTGCGATTATGTTCCGGCATATTGGTTCTGTTTGTCTCCCAACTCCCCAACTCCATAGCAAAAATCTCAAAAAAGTCAAGACAGTCCATTTGTTACTGGTCTAGTCGACGCCACCTTCGTCTGTTGGTGGCATTCTGTCATTCTCTGGCGTTGGAGGAAGTCTCTGGCCGAGTGTCGGTGCAAGTCTATGCGTTCCGAGGGTTGGTGCCAGTCTCTGCTGTCTCAGCATTGGTGGGAGGGTGTGAGTAGGGGGGGCTGCGTCTGGCTGGTTGGCGGTTGCAGTAGCGTTGTCTTTCTCCTTGCGTGAACGGCCGCGTTCCTCCTTCTTATCCTGCTTCTCGGCTGGTTTAGGAGTCTTTCGTGCACCTCGCAGGGCTTCCATCAACTTGTTTGGTTTCTTCTTCTCTTCCTTGGCTTGTTGAGCCTTCTGTGCTGCTCGTGCAGCCTCTTTCTCTCGTTGCTTTTTCTCCTCTTTCTGCTTCTTAGCCTCCTCTTCTAGTTGGATTTGATGTGCGCTCTGGCGATTCTCCTTGTCTGCACGCTTGTCCTTGTCTGCACGCTTCGAATCACTGTTCTTTACGGCAACAGGACTCTTCACAGGAGCAGGGCTCTTTACCGGCGGGGGAATCTTTACCGGAGGGGGACTCTTCACCGGGGCGGGACTCTTCAACGGAACGGGAGTCTTTGGGGGGACAGGACTCTTGACAGGAATAGGAGGACTCTTTGTGGGGATAGGAGGACTTTTTCTGGGAAAGGGGCTCTTGACTGGAGCAGGGCTCTTTGGAGGAGGAACAGAGTCTTTTGCGGGAGCAGGAGTACCCCTTCGCTCCTTATGTAGACTCCGACGTGACGCTCTCCGAGCTTCTCGCTCCTCTGCATGCCTTCTTTCGTCTTCAGAGAGGTACACACGAGAAGATCTCCGCGATGCTCTCCGAGCCTCTCGCTCCTCTGCTAGTCTTCTCTCATCCTCAGAGTACACACGGGAATGCCTTCGTGAAGCTCGTGAAGGCTCTCTGCTGCTCCTGTGATGTCGTCTTTCACTCTCCCCTCGGTGCCGTACGTCACTGTCCCGCCTCTCCCGCCTCTCCCTCCTCTCACCCTCCCGTCTCTCACCTTCCCCTCGATGCCGTCTCTCACTTTCCCCTTGGGTGCGGCGTCGTTCCTTGTCTGAGTTGTCCGAGTCGCGGTGCCTTGTTTTTCGGTCTTTTTGCATAGTCCGACGTTCTCTCCGAGCTCTGCGTTCTTCCTCTGCTTGTCGTTCCTCTTCCTCAAGCCGTCGGGCAAGTCGTCGTGCTGCCCGTCTAGCCTCTCGATCCTCGTCTTCACCTTCACGTCGTCGATGTCGCTTGTGTCGGCTTTGGCGATCTTCCCTATCTGAACGCCTGGGATCATCATGGTGTTCGCGTCGGCGCCGCTCGGCCCTTCGCGCATCTCGTTCCTCCCTTGTCTCCTCTCTGTGCTCATGACGGGTAGGCCTCCATTTACGAGGCTTTACCTCATCTGGTTTTGGCTCTGGTTTTTGCCCAATGTGCTCTTTTGTGAAGCGTCGCCACCAGGTGGGCCGACGTTCGTCGCTGCCAGGACGTACTTCTCCTGTGCGGCCAGGATCAAGGGGGTCTGCACCCGCGGTCGCAGGTCGACCGGCCTGTGCGGCCGGGACGGTAGGTGAAAGGCAATCAACAGTGTTTTCAGAAGTATCGCTATCAGAAGAATCGTCTGAGAAAATCTCCCAATCCGACACGTCACGGGCAACCGGATCGGCCGTCGCGACACCTTCACCGCCTCGCTGAGCCATTTCCTTGGCCCTGACGTGTGTCGATAGTCTAGAGACTTTGGATGGAGTCTCTCCCCGGTAACCAAGGAGAGAGACGCGGAGTGCCGTGTTTGAGCGGTCAAGGGGCTCAGTTCGTGTTTACGCCCTTGAAGATTCGCTTCTCGAGGTTGAGGGCCCGGAAATGAGAACAAGTGACCGCGTCCGGGTGATCACGGGCGGTGGGGCAGAAGCACGATTTGATAGGTCAGGAACATCGGATTAACTTGTCCGCTTGGACCCGATTGGTCAATTATTGACCCGTAATAGGGGTCTCTCATTCGTCAATTGAAACAATTCATTTCAATCACTTGTAGAAAAGCAAGTCATTTAAACATTGAATTGAGTTATTGCAACTGTGCAACGCGTTCTGTTTATTTAACGCGCGCTAATGCGGGTTGATGGGGGGACTACGCGATGTGGAATGTTGCATCGCTGAACCGAGGTTAAGCCGGTCAAAGACGGGAAAGTTGCGATGCGTGGTCACGTGTCTTGCGTCTCATGTCTTTTCATCCCATTCCATTGCACTCTCTGCCTCGGGCACATGGTCAGGGGAGGTTTATCAGGATATCGTGTCTCAATGCACTTGATACATCCAAAAGCAAGTGACTGAGCCTTTTCTTTCTTTTTGTCTCCGATAATTTTGAAGTTCCCGTCAAGTTCCGTGAGTCGTGCCGGGATGCTCGGAATGAAAGTTGCGCAGGGTTTGCCATGCAAATGTAGACCTCAGGAATTAAAAAACATCATCTAGGTATTCGTTCAAGCTCTTCAGAGTGTCTTCTTTTGTTGCTGCATAACTGCAAAAGGTCTTTACTAATATTTTTATTTGCCTGACCCGTCATGACCTGTCCCTTTACACTCCTACCGGAGCCCTAGGGTAGGACTCCGTGATCTTGATCGAAATTAGCCCCACTCTTACCGCGGCGGACGCGGGAGCGGATTCCGGGTTGCTTTGCCGGTCCCGGAGAAAGGGAGGCCGTCAGGATCTGAAACTGGGGTAATCTTGCTTGCAGATTTGACATGCGTGACATCTTATTGTCTTATTGGGATTTTATGCCTAGCTCAATGCAACTGTGTCTCTGCAGCTTACAGCAGCGATTATCTCGGCCAAAGCCTTTATCCGTGGGCCGTTCTCATCCACGTGGGCAAGCTCTCCTCGACATTGGAAGTCTGGTGATGTTTTCTCGTTTATGCACGTTTATGCACACTGGTGCAGGTGACAAGTTTTCCGAACCTGTTTCCTGTCGAGCTTTTTTCGGGGTCAATATCCAAGCAATCAACCAACTCTCAATGACCCATTCAAGCTGTATTCCGATGGCCTCGTCGTGATCGTCAACCGCGTGACGTCACACTCCAGCGCAGCAGCAGCTTCGTTCTCTATCTCGGACTCGGCGGCATCGTCATCCGCAACGACGTCATCGAGGGAGTCGTAAGTAAACCGACAACATTTTGCATAGCCATGAAGCGAGTCGCAGGGCAGAGTGATTTCCTTCTCCGCGATACCAGAAGAAACCCGAGCAACTTTTACTTGTAGAACGCGTCAGCGTTGGAAATTTCCCTCTCGCGTGCCCCGGCACATGGGTCAAGGAAAATATAAGACACGAGGACGAGTATGATAATTAATTCTCCTCTAAATATATTTAATAAATTATTATAAAAATATCTTAAAAATCTCCTTATTATTATATTATTTTATAATATTCTTTATAAATTAATAACTTATATTTGTAAGGAGTTAGGTAAGTCTCTTCATACTCTCGCGTCTCATTTATTTCTTTGCCCGCGTGCCCGGGTACCGATCTGCCCTTGGTCCCGAAAAAAAGCACTAACAGGCACTAACGAAAGAAATGTTGGACAGCCGTCAAGTCAATCAACAAAAGTCAATTCGGCATAAGCTCAAACCAAAGATATGAGGTCATCCCCTCTAACAAAATTGGCCTTGTTCCGCTCTTGACCTGCAGCAAAGGAATGTTTTTCCAAACCATCGTTCAATACGAGCAATTGCGATGATCGCCTCTCTATTAATAGATGCCTCAGTGGGGTGGTTTTTTCGTTAGTGTCACGGGCTCATGCGGATACGTTCTAGAACCGAACAGGCATGCGAGAAAAAGGGGGCCTCGTAATTTCCCAGTTCTATAAAAAAACTGCGTCCTCCAAAACTCTTCCCATCTTGGCATCTCCACCATCTCAAATCGACAAATTCGAGACGGACGAACCAACAACATGAAGCTTTTTGGGTCTTTGGGTAAAATCGCGGCGGGCCTGCTGCTCCTCACCGCGCAGGCCTCGGCACTCACGTACAAGGGATTCAGTCTTGGAGCCAACCGACCTGATGGAGCCTGCAAGTACACGGCCGACTGGAAGAAGGACTTTCAGACCATTAAGGGATGGAACAAGGGCTTCAACGCTGTTCGACTTTACGCCTGCAGCGACTGCAACAGTAAGGAGTTTCCCTTTATTCCTGCATTTTCCTCCATCACTAACAAAGTCGCGTCACAGCTCTTGGCAAGGCTGTTCCCGCTGCCAAGGCTACTGGCATCAAGATCCTTGTCGGCGTCTGGGCCACTGACGATGCCCACTTTGGACGAGAGAAGGCTGCTCTTCTCAGCGCCATCAAGGCTCACGGCACTGACTGGATTGCTGCCATCAGTGTCGGCTCTGAGGATCTCTACCGCAAGGACATTACCCCTCAGAAGCTGGCCCAGCAGATCTACGACGTCCGTGGCATGGTGAGACAGTTCAACAAGAACCTCAGGGTATGTTATATCATGCATCGTATATTAGCATTCTTATCTGACTCAAGTCGCAGGTTGGCCACACTGATACCTGGACTGCTTGGGTTGACGGCGCCAATGACGTTGTCACCAAAGCCTCCGACATCGTTATCACCAACGGCTTCCCCTACTGGCAGGGAGTCAACATCAAGGACGCCCTCCGCCTCAAGACATTCCAGAACTCCTACTGGGACGTCAAGCGCCGCGTCAACCAGGTCCACCCCAAGATCGAGATCTGGGTGGGTGAGACTGGCTGGCCTACTGCTGGCGCCAACTACAAGGGTGCCGCTGCCACCACCTCCGCCCTGCAGACCTACTACAACAACGTTGGCTGTTGGCTCTGGAAGCAGACCAGCGCCAGTGCCTTCTGGTTCACGGCTTTCGATTCGCCCAAGGCGAGCCCCGAGGTTGAGAAGCACTTTGGTATTGCTGACTCGAACCGCAAGTTGAAGTTTAGCTTGACTTGCTAAGCACCTTGATATATAAAAGCATGGAGAGGTTTATAGAATACTTGCATATTACATTTAAAGAATAGTATTGGTAATTAGATATAAGTTATTATTCTCAACTCGAATCGCAGGGGCGAAGGCAAGGAAATTGGGCCAGTCTGGCGTGGTGTGCAAGTGGTGCGTGAACTTTTTATTAGCGTAAAGCTGAAAGGCAACAGACGCATTCGCATCACTTAAGTGGTCTTGTGTTGTTCATTCGGAGATAGAAGTAGGTGGAGCATTTTCTCATGTATACTGTGAGGACACTCCCTATCGACTTGGTGAATAAACATCGATCTTCTCCTTCATTCTATGCAGAGATTACAAACACGCGAAACATGCTGATTGAGAGACCAGCCTGAAGTGCGCCACACTAAACTGCCCCCGGCCTTGTGGGGGAACGAATACCCCAGCCTTTGAACATCTGCCTTGCCTGTTAATGCCCTAGTTCTTGTGCTCAACCTCGGCACGCTCAATGTCCACCGCCTTGCTCAGGGTCGACGCGTTGGCATCAGCCCCATCGAAGATAATAGCGATTTCCTCCAGCGAAGGACCCTTGGTCTCGGGGTAGACGAAGTAGACGACGAGCCACTCAACCAGAACCCACGGAATGAAAACGGTGTACAGCTTCCAAGCAATATCGTCCAGGCCGATAGGGATAGCGTACGTCGAGAGGAGGGTGAAGCATGTGGCGAACAACTGGTACAGCGCTTGGCCTCTCATGCGGAGGTTGAATGGGAGAATCTCGGTGATGTATAGGCCCAAATTTCCGTTAAGACCAAGGTTATACGAGGGCGAGAACAGGTAGAGGAACGCAACCACTGCTCCACCAGCCACCTTGTTGTTGGGGTTGTTGGCAAAGACGGCGCTGCCAGCGGTGATGCTAACAAGGCAAACAAAGATGGCTGCGAGGGAGGAGAGGAAAAGTGTGCGTCGACCGAGCTTCTGAGGAAGGGTTGCAAAGTAGAGTGCAGAAAACCACGAAAGGACCTGCTGTGTCGCGTTGATAAGAGTCTGCTCGAGACTCGTAGTAAGTCCAACCGACGTCAGAACCGGTGCCAGGTAGTATGAGATGAACGCATTGCCAGACATCTGGCTGATACAGGCGCACCAGAGAAGAATAAAGAGACGCTTCTGGTTGCCCTTTGTACGGACGAATTCGAGGTAGTTCTGGATCCAGTTGTGGCGATCAATGCTCCTCTCGTAGGCGAGCGCATTCGTAATCTCGCTGTACTCGAATTGCACCAGGGGATCCTCCTTGTTACCCTCGGCATGGTATTTCGCGAGGATGTCAAGGGCTTCGTCATTTCTGTCCTTGGAGATGAGCCAACGTGGGCTTTCAGGAACGAACCATAGACCGAGAAGTTGAATGACTGAAGGTAAGCCCTGAATTCCAGAAGGGATACGCCAGGAGGCGGACGAGGCGATTCGAAAGGTACCGAATGTCACCCACGCCGCGACAATAGAACCAAGAGCGTAGGACGTGTTGAAAAGAGCAGTTGCAGTAGCTCTGTGCGCAGGGTGTGCCAGCTCGGTGATCAAAGGAGCGCCCGACGCGCCAATGAAGACGGCACCGAAACCCAAGATGCCTCTAGACACAACAAACATGGGGAGGTTCTGGGCAGCTGCCTGAAGTGTAGCACCAATGGTACAAACAGTAGCTCCGAGGCCCATAGCAGATCGTCTTCCCAAGGTATCGCTGACGAAGGATAGGAAGGGGATGGCACAAAGGCCGCCCATGGGGTATGCGGCATTGAACAACCCCAACGTCGATCCCTTCGGTTCACCAAAGTAATCTCGCCAATTCTCGACTGATTGCAAGCCATTCATCATAGATCCATCAAACCTGAATTTGTTTCACAATCGAGAGGTTAGTTGTGGCTGCAATTGGGGGGTTCGGGGGGTGGACAGGTTGGGTAAGACACTCACCCTTGGGTAAAGATGGAGAGCATTGGGACAATCAGCAACAAGTTGAGAGTACGTAGATTCCGAGATTTCCACCATTTCGTCGTGTCGACACTGCTCTCCGGCATCAATGTCCGGACTTCTACCACGGGAGCCGACATGTTGGTGATGGTGGTGGTGGTGGCGGTATGTGGGAGACAAGTTGATCCAATAAAGTTGCAGACAGTTTTGGATGTGACTGTAAAGAAGTGATGAGACTTCTGACTTGGCAGGAGTTGTTGTTTCTTTTATCCTTTCGCAAGTTGCCTTGAAAAATTGAACCAACACTCACGAGACCACCCTCAAATCCCAGACCCAGGATCCAGAACGAACCACTGACCTGAAAAGGAATAGTCTAACCCCTGCAAGTAGAAAAAAACCGCTTGTCACGATCGGAGGTAAGACCACTCTTTGGTAAGGTGATCAAAAGTCTGGGGTTTGGGGTCTGGGGTTTGTGGGAGTTCGTGGAGAAGAACGAGGTGGTGCGTTTGCTTACAGAGCTAACTTTGTTGCTAGCATTGGAGTCTAGTCCACCCCGCGGAAAGCCGGGTATGGTAGATGGACTGGGTGCGGAAAGCCGGGTAGACTAATTGTTGGATACGCGGAAAGACGGGGCTCGGCTTCTAGGGGGAACCGTGCCATCCTTCATGACTCGCTCGGTCTCCTCCGCACTTGGCTCTCGTTTTTTTGCTTAGGCTCTTTAGTCTATGGCATTCAGTGCCTGAGAGCTGTGCAATTCGACCCTGGCTAGCCTGGCACGCGTTCGCAGAAAAACATGAGATACTGAGTCAATGACCTCTGTCGTCTGAGGTGGAAAATATTCATAAAATAAATAAAAAAAATACTCAAAGATTTATGATATTATTACTTATTTTTATCTCTTATTTAGCATGTAATTCGCTTATTATGTGAGGACTCTTTGCTAAGTATAGACATTCTGGTATCTTAACTTTTTTTACGTCTGGGTGGCTGTGCAATTTGACCTTGGTCGGTAGGGTCGAGGTGGTTGATCGGTAGTTTGGGGAAGCTTAATTTTGGGCTTGAACATTTACCCCAGCTTTCACGGCTCAGTGTAGTAGCATCATGCACTCAGAGTAATACCAGTAGTTCAAGGTTTTAATTGTCTCACTACCACAACCGAGCCCTTGGATCCACGAAGGAGAAGCACTTGGCTGAATTGATCACATACACTACTTACTACAAACTTGACTATGACACTATTTTGAGCAGTTTACAGGGTAAAGTCAAGTTCCAGTCCAAACTTGGTCTCCTGACGTCCATCCAGATACGTCACATGAATAGGAACACCATCAACGGCAGCCTCCGTCTCAAGACGCAACGACACCGACGCCTTGTCCCAACCCTCGGACCGTTTCCACGCAACGTGCGCCGTTCCGGGCGCCAACTTGCCACCAAGCGGGACTTTGGCCTTGAATGAGGGGAAGAGCCCCGTCCTCGGCCGAAACGACACCGAGCTCCAGCCTGGCTCGGCTGGTCGGATGCCTGCAACTTCAGCCATGAGTTCGTACAGAGGTACACAGCTCCATGCGTGACAGTCGGATCGTACCGTCACCTCATCTTCGCACCATGTCGTCAAGTTGAGGGATAGCTGATTTAACCATGGTTGCCACATGTCGTGAAAGACGTCGTCGTACAAGTTGCCACCTGCCGTCGAGAGAGCACGAAGCAGGTAGAACGACATGGCTTGTGACGGTTTGGTCAACTCGGTGGCAGGTACCGGGCCCTGCAAGTCCTCTTCCACAGAGGGCTTGGACTGTGCCATTGGCAGAGACTGCCTCAGCAACTTGCGTGCATAGTCTCCTGTCGCGGCTCCGCATAAAACGGCCCATATTTGGTTGTGTTGACTAAAGTCTCGGGTGACATCAGCCGAAGAGGCGAGTCCATCGGTGAATACCTCGCCGAGTCGACAGTGCTGCTTGATGGCTCCGACGATGGTATCTGCCCGAGCTTCAAGTTCCCCAGCAGGGCCTTGTCTCCCGATGGCCTTGACTACGGGCACCAATCTTTGCATGGTATGGGCATAGAGTGAGTTTGTGAACGTCTGGTATCCTGTTTGTGCGGCTGCTGGGGGGATACCCATCGGCGCCCACTCAGGCGTCCAGTCCACAAAGTCCCAGAATAGAGTCTTTGATGATACGAGGCCCAGCTCAGGATCGACACGCCCCGCAAAATATTCGAGGATTCCATCACAGACAGGGATCAGCTTGCGGGTGAATTCAATGTCCCCAAAGTGTTCAAAGTGATCCACAAGCGTGAGAATCCAGAATAGCGAAAAGTGTGGGATTATCTGGAGCTGCGAGGCCGGGCTGCGGCTTGCTAGCAATCCCAGATGAGCGCGGTACGAGCTATGTAGCTGGAGAATGGCCTGACGAGCCATGCGATCGTCTCCGGAAGCATAGTACGTGAAGAGACACGAGCTTCGTACGTCCATTGCATACTGCAACTGCTCGTAAAAGGGGCAATCCTCGTAGCAATCGTGCATGCAGTTGGTGAGGGTACGGACGCTGGTGGACCAAAGCTGCTCATAAGCTGTGCCAGGGATTTCGACCTCTCCAGTGACATCCAGTGGATAGTGTGTTCTGTCGACGTGCACTCCAGTCATGATGAGGTCGCTTTCAGCGTTGACTTGTATATCCAGGGCCAAGATACGGAAAGTTCGAAAGTGAAATGGACGGAAATTCTCTTTAGTCTCTGGGCTCGTGGTATGCTGAAGGCTCTGAGCTGATTCATAGCCTTGCGCACCTGCAAAGACGTATCGATCCTGTGGTCCGTAGAGCTTCTTGGTCGTATCAAGGCGATTGCCTTTGCGGCGAACGTAGGGGACCATCTCAGGTTCATCTTCATAGCACTCGGCGTAGGTGATTTGAAGCTCGCTGCCGGATACCGTAGGACGTTTAAAGCAAAACTCGATATACGCCGTCAGGTGGTGATCTGCCTCGAGCTCGATGTGATGTGTCGTACCTGCTGGTAGACGGAGGGTTGGAACACCGGCATGAGGATTCAAGAGGAGGTCTTCCCATTCTTGCTGGGATACTGAGCTCCGAAGATTGTGCACCTTTTTGAAACCCGCGGGAGTGATACGTGGCAAGGGAATCATTCGGGGATGCAGCATCCAAGGAGGACCGATGCCATGAGACTTGGGGAGATCGAGAACCTGTGCAGCTACCCAATCAAGATCATGCCTGGGAATAATCGCGGCGTCTTCGTAAACGTGTAAAAAGTCGTCTTCTTTTTGGTCGATGCGAAGCTTCCGAGAAGCGTCAATGGCGACAAGCCATGTGTCATCCGTGTCGAGTTGAACTTCATGAAGGCCTGCGTCGCCTGCTCTTCGCACTAACAGCCCAGGAAATGGCATCCTGGGGAAGCTTGTGCCGTAGGAAGTACCGTGGTACAGACGAAGAACCTGGATGGAGAGGGTGTTAAGACCCGGTTTGAGGTATGAACCAATGTCAAGTTCATCGTAGAACCACATGTGCTCGTCTCCTTTGACAGGGCCAAAGATGACGAGACGTCCGTTGATGTAGAGCTGATACTTTGTGTCCGCTGTGATCTGGACAATGACGGGCTCGCTAGGGACACGGTCAAGCGTGAGTTCTTTGCGAAAATGGACAAAGCCTCCTGCCGAGTCTTTTGCGCTGTCGACCCATTCTGGGTGCCATATCCATTTTGAGTCGATGGGTGGTTTATCCATATTGTTTGTCGTGAAGGATTGTTGGAGAGAGGTTGCCCTGGGCTTTGGTGGGGGACTGGCCTGTATTTATAAATGAGCATGTGGTGCGGGGTCTGCTTGGAGGGGTCCTGGGCTGACATTTCCATCATCGAATATCGTATCAATCGCGTGGATATTGGTTTTGCTTCAGTATAGAATGGATTTAGACAATAGTGGCTCTGAGGCTCTTCGTAAGTGATATATAGTTGAGTATGAAAGTCGACCATATGCTGTACCATAGCCTGAGATTGGCCTACTGTGGCTCTTCTGGGTTGAACAATTTCCAGTGCTCACGAGTAGATAATTGCCAGACTCCAGCCTCGTTACCAAACAGGAAAACAACAGTCCATGGCAATGATGGTTTCTCTGAGGAGCAGATACGAATACTTTTTTCCCCTATGAATGTGATTGACTGTGTAAAATTACAAGATAGGTGACATGAAAGCTTCCAGAAGCTCAAGGCGGATCTTGGCATCCCTGGCTTCATCCTTCCAGAATCGCAAAAGATCCATCACCTTGTTGATTGAAGCCTTCCATCCAAGAGGCAGCAGACTATGAATCCCTGCTCGACCAGCAGCGACTAGAACAAAGGCACTACGTGTGCAGGAACGCAGCATGAGCCAAGTCCCGTGATGACGACGACGGAACCCTGGTTCATTGTCTTTTATGCGCTGGATGTTTACTTCCAGTCCCTTGCGAGCTAGCCTGGTGGCCTCGGCATCTTCATGTAACCTTCCATGGACTGCGTCGACTACCAGTGGCCAGTATATCATCTCGTAGCAGTCGATAAGATGGCCGCTTAGGATGAAGCGTAGACGTGCGCTTTGGGTATCGTGATCGATCGGTTGGTCGAGCTTTAAGCTCGCAGGCAACGAGTCGACCCTGGAACAACTGGTTAGTAAAAAGTAACCTGGGGAAGGGGCCAAGGAACTTACCAACTCTGCGCTTGCTGTTCAAACTCGACAATGCTTGATACTTTTTCGGCAAGACTGGCCTCCCTCGAGGCTACGTTTGTCGAATGGGCCAAGATGCGATTGCTAAGACGGCGCAGCGCAATCTCTGCCAAGTAAAAGTACCAGCCTGCCTCTCCTTCTGATTGGAGACCTCTTGGTGGTGATGGGAAGAATTGAGGGTAGCGCAAGTTCCACGCGCTGTTTTCAGTTATGCTCATCTCCAGTCGTAGTTCTCTATGACAGTATCAGTCAACTGATTGAGCCTCCAACAGAAAACTTGACTTACAGCTCTGACTTAAAGGCAGTCCAGTAGATACTATCGTGTAGTTCAGATGCCTTGTCCTGTGCGACACCAGACGAAGTCACGAATCCTTGGCAACAGGCAAGAGCCTGAAGAAACATTCTCCATGCTTCGAATGGTCTCATTGTCGTCATCAAATACACGCCCGAGAGGAAGAATATCTGTGCCTCTACCGGCCCGCTACGGCACAGTAGCTGTCCCATTCGCCGCTGAGCTGCGACAAAAAAGGATTCTGCTTGTTGGAATTGCTTCGAGTTTCGCGACATCATTGACGTTGTCACCGAGTCATCGTGATCGCAGTCGATCGTTCCAAGGGCAAAGACTAGCAGCTATTGATTCAAGACGTCAGCTCCTTTGCCATTTTGGCAGTTTATTGCAGAACGCACCGAGATGCAGGCCGAGGAATCCCAGCCGAGGCCATTGTACAGGGACGTTCGGATGTCCTCTTGAAGATGTGTAAGCTCGATTACCGGATTGTAGATATGAAAGTTGTCGATAAAGTTTTGCAACAACTGGTTTGTAGCATCTTCGTCAAAGTCCGGAGCCTGCAAGAGGCGATTCCAAGCGACATCAGTCTCTGCAGAGCCAGCTTGGAGGATGTTGGCGAGCGAAAGAGGTTGAGTGTCGAGGAAAGAACGTAGTATTGGCCACTCCAGAACGGCTTCGACATTGATAAAAGGTTCTTGAGATGATAGAGAGTCTCTCTGGGAGAAGCCTTCCTGGGCCTGAAAGGCTTTGCCCGAGGACGGATGGTCAACCTCCTGAGGGGTCGTGGTATCGGGGATAGCAACACGAACGAGACTCTCCAACTCATCGAGGCGCTGTAGGATTGCTAAACTCGCAGGGTCGAAACTGGACACAGTGAAATTGTTAGACGTCGGCCACTGCCGGGCTGAGCTCGAAGTAGACTGTTCTCGGGGTAATGGTGGGCGTACCTTGACTTGTCGCCCTCCTGATACACGCACTGGACGCCTAGCTTGGAGCATGAAGTGCATGATGGCTGCTCATTGTCACACTTGACACGCCGTCTCCGGCAGGTCCCACAGGCCTGAGCAGCGCGCTTGCGAGGATACGTGGGACGACTGGCGTCTGGTGGAGGTCGCTTGGATGACCCCGTTGACATTGCAATGGCGAAACGGTGGAGATGAAAGGGCGCGGAAAGCAGGAAGTGAGAGAGAGCTGAAGGCTGATTAAGACAGCGGAAAGACGGATGAGGACGGCTAAGGGTCTGAAGTGAGGTCCGCGGAAAGCCGGGTAAGAATACACCCTGTCGCTAGAAAAGTGGACAAGCTTTTCGGAGAGGGGCCGAGTTATGCTCTATTTGTGCTAGTCCAAGAGGCTATTGGTACTACACCAAGACCAGGTCACGTCATCCCCTATGCACCGACCTAACACAGCACAGTAATAGAGGACTCAGGTGAATTTAGTCAGCAGTCAAGATGAGGTGACTTATATCCCGTCAAGGGAGGGGACTGGGTATTGCCATTCAGACGACCAAGTGCCATTCCTCCCCCGCAATCAGAAGTCTGTCGTGGTATTCCCCCCAAACTTCGTCATCATGGGAGACATTTCTAGCTTCCTCTCCGAAGAAAAGTCGTTATTCGACGTTGAACATGTCTTGAAGGAGTTGACCACGAATGAAAAGATTGATCTTCTCGCAGGTAAGTACAGTCTTAACAAATCTCAATTTTCCATTTACTAATACTGGCCTACCTCCAGGTGTCGACTTCTGGCACACCAAGGCAATCCCTCGACTTAATGTTCCCTCGATCCGAATGTCAGATGGCCCCAATGGGGTCCGAGGTACTAGATTTTTCAATGGCGTGCCCGCAGCTTGCTTCCCATGTGGCACCGGCCTCGCAGCGACTTGGAATACAGACCTTCTTCGAGAAGCCGGTCACCTAATGGGTACAGAGGCAAGGGCAAAAGGAGCCCACGTGCTTCTAGGTCCCACGGTCAATATGCAGCGAAGCCCCCTTGGAGGGCGAGCTTTCGAGTCCTTCTCCGAGGACCCTGTTCTGTCCGGGAACTGCGCGTCAGCCATCATAAGCGGCATTCAGAGCACTGGGGTTGTGGCATCAATTAAGCATTTTGTGGCCAACGACCAAGAGCATGAGCGCATGGCTGTTGACTCGCTTGTCACGGAACGGGCTCTGCGAGAGATCTATACCCTCCCCTTTCAGATCGCCGTCAGGGACTCGAATCCCGGGTCGTTCATGACATCTTATAACAAGGTCAATGGAGTACACGTGAGTGAGAACAGGGACATGATCGAGAAGATTGTCCGGAAAGAATGGGGATGGCAAGGTCTGGTGACAAGTGATTGGTAAGTCACAAAGGAGCAGTCGCGACTAGTTTATCGTCTACCGGAAACCGCTCTGCAATGCCAGAACAAAGATAACACTGGACAGGTACGGGACATACTCAACAGTCGAATCACTCGAGGCCGGACTAGACATCGAAATGCCAGGCCCGACCCGTTGGCGCGGACAGATGCTACTCCACGCACTTATGTCAAGAAAGATTGACATCGAGGCCATCAACGAGCGAGTTAGGGAGATACTGAAGCTTGTTCGCCGAGCCGTGCAGACAGGCATTCCTGAGAATGCCCCTGAGCAGGGTCGAGATACGCCAGAAACGGCGTCGCTGTTGAGAACGATCGCGAGTGAAGCCGTCGTCCTTCTGAAGAACGAGAATAACGCACTTCCTTTCAAGAAGGATGAGAAGGTGAGACGCAGATGAGTCCCGCCAAAATTGCGGATATTGACACATATTGTCTAGGTCGTTGTCATTGGCCCTAATGCCAAGACAGCTGTCTACTGTGGTGGCGGATCTGCTACTCTACGCCCCTACTACGCCATCTCACCATTCGAGGGAGTTTCCAAAAAGACCGACAATCTGTCATACTCGGTCGGTTGTTACGCCCACAAGATGTTGCCACTTCTAGGGTCACGACTTCGAACCAAAGATGGCCAACCGGGCGTCACTTTTACAGCCTTTACTTCCCCCGACACGGTCAAGGACCGAGTTGCCGTTGATACCATCCATCTGGATACCACAGACATGTACTTTGCCGATTATTATCACCCTGAAATTACCGAGAACCTCTGGTGGGGAGAGATCGAAGCTGTTTTCGAGGCTGACGAGACTGGCGACTTCGAGTTTGGGCTCACTGTGTTTGGAACGGCTAGGCTCTACGTCGACGATGAGCTTGTCGTCGATAACGAGACCACTCAACGTCCCGGAGGAACCTTTTTCAATGTTGGCACTGTTGAGGAGACTGGAGTGAGACGTCTGACGGCTGGCCAGACATACAAGATCAGAGTTGTTTTTGCTAGCGGTGCGGCGTCAAAACTTGGTGATGCCGAGGGTGTCGTCTCATATGGAAGCGGTGGCCTAAGAATCGGAGGGGCCAGAGTTATCGACCCAGAAGACGAGATTGCCAAGGCCGTGGAGCTAGCCAAGACGGCGGACCAGGTTGTCTTGTTTGTTGGCCTCAACTCTGACTTTGAGCAAGAAGGCCATGACCGTCCTCACATGGACCTCCCCGGACGCACTGATGAGCTTGTGTCGGCAGTTGCAGCGGCCAATCCGAAGACAGTCGTGGTCGTTCAGTCCGGATCACCCGTTACCATGCCTTGGGCTAACTCGGTCGCTGCGGTGATACAAGCCTGGTACGGCGGTAATGAGACTGGCAATGCTATTGCGGATGTCCTGTTTGGCGACGTCAACCCCTCAGGAAAGCTGCCACTATCCTTCCCTATCCGTGTTGAGGATAACCCAGCTTTCTTCAACTATCGCTCGGAGCACGGCCGGGTTCTCTACGGAGAGGATGTTTACGTTGGGTACCGATTCTACGAGACAATCAAGCGACCTACTCTGTGGTCATTTGGTTCTGGATTGTCATACACTACTTTCGACCTGTTGGACCTTTCCATTCAGCAAGAGCAAAGGAATGGGCGTGAGCTTCTACTTATTGACGTTGGTATAAAGAACACTGGCTCAGTCGACGGCGCCCAAGTAGTCCAGGTATACGTTACCGCCCGGTCCTCGTCGATCAAGCGTCCAGTGAAGGAGCTCAAGGGATTCTCAAAGGTCTTTGTCAAAGCTGGTGAAACAGTAATTACCAAGATCTCTATCGAGAGAAAGTATGCCACGAGTATCTGGGACGAGACCAGGCATAAATGGGTGGAGGAGGCGGGGACATATGATGTCTTGGTGGGAGATTCCAGCTCCAACATTCAGCTCAAGGGTCAATTCGAGGTTTCGGATACAACCTGGTGGTCTGGCCTGTAAGGTAGATTTTATCACTCAGAAGAAAAGAGCAAAGAATGAGCCCAAATATCGGCCGAATGCTATCCCAGTCCCATGAACAGGTCATTTATTCTGCCTGCGTGAGCAAAACAGAAAGCATGAACTTTCCACCCATCAATTTTGTCAGAATGTTGTTATGATGTCGGTCCCAAGCCGGTTGTTGCCTGGGGACAAGCTCATCGGGCCACACTCAAATCAAGGAGTCGCCAAGAAACCCAGCATCTCGATGTTTTAGTTTGGCTTGTGTACTATTCCTAAAGCTGTGAGTCTTTCTTCCCAGTCATGTCGGGCATTTATCGACCTGTGAGTAAGAGGACGGCTCAGGTGGGTTACAATATAAACACACTCGACCGTACTTTGTAAACTGAATCTTAGCATCGGGTTATGATGCTATGATGTTTTGACAATGTGTTATTTCTTATAGTTGCAGCCTGACCATTGATAGGTTCACTGAGCCAGAAGATTGTAGACTAAATCAATGTGACAAGACTGTAAAAGTTACCTCTGCTATTCCCACTTGCCGGCCCAACACGGTCCAAATACCAATAAAGATCAGAGAGGTGTTCTGGTTCCCAAAAACAACGAAAGTATCCAATCCTTCTATAAAAGTCATCGGTTTGTTGAGCCACAATTATTCCATGGAGCGTGAACTGATTGTCTGCCACCATGCGGTTATCGAGCACCAGGAGCAGACAGAAGAGCTGCTCGTCAGTGACTTGGTTGACACCTTCGTCAATCACAGTGTCAATGGGCGGCAACCCCGCCGGGGCAAACCCTTCCCCTTCACTTGCGTGAATCTCGCGGAGGAACTCTTCTGAAAACCCTTTAACCCCTGCGTCATATGCCAGCGCAAAGCACTGCAATTCTATGCGCCCTGAACTGACTCGCCCTGTGGGGTTATGCGGACTATAGGGTGTAGTCTCGGCTCTGATAACTGTTGCGAGTTGGTGCGCGTCGTGAGGGTAGCGAGGCATAATGCGATCGTCCCACAAGATGAGTCCGTCTTCCATCGACGCCCATGACCAGGACGGTGCTCCATGGCTCGATCGTCTTCTGGGTTCGCGTACATACCAAAGTAGATCATAAACGGCTGTTCTTCTCCAGATTCCAGCAAGGTATTTGTCTGAAAGGAAACGCTCAAGCATAGAAGCGACACTGGACAGAGCAACTAGCTTATCGCTTGGATATGTCAACGACGATGAGGTGTAAGCCCTTCGTATCTTGTCCCAGATGCCGTAAGCTTCCGCTAGGCTCCCACGTCCTGCCATGAAACGGGATATTGCCTGTTGTGTGCGTTCCACCCATGCCTTTTGGTTGTAAAACTTGCTCATGACATAGAGTTCGAGGTCGTACAAGCCATGGCTGGAAATGAAAGCCAAGGAATAAGACTTTCGACATTCCCAATACAATGTTTCGGCTGCGAAATGGACTGTACGGGGTGACAAGAGTCTCTCTTGCAATACCCATCCGCGTTTGTTGATTTCGCTCCGATCCACAGCCTTCCACAAGTCGAGGGGCCCTGGGTCTCGAATCAGGCAGTGAGGTTGACTTGATGAAGCTTCGGTCGAATTCCAAGAGCATTCAATGTCGAACTTGATGACGTTACCGTCCCGAGCCCGCCACTCTACCGAAGAGTGAAGGCCCTTGCCGCTCACGACGGCTCCGGTCGCGGCAAAGTTGCAGATCGAGTTCTCGTAAACCATTGACATCTGTGCACTCTGGGCTTCCCAGTCATCTGGATCGTTTTGGTTGATACATAGAGAATCGATCCATAGGTATCTTAGACCCAACCCACGAGTAGTCTCAATGGCTTCTTGGAATGTATAAGGAAGGGAGTCAATGTCGAAGTCTACAGGGTGATTGCTGGTGAGTTTCGGCATCTGCGCGGTGTTCCACCGATGGCTTAGCGTTGTATAAGACGACCCAGCTGAGACATCTTCGGAGCCCAACAATCGGATCGTCGAGCTCGAGAAGTCTAAGCCAACGTCGAGGAGGCGTTTGGGTAACCACCCTTCTGGATTGGCCACTCTGCATTGGTCATGCTGTGTCAAGCACTGTTGCATCCAAAATCTCATGCATGAGAGGTGAGGACGCTGTGAGGGATTAGAAATGGGAATCTCTGCTTAATCAGCGTCAGAAATCCAGACCGCTGCATGTTTCTTACCTTCTGCGATTGCAAGGTAGTAGAATATCCGAAAGTCGGGAGTATCAAAATCACCATTGTCACTCTCTGAATCCTGGAATTCATCCATGTCGGAGGATCTACCCTCTACGTTCTGCCGATCGCGCCTAGGAGAATCGAGGTTGAAGTTGATGTGTACAGTCGTAAAGCACAGTCGTGTCCCGAACAGTTCGGCTACAACGTGCGCCCGGTTACGCTCATCTTGAGGCAATCCAAAGAACGCTTCCATTTCGTTGTGTACTGCTGGATCGCGGTGATAGCTGTCAATTTCTGAACATAGGCGGCATCTGGTAGTTGTTTGCATAAAGTCGGGATATGGCCGGCTCCATAATCGAACCCATCGTCCCTTGGCTGTTCCTTTGAGCTCGTGGGGTAGCTTTGGGGTTGCCTGTAGCGCCTGGGAACAACTTTGACAATAATCCATCATGACCTGTACATAGAGGAGGAAGACAAGTAAGCTGAGGGGTTAATGGTTCAGCTGAGACTCTGTATTCAAGATAATGGGCGGTAAAGCATGGCAAAACTGAACTCATAAGGCTCCAGTGGCGCATTCAGAAGTATGGAGTAGCTGACTGTAACTTTTAGGTAGCGACTTCATGGTTCAGGGCATTAACTAATGGAGGATATAATATTCTGCATCAATCCCCCCACGACGCGCACCAACGGAAGAGTCAAATCATGTGTAGGGTCCCATTTGACTGAATCGAAAGATAATGCTCCCTCCTTACTTCTCAAGTAGAGGTACTTGTTAAACTTTTGACAGATAAACCCCCAACCAACAAGTCTTCAACCAACAGACCAGGGGTTGTCAACCAACCACATATCTCCGAACCCCCAGTCGTCCAGCATGTGCGCCGCTCACCCACGTCAACCCCGCCCGTCTCCAGTTGGCAAAGTGGCGTGATTTCAAGGTTGTCAAAGCGGGCGCACATGTTGTGACAGGTCCTCGGCGGTTAGAAGCTGCTATAAGAGTAGACGTTCGCTACCACCTGTGATGAGTTTGCATCTGGTCCTCCTCTTTTGCACACTGCTACCCACGGAAACATGGCTCAGGAACAAACTACTACCACTCCGGCGTCGCCGGCCCAGGCCCAACCCCAGCCACCCTCGACACAAGCTGACCCGCAGTTGCCGGAACTTGCAGAACAGGAACCCCTTCAGGTCGAGGACGTGAGTGGCTCTTCAAATTAAGGTTTCGTGATCCTAACCGACGACACTCACGCGAGTTTTTTAGGACGTTGAAGATGACGGCTACGCTGCCTCGTGAGTCTGATATCGAATTAGTTACAAAGAATGAGTGCATAACAAATTCCCAAGTGAGGCCTCTGCTAGCATTCTCTCGTCTCTCAACTCTAGTGTATTCAACTACAAGTAAGTCCACCGACTGAGCCCACCAGTGTTTTGAACCGTGTTTAGTGACCATTTTAGGTATGAGGTTTGTTTTGATGACAGAACATGATACTGCCAGCACTCTTACACGAAGCATAGAACGGACGTCGTTATCATGCGTTCCGGGAGGGTGCATATCTAGTGGTAAGATGCTGCTAGTCCCTACCTGGATGCCTGCATTATTGTCCGGTTGCTAATCTGGAATTGGTAGCCCAATGACGACGAGGAACAGGACCGCATGGACTTGGGACACCACATTTACAGTCTGCTTCTTGGAGGAGAACTTTATCGCGCCCCTATCGGCAAAAACATCCAGCGCGTCCTTGACTTAGGCACAGGCACTGGCATCTGGGCTATGGACTTTGCAGAGTTGGGCCCCTTTACAAGACCCTTGAAGGTGCAACAGCTACTGATACTTGACGAATAGCCAGCACCCCTCCGCAGAGGTTGTCGGCACCGACTTGAGCCCCATCCAGCCCAAGTGGTATGGCTTCCTGAGTTCTGCCACTTGGTTCAAGACTGACAAGACACAGGACACCGCCCAACTGTACATTCGAGGTCGATGATTTAGAGCAAGATTGGGTCTACCACAACAAGTTTGACTACATCCACGCTCGCGAGCTGGGAGGATGCGTGGCCGATGATGAGAAGCTCTTCCGCCAAGCCTTTGAGCATCTTGCCCCCGGCGGCTACTTTGAGTTGCAAGCTGTTTATCCTCGCTTCCTATCCGATGATGGTACGGCCCATCTGGCAAAGGATGCTCAGTTTTGGATGAAGAACATCTGCGAGGGCGCCGTCAAGTTCGGTAAGCCCCTCGACGCAGCGCCTGGGTGGCTGGAGAAGATGAAGGCAGCTGGATTCGTTGATGTTAAGCAGGAGATCCGCAAGGCTAGTTCCCTATTCCACGCGCACAAGCAGCGTCTATGCCAAAACCTGAATACTTAATAACAGTGCTTAGTTTCCCATGGGCGGTTGGGCGAAGGATACAACACTCAAGGAGATCGGCAGGCATGCACTCATCCAGGAGCAGCAGGTCATTGACTCGTATACGCCTGGCATTTTCTCCCGTGTGCTTGGATGGGATGAGAAAGAGATCCAGGTCCTGATCGCTAAGGTGAAGAATGACCTTAAGAACCCGGCGATCCACCTCTATGTGCCCTGTTATTTGATATGGGGAAAGAAGCCGGAGGCTTGAGTATCGTGCTTCTTGTCATTAAGAACGTCTCTGAAAGAGGCCTCCGCCAGAATAACGAAGGAAATAGTTATTGATGCATGGTGGCACTAAAACCCAATCCTCAAAAACATAAACACCGTTTCTAGAGCTCTGGTCAAAACATGATTCTTTGGTCAGAGGAAGCTTCAACCACTTCAACCACTTCCCTGCTACATAGCTGACGGTAATGCAATCTACTGATGTGGTAATTGTCTGGCATGGCAACTCTCTTGAACTTCTCATAACAATACGACCTAATGGCGTTCGTTGTGGTCGCTGTGCTTTTTAATGACTTTAAGTATAGTATGGAGGGGAGATAGCTATTTATCCCTAGGGACCCGGCTGATCCGGGAGCCCGTGACCGACGATGCCGTTGGAAGCCGACGATCTAGGTTGGGATTGATCTAGGTTGGGATTGATCTAGGTTGGGATTGATCTAGGTTGGGATTGATCTAGGTTGGGATTGATCTAGGTTTGAAGTCTCTATCTAGGATTGATCGGAACCAGAGTACGGATCCGGGCCTATGCAGAGCTCAGTTTTCCTATCAGACCTATTCATCCGACACTAAGGAAAATTCAAAAACGAGGTATCAAAAAGTCTCTTTCCTTCAGGCTGGTAACCTGAGACGTAGTTGTCTCCCCAAGGCTGCATCCACGTGTCTACAAGTTCGTCAGTAAATACTCTCTGGTTTCATGTCATGTTAACTTACCGTATGTCGTAGCTGGCTTCGACTGACAAAGCCAAATGATGGTATTGTTCAGACCGTCCCTCATTTCATTGCTGGGAAACTCTTTGAGCACGGCAGAATACTCTTCGCTGGTGATACCGAGAAGGGGGCCCTGGAAATCGGAAAAGATTCCGTTGCCTGTAACAAAAACCTCGTGTTCTTTGTAGTTGAAGAAGTCAGGTTGGGTATGAAGAGCAATGGAGTCCCAAACAAGCTGTATTCTTCGCGCATCCCACTTTTTACCATGTTTGTTATTCTTGATGAATTCCCTGGCCGCAGTTGCACCATCCACTTCGAATCTCTTATCATGGCTCACAAATGGCGAGCCGGGAGTTTGGTCCCAGCCCAAGTCGTGAAGAAGAGCAGCCACAGCATGCACCTCCAAGTCGACGGAGTTGCGAAGGGTCTCGTTGTTTTCGATGACAAGGGCACCAAATAGCCAACCTCGCATGACATGCTTGTAGGTAAAGTCACTGCTGTGTTTGAGGGCGAGGTCATGGGCGTCGCGCACGATTGGAGTATCGACAACTTTGACACCAGCAATCGTTCGTCGAGGCACTGCAGTGGGTGAAGCCTGAGCTGGTCCAAATGGCAGAGCTAGCAGAAGCAAGAGAAGCTTTGCCATTTTAGGGTACACCATTGTGAAAAGAAGTTTTGGGAGTTGGACAATGTCTTCAAAGAGGTGAAAGTGCGATGTTGTATTGTTTTGAGTAGATTCTCGAGTACTGACCAGGACAGAAACCCAACTTATATCTCACAATTGCTGTCTTGTAAAGCAATCATTTCATGGGTAAGCATCCCGCTTTCTCAGCCATTCAACCGAAAATGATTATTTTCATCTCATTCAGCAACCCTTAACGGGGCAAAATTCTTCCATATAGACTTAAATCCTGAAGGCGGTCGGATATAGACACTTGGTCCAAGTTGCTTACCAACATAAGATGGAAAAAAGGCATCAGAAGGGAAACTTGATGTGGAGAAAAGGAAGAGTTGTTTCACACTTGCATAATCTATGGGACTAGAAGTTCCGTCCCTCCCCCTTCGTAATTCTATTTGTCACATTCGTAGCTATATCACTTGACTACTCCTTGTCTTTATGTTACCCTGCCATCGTAAGTGGGATTAAAGTGATACTTCTCGTCGGATCCGATCAGCGACGGTCAATCGGCATATTACTTGAGCCATTTGTTCCCCTATTCTATAATAACTTTGGGCCAACAAACGGAACAACGGAATCCTACATATAAATCGTACCACTATAATGCCCTGACAAACCCCGCATCTATCTAAGATCCGACACCTATCGGATCTATATGACAGCGGTGTGCTATTGACCATCCTCATTAGGCACTAACCGATAATCCGAGGATGAGTTTGATAGCCGTCTACCTGACAAGTTGATTGTAATGCCCGGGCCTCGACGGATAGATCCCACGTTATTCCTCGCATCCCACTGAGGAGGAGGGAATAGAATGGTTTGTAATCTTTGGGCAATTATGTAAACAAATTAGGTATGTAAACAACCAAGTCCAAGCAAGGTTTTAACCTTGTATCGACGTTCCCAGCGGACATTGTCCTTTCTTACTCTGCTCCACAAGACAATTTATACTCTTGAGTTCTTCTGTAAAAGCTAGTATTAAATGGGAGGCTGGTTACTGCCGACTGTATCATTGAGAATCATCCGTGGACGTTATTCTCGCGTGTTTCACTGCCGTTCGTCTCATCCGATGTCGGATGCGATTGAACACGCATGCTATAGCCACAAAAACAAGAAATCCTCCAACAACTGAGCAAACAATAATGATGATCCTCTTCTTTGTGAACCAAGTGCCCGAACCCGCCTGACGTTCTGACTTTGGGTTCTCACACTTGCCGTTGAAGCATCGAAGCCCATCTCCGCAAGGCGTACCATCCAAGAGCAGCTCCTCCATCTCTGATGGGCACTCGTTTTCATTGATTTCTTCAACAGGACGGCAGTTTAGTTTGCAACTGTTACTATCGCAGTGTTTCATGGTGTCGTTATCGGCGGGGAACCGTTGCTGGCATTGCAGGTCTCGAGAGGTGCATACCCCTGAAGCGCATGCCAAATTTGCCATACCATGCTCCTCACAGGCTTCCCCGTCTGGTCGTATGACATCGAGTGGACACGTGGTCGAGTTTCCATCGCATAACTCCTCGGGGTCGCAGGCTCCCTTACTTCCCCGGCAAACTAAGCCTCTTGACGCGGGCTGGCATTGATCTGTGCAGCAATCGTGATGCAACGGGTCGCAGACAGCCTTTTTGACAAATCGACAAGTTTTGGGGTCGCAGCAGGAGTCTTCGATAGATCTGCAGCCAGATGCACCGCCGCAATCGCAGTCCTCGCCTTCTTCCAGGATCCCATTCCCACAATGTGTAGCCTTGCTCGAGATGGACGGAACATCATCCTCGCTCAGGAGGCAGTCGGTGCGAACAGACCCTTGGCCCATCTTGGAGCAGATCTGTATTACCGTGCAGGGTGAGAATGCCTTCATGTCCGACTTGGCTGAAGGGTTCATGAGATATTGGGCCCCGGCGTCGCACGTCTTCCTGCTGAGTCGACAGCATCGCTCGTTGCCGTCCCATCCATCTTCCTTGCACATGCTGCTGGTACAATCATGTACAGCACCGAAGCTGTGAGCAATCTCGTGGGCAATGACTTTCCACTCGTATTGTGTCCGAACGACAATGTTCGTCGCAGCCACTATCCTCCCGTCTTCGTTCTTATCGTACCCAAGCTCGCAGACCTGGCCTTCCCACGACATCCCGACAGTAGATTCACTGCTGCAAGCTGTCAGAAGAGTCCAAACGGCGGGCCGTATCTCGTTAATGTCATCGTTGAACCTTGCTCTCCATTGGGAGAATAGACTTAGTCGATCAGCGACATTCTCCTTTGAAGTGCAGCCCAGGTTCCAGGGGGCAGAGTGAGGAGCTTCAACGGGGCAGTGTCGGTCGCTGATTGTGAGGTTCATCACTCTAAGGGCGATGTTGAAGGTATCATCGTATAGTTGGGATACCGTGTTGATCTGATTCAAGATATTTGACTGGACATCGGCTAGGCTGTCGAACTCGGCAGTGTAGGAACAGTCAGTAGCGATGCCAAGCATGGCAACTTTCCTTTCCTTTGGGCAGCCCTCTGTTTCATCCGCCTCGGTAACGGTGTCCCATGGGTCATAGTCTTGTGCATATTGCTGTCGTCTTGATAGAAGCTTCCCTTCGCTCAGATGTCCAGACCCCAAGTTGCCAGTAGAGCACGACGCTGCTCGTCCAGATAGCCTACCGCTATCGGTATGCTCAGATTTGTCAGGGCTTTTTCGTACAACCAAACAGGCTCTTTTTGGATCCATGATGTCTCGTCTCACAAGATGCGCAGGGTCTACCTCAATGTGATAGATGTCGCCATCGACCTGGAAAGTGCCTTGGAAAATGTCGCTGTTCCTATCAGACTGCACGACCCTTGCCCATCCAGTTCTTCTCCAACCAGGACCTCCGTGCTCTGAGATATGCGCTGATCCTTTGAACGCTCGACTGCCATGCTCTGGCCTGGATACCCGTGATTCTCCCCTCGGGTCAAGAATAGTGACGGAGGTGAGTGAAGTCGTTAGTTCATCGTTGGGCGTCAAGACGAGTCGGATATTGTGTTTGGTGTCTTTTAATTTCAACTCAAGTCTCATGCCCCATGAGACTCGCGAATTATCTGTATCCGGGATAATCTCATGGTTCTCGACTTGGGTGTAGTCCTGCAACAAACTGAATGGTCCAGGAAGAGCTGGAACTGAGCATTAGAGACAAGGCAATCCATGAATGGGAGATGATATCACACACCTTGACTTCCAGTGGCCCAGTAGCCTACATAGACGGCGAGGAACCAGAAGATGTTCATTATTCCTACCAAACATGGTCGAAATGGTTGGGCTCCGACTGTTTGCTCACACAAGTGAAGACGGTCCACCTGTTAATAATGAAATGGTGGTAAGCATTCTTCAGGCAGGTAAAATGATTCAAAACACAGGATGACGGTGGCCAAGTAGGCAGCAACTAGGATTTATTTCCTATCGACGTATGTGCTTTTTGCACGTCAGCCAACAACCAACAGTAGGATTTGGTTGAGGCGAAGTCATGGGGATCAGTCGCCACCTACCCACGTCGGTCGTCTTGCTTCCCATGGATGTCCATGACTATGTTGGTTGCTTTTAAGGCCAACATTGACCTTGAAGCCGTCACGATGCTCAGGAATAGGCATCTATACATTCGCACAATTCTATCAGTCTAACTATCCGGCATGCAAATGGCACCGGTAACTCCCAGTCCCGATATAGGCGAACGGTAGCAAAGCAAGATCTATCAAGGTAGCATTCAATAACTCGGGTCAGCAAAGGCGGGGAAATATCGAGGCTGTGTCATCGTCAGGCGGTCCGATCCTCCCGAAGGATTTGTCTGACAGGTATACTGGGCGTAAGGCGGAATGCAACTGCAATGACGTCTGTAAGACTCCTGCTAGGCAGGGATGATCTAACGTACGAGCTCTGCTTTCAGCTCATGGCTCTAGCTCAATATGCGGCCCATCGCGATGCAGATGATCCCCACAATCCATGTTCTGGATTTCGACGCAACGCAGCCTCATGCAGATATGGAATGATCATCACTATTATCCGCTTCAGCTGACCAGGCACCGTCATTAGCCATTTTTGACAAGGTCCGAGATCTACAAGTCGTCCTGATCAGCTTTGACCCTTTCAACGTCATTTGCTCCGCTTCGTTGGCCCACCCTTGGCTTGGCTGCCATCATCTCGGTCTTCCTCGGGAATAACAACTTTTAGGTTGCTAATGATGACTTCATGGGATGAAAGAATGACCCTCATTCGTTTCTATACGACGGCACAATAAAATCTTGTGCACTTTACCTGCCCCACCGCCCAGGACTCACCAAGTTGGTCCAATAGGTCCAACCCGAAAGGAGAGACCATCACAACTTCGTTCATACTACAGTACGAGTTGCTGTGATCGGCTGAAGAAACCAGTGGCAACCATGATCCAGGAATATTGATTGGTTTTTGGTTGGTTGTAGTGTTTCGTGGCTTGAAGATAGACAGAGAGAACAGACCTCGACTCTCACCCCCTCCATTTAGTGCATGCTCGACTTATAGGCCATGTCTGAACTTGCAATGGCATTATCCTTTCCACAGGAATTTCCAATATCTTCGTACTTCCATGCTCCCCTATTGGTTTCTGTTAAACGAAAGGCAAAAGTGAAAGATACCTTTCAGTAAGTACCTAACAATTAAGTCATTTATGCTGCTCAACAGCTTCCTACCCTATTCCATATCATTTGTTTTAGTTCAGGCTCTTTCTGTATCTATGATGAAGCAGGTCGTCGTCAAAGGGTCTATTTTTGACACTTTACCACATCAGAGCGAAAATACCAACGTTGAGAGATAAGCTTATCTGAGACATGGATTAGTTCGATGCTTGCTAGTGTCAAATTTGGTTGATACCCAAGATCTGGGCCATTGCATCATGCTCACATCAACTCAATGAAGCAGCTCATTTTTTCCACTTTTTGTCTTATTATACGTAGGTAGGCTATATGTATCTAAGGTAGGCTTCCCACGTGGGTGGCACATATATGACCTGTCTGATCATACATGGAATTAAATTACAAGATTCGCTTACTTGGCGCAGACGCGGGCATAGACATTAACGGGGCTAGGGCAGCCGTAGACCTTCTTCATGCTGGGAGTGCTGTAGCAGCTGGCAGCATTGGGAGCACAGTCGAACTTCTCACAGCCAGCACCGGGGCTGAGGATGTTGCGCTCCTTAGCGAAGGGGTTTCCCCACTCACTGGTATTAAAGTTAGCATTGTGTGCTGCAAGGTAGTGAGGATATTTACTTACGTGCTGAACTCATAGTAGACATAGTCGGGCTTGGAGGTAGAAGAGTAGCCGAAGAAGAGGGGGCTGGTCAGAGTTCGGGTCTTGGCAATCTTGACAGTCTATGAGTAGTGTTAGTCAGGATCAGAGAACCATAAGCATATGAAGTCAACGTACGGAGCCAGTAGAGCGGAGGTTCTCAGAGAATCGCTTTCCGGGCTTGACAGTGGTCAAGGGGCCGGGAGCACCACCGTTGTAGGGGTAAGACTGGACATAGATGTCGGTAGAGCAGTCGTTGATGACAATGGCCTGGTTGGCAGCAGCAGCGCTGCCGAGGAGGGCGGTAAGAGTGGCGAAGATGGCGAACTTCATGGTGACTGATTTAATTATTGATGAGTTGAGCTTGAGAGGTGTAGTGAGTGAATGAGTAGCTTGGTGAAGATGATAGATGTCGTTGGCAGACAGCTCTTTTTAAGCATACGAGCTGTGCATGGAAATGTTCCATATTCTACGGCGATCCACTATGACATCGACACTCGCGCTATTTATGATCTATACGAGGATGATCGGTTCGTATTCTGGAGAAGCTCCATCATGTCAGGCCATTTGCGGGGTGAGAGATCAGCCCCGGCCAAGCTGCCATGCCGAATCCGGAACGGGCGGTGATCCTTTCCGATAGTGTGCCGAGGGCATCTGCCGATTGCCCGTCGTCCGCCTGACCGACCACCCGTTGCATTGCTTCATGCATAGAGAGGCGAGACTCTTTAGTGCTGACCTTGAGCTAACTTGCTCCCCTGCCAGTTATCTGATCACATGGCTTAGGCGGTCTAGTTACGGTTAGAAAATTGCATAGTTTACACAGTCCAGACGAAATTGGGATATGCAAGGCTAATACGGAAAGCTCGTATTGATGCCCTGGCTCTGTCTTCTCGTGACAGATTCCCAACCTCCCGCACCATCCGACACCAGTTCCAATGCCCTCGCCTATAATCTGCCTGTTATTGAACAGAGAATTATGTGTAACTGACTTTGCGAGTTCCCCTGGCACCTGGGTCAAGGAAAAAACGAGACACGAGGATAAATACAATACTTAATCCTACTCTAAATATAATCAATAAATAATAATAAAAATATATATATAATCCCCTAATTATTATATTATTTTATACTAATTTTTTATAAAATTTATTTATAAGGAAGGCATAAGGTAATTCTCTTCATATATACTCTGGCGTCTCATTTATTTCTTTGCCCACGTGCCTGGCAACATCAATACGGCATGATTAACTTTGCGGCTTCAGCCGGGAGCTATCAATAGTCTCGACCTAGTCCCTTGTCATTTCGCCATTGCCGAAGCTAGAAAACTATAAGATGCGTGGGAGCAAGCTGGGGCCTGAAAGTGACCAGTGATGTCTTGTAGCGCATTTGGCAAGATTAAAAATAGCAAGCTATCATCTTGCTGAACTGAAAGATCGGGCGGACTATTGAGAAGCATAGAAGCCGCTTAGAGTCGCCAGGCCGTCGTTAGTTCCGTGGCGCATTGTTAGAAAATGTGCCTCTGACCTAGGCATGAACTGCTTCCGCTTCATTCACTATTGAATTCCAATGCGTAGACATGGATGCTGGTTACAGAAGCCAAAATACGAACAACACAGGCCATTCGCTTCGTCGGCAAGATTAAAGGAGTATCTTTCATGCCTTCTCCGCTTACTAAAGCATAAGCCTCTTTTACTTCTTGAACTTGTTATAGTAACAGTGACTAATTCCTCAGGGGAAAACATGCACTACGCTCCTTTGCTCAAATATTCCTCTAGCTATGGGAAGTCGCTTAGAATCAGCAAGACTCAGTCTCAGAAAGAGCGGTACTAATGGGCCTGCATGAGCTTTTACTGTTCGCATGACCAAGCGAGTAGAATAATCGACCTTATGGGGAATAGGGAATCAAGGGGTTAGCTTGCATACTTTGGAGGCAGGGGCTTTGCCTACACCGCTCGCCAACGCAACGCAATCTCGGCTTGCAGACCATAAAGCAGGCCCCAATAATTCGAGAAAGGCTCTAGTTCCAGTATTTTTGTCACCTGTCAGTGCGTAGGGTGCTTGGTACACCCAAGCTAGCGAAAGAGGCCCTTGCATGGCTCGTTGGAGTTGGTGCTAATGTCAATGGCCAAACACGAAAAGCCATCTCATCCATTCAGGAACGCAGCGACTAGCACCGAAGATGTAGACTTTCTAGGTTGCGGTGTTTTTCAGCATTGGATTTTAATGCCGTCAGGTGTTTTTGATTGTGCTCTTTGGAACTGTGCCTGGCGGATGTGTTGTTGCTGCTTAACAACGACAACAATAGCAAGAAGTGGAAGTTGAACACCCTGTATGACCGTCTTCTATAAGTTACCTGAGCTTGACGGTAGAAAAGAAATGGTTCGCTATGGAAGGCTAAAAATTTTAGGTTACGGCGTTTTATGGCTGTAGGTCTTGACACCGTGGAGGTATCCAGGAATGTCTCGTGCGCTCTGTATTGTAACTAATACCTCCAAAATGATCAACACCACAGACAAAGAAGAGGTAGCTAAGTCATTCTTCGAGTAGATATACGATCTAGATCGTCAAGAAGAGGTATTTAGAGCATTACGAAATTCGTTATAAGCACCAGAGATCTCAGGATGTTGACATTCGGTCATGCAGCACTCCGCAAACTTTATCGAGATTGTTGAGTATCTGGCGTGAACCGTTCTTTGTTGAGCTCCTCTAGCTATTTAAAAGGACTTGATCGATTATTTCAACTCCCCAAGTTTCCCGAGCAGTTTCACATCTCAAACACACATCTCTATTCTCTCACCACCGGAACAGCTTCATTTATCAACAGCCACATAATGGATCCATTTACTAAGCTGCCGGAAATCGTCCAGGCGGAACTTTTGATTCATATCGACTCCGTGGCAAACATCCTGCCACTAATACAGGCATCCCCAGCAATGGCCTCGATATTTTTTACGTGCAAGACGAGTATCTTGCAGCGAATGCTCACAATCCTTCTTACCGGCGATACCAATGGAGGTATCATCCAAGACGCTCTGGCAGTCCTCAATTTTCCTTCTCCCGACAGTATATCATCCATACCCTCGATCCGGCATCACATCCAAAAGTGGGCGGACCAAGGATTCGGCAACCCCTTCCAGCAATCCGACCCAACAACGATTCAGAGCCTCCATCGCCTCTTCTCACGTCTGACCCTGTTTATTGAAGACTACCTCGCCAAAGCAACAGATCCGTTCCCGCCGCGCGCATATATGGCAGTCCCTGGCATTACTTCTCCAGGCCCATGGTTCAAAGGCAAGAGAATCAACATCAAACCCGTCAAGTTAATGGCATTGACTCCTTCGGAAAGGACACGCCTGTTACGGACATTTATTCGATACGAGCTGCTTTGCAAGATTTATCATCCCCGGGTGTGGCCTTGGATTGAGCACAGCAGCTGTGCCAACCAGGTCAAGATAATGCATGAAAAGTTTCGACCTGTGGATTACAAGGGATTGCACTGCGCTTATGAGTATTTCAGGAGCGTCTACGGTGCCATCTTTGCACACTGCCAAGACTCTTGGCTACCAGATCGACCGGCCGCCTGCTCTTCTGGCAACCGGCTACACCCTGATTCTAAGCATGGGTTGTTGTACCCAGATACAATTTATTTCAGCGCCAGCGACTATTTGTCAGATATGAATATACAAGGTAGGAATTTGTCAAGAATATTACCTTGTCTTGGTTTAGATCTGCTAGTCCATATTCTAGCTTCTCTTCAAGAGCGGAAGGACTACGAAAGATACCTCAGGAGGTGGTTCAATCTTCTTTCAAATGATCTTGGATGGACTTATAATCCTTGGATGTCTAATCGGCACTTCGCTAAGCATCACGAACAATCCGCAACTTTCGATGCCAACATTTACCATTGGGGTCTCGGCCCAGATTCACCACATCGTCGCTTCATGCCCAGGCCGATTTTTGAGCACTACTCGGGATACGAGCCTTGGAGTAGGGGGGAACAGCAAGGGCGTCTACTCGGGATACATGAGCTGCAGCTCCAGATATATCGTCAGCGAGCCTGGGTTTTCTTTGACGATGTGAGATTTTACCCTGACGCAAGATCCCATTTTCCGACGATGGAAGATCTTGATAAGCAAGACCAGATCGCCAACGATAGGCTGGGCCCGGATTATGAACGAAGCCGAAGAAGATCACAAAAGTGGCAAGATTACTACTGGGGACGAACTCTGGATAACCCGTTGCACGAGCAGGAAGAGGAAGAAGAGGATTGGGTGATGATGGAGGACAATGAAGGACACCTCATGCGGTTCTTTGAGAAGCCGGCCATTGGAAGTATCCCTTCATTCTGGAGACACAGCTCGATGAATGTGCAGGCCAGTTCGTGATTGGAACGTCCCTCTGTTATCGCCAAGAGGGCCCATCCACCAATAGAAAGACCAATACACCGTCAGGGGTTCCCCGCCAGCTGAAACCGAGCTGGATAGAGCTTATGACCAGTTATGCCAACACCAAATCCCACGAACCCCGCTACGAGTGATAATTTGTCAGCTTATCATTGCAACTTGCAGCCTCGGCGAAGATGCGGCTTATCAACACCGAAAATCTACACATTCAAAGTTTTCCTGGCCCTGAATTGCCTAAATATGCCATCCTCTCTCATACCTGGACCAATGACGAGCCAACCTTGGCAGACGCTCAAGGCGGCCTTTTGGGAACAAGTTCAAAAGCAGGATGCCGAAAGGTTAGAGACTTCTGTAGACTGGCACGACAAGACGGCTTCTATTTCGCTTGGGCCGATACCTGTTGTATCGACAAGACTAGCAGTAGCGAGCTGACCGAGTCCATCAACTCCATGTTCCAATGGTATGCGTCAGCCGACATCTGTTATGTCTACCTTGCCGACCTTGGGAGCGATGCTTCGTCAGACACCATGGCCTCGTGCAGATGGTTCAAAAGAGGTTGGACTCTTCAAGAGCTTATTGCACCGAGTACGCTACGATTCTATGACAATGAATGGAATCTCCACGGTTCAAAGATGGAGTTTGCCGATCAGCTTCTGCAGATCACCAACATTCACGAAGCTGTCCTTAGAGACCGGGCGTCATTACCCATGATTCCAGTTGGAAGAAGGATGTCATGGGCAGCAAATCGTCAAACAACACGGCCAGAGGATATGGCATATTGCCTAATGGGAATATTCGACGTCAATATGCCCTTGATATATGGGGAAGGACGGAAGGCCTTTATACGGCTTCAGGAGGAGATCATGAAGAACGACAACGATCTCAGCATCTTTCTATGGCGGTCAGCTCCCGGTCCAAAGTATCGTGGTATACTTGCCGAGGATCCATCAGAATTTGCTTGTGCCTCTCGCCTCAGAGCTGGGGTCGCCGGCATGGATAGTCCGCAGTCCACCATGACCAACAAGGGTGTCAAGATCAAGGTTGCCCTCGCAGATAACAATCAGGGTGTATTTGCACTGAGTCTTAACCACGTCAACGAAGACTCGACTACGGATGAGGTCCTCGGTGTCTGGCTGAAGAAACACAAAAACGGAGCCTACGCAAGGGCACGTCCACACACCCTTGTTGTTGTGTCTGAGGGTAAGTTTGGAACCCCCTCCCGCAGGTATCTCAGTAAGCACTTGTCGTCGAACATGGCACAAGCTATTGACTCGGCCATGGACAATGCAATCGTGTTTCGCGGGGAATTTTATAGCCGATACTATCAGCATCTATCTACCACTTCCAGTGCTTGGTGGGATCAGGATAGGATGGCTTATCTGCGGGACCATGGACGACCATTTGTTGCCTTTCACCTTTTTCGAGCCGGTTGGGATAATTCTAGGCGAGATAATCGCTTTGTGCTCGCTTTTGGTGTGGCTGAAGACCAAACAGCATGGTTTTCACTAGGAGCCAATTCATGGCAACACGCATCAAAAAGTGCGGAGTTGTTGGATGCAGCGTTGAAAGGAGATCTCAAGACTGTCGAAACGCTAGGGCTCGACCTGTGGAAGGAACACAAACAGATGGAGATGGAGCACAAGGAGTTATGGGGACATGAGCAACTCCCGCAGACACTCACGCTTCTCAAGCGAGACCAGGCTTCCTCGCTGACTGGAATATCTGAGCAACTTTATACGTTGGAGGTTGACATTAGCAGAGGCCGTCTCGAGGGACATGATGTATATGTTGTGACGATTGGGCAGGAGATGGCACGGTATCGCCGTGTGGTGGAGATTATTGCCCCTCTTGTTCTTTTTTACCTTGTGTGTAAGCTCTAGGTAGATGTCCAAATTTCTGAGACAAGAGCAAATTGCTTTTTATTCAGTTCCTTGTGCTACCTGTCATCCATCCTTTGGAAAATGCTTGCTTTGTCTCCTTCTTGTCAGACAGCGCCCTAGTAAAGGATCAAATTTAGGTAGAAGCTTCGGAATTGCGATGAAACTAGGCCAATGATAATCGATAGGGGATTACTCATCCTAAGAGTAAATAGTTAACATGGTGTTAGATGTGTTAGACTGGTGCCCTCGAAGTGTACTTTGGCAGTATAGGGTAGGCCACGACGAGGTGGCTTGGCTGCCAAGGCTGAGGTTATGCACGCTGGATTAGGCACTAGCCTCTCCTCACTTCAATCTCACAACAGTCATCTTCACCACTCGATATCAACATCTTGTCGAAATGGCCTCAACTGGGCACCCACGGGGCCTGGGAAATATCCCTTGCGAGATTCAGCTCCAGATTTGCACCCAGCTCTGCGTCCATTGCTCCAGAGATCCCAACAAACTTGACAGATGGGATGACCAAGACAACCAACGGACGCTGCTCGCCCTGAGCCAAACATCGCGCACCTTTTATCGTCTTGCCCAGCCTCTCGCATTCCACAGATTTCAACAGATCCCGACTAACCGGTCCACAAATGCCTTTGTCAAGTTTGCTCGAACGCTCATCGAGCGACCTGATCTCGCTGGAGAGGTGAAGGAGCTGCGTCAGCACTGCTATGAGCCTGGCGGTTGGTCCACCCAGGAGGACTTCAACATGCTCAAAGCTGCTGCCGAGCGTCTCGGCATGGGATCTGATAACGATCCAGACTTTGAAAGTGCCGAGGAGGAAGATCTATCTGCGGGCAAGTTTTGCACCGAACTTACCATAGCTTTGCTGCCAAATATTGAGACACTACATCTCATGTTTGAGGACCAAGGCAATTACGAGCAGACGACGTACACTTACTTGCAACGGCGATTCGACAAGCTTGGCTCTGATGGCACCTTGAAACATCTCCGACGAGTCATCGTCGACACCGAGGAGAACTGGGGGTTCTTCTTTTCCATCCCGGCTGTTGCGGTGCTTCATCAAATAACACCAAACCTTGACGAATTGATTGTTCGACACAGCAAAGGCTTTGAGAGTATGGACTTGGCGCGTCGTAATCTTTTTGCTATGTATTCTGGACCGACTCAGTCTCTCCGCACTCTTCGACTTGATCACTGCGCTCTCCCCAACGACTCCCTATCGAAATGTTTCCTGATCCTGCTCACAAGGCATGCCGCTAGCCTTGAGCATTTCTCCTATCGTTCACAATTACCCTACTTCGGGGAGATGTTGGGGACTCATCTCACACCTGGAGAGATGATCTCATGCCTCAGATCTGTATCAAACACGCTCAAGTCTATCGACATCGACCTCACTGACCACTTGGATGACGGCCAAAACCGTCTTGTCACTGGAACAACCCTAGCCATGTTTGAAAAACTAGAGCACCTGAGGCTGGATGAACATGCCTTCTGTCGACACTATTTCGAAGGCCCAGATGTTCCAAGAAGCACTACGAATACCTGTCTGACAGATCTTGTACCACCGACTCTCAAGGTACTGACTGTGAGATTGTTCGACGACTCATGCCTTTGGCCCGACTTGGAGGAACTGGTTTCAGCCTCCTCCTCCAAGTTTCCTAACCTTGAGAAGATAATAATTAACACTATCTGGCGAATGGGTAGCACAGAGACATACAGGGACTGTCAGGAAGCAGTTCGTGCCAAGGGTCAAGCATTCCAAGAATTTGTTGCCAAAACGCATCTGGAGTTGGAAATGCACGAACACCGATATTGGTTACCACATGTGTACTGAGGTACGCCGCGTATTTCATCACAGGGGAGGCCGGGGGTATAGGAACAGGTACATCGATGGGAGGGAAGTGTGGTGGAAGCTGGCAGCAAATGGATCCATTTTGGATATTGCATGTCCAGCCGGACCGAAACGGACACTCATTTTGTCATAAAAAGCACAGATATCTATTGTTTTGTAATGCGGATAGTCTATTTAACATCGTTGCGGCCGATGAGTCCATTCACTGTACGACCTAGAGATTCATAACCAGTCTGCTCAAAACAAACGTGGCCACTGAGTTTCAATCCGCACAGGACCAACTGTATACTTGGCTTTGGATACAGGCCTTAATCTTCTCTACCAAGGAAGTGTAGTTCCGTCATAGCTTCGGAACGTGCCGCTAGTCTCGTCCCTCGTGGCCTTGTCAATGGTGCCAACCATGCCAGCCACACTAGTGTCGACAGAAATGGCGCCGACATCAGAAAGCTTGAGACCAGCTACTGCAACGGCCCCCTGGGCAAGATCAGTCTCGACCAGGCCGGGGTGGAAGACCCAGCTGGTCAGCCACTCCTCTTCAAAGTGAAGGCGGCGGATGAAATAGTTGAGTTCCGCCTTGCTGGCGCCGTAAGGGCTGTGCGTGGCGGGGAAGCCAACCAAGCCCTCCATGGACCCGATGGAGCCAATCAAGGTGGAGATTGCGAGGAAGATGGGGTTTCCAGTCTTGCTGGCCTTGAGGAGGTCGATGGTAGCCTGGAAGAGGGCGACGGGGGCAACCGCGTTGACCTGGTGGTGAAGGTTGATGTTGTCGATGCTGATCTCGCGGACACGGCCACCATTCTGAGCGATGCCGGCGTTTGCGATGACGATATCCAGAGAGGAAATACCGTGCTCGCTCTTAAGCTTCTCCACCGCAGTAGCAGCGTGCTCCGGCTTTGTCGAGTCGAGCTGGACAGTGACCAGCTTAGATCCATCAGCCTTGGGGAGGTCCTGGAGGGCCTTGGAAGTGGGATGCTCTGGATCTCTCACGGCCACGATAACAGTGGTAGAGGGTCTAGCAAGGAAGGTCTTGGCGAAACCCCGGCCGATACCGCGGTTGGCACCGGTGATAAGGACAGTCGAGGAAGACATGATGAAGTGTTGTTATTGGTAGATAAGTGTAGAATGAGTTGAGTTGAAGTGTGATTACTATCTTGAGGCGTGGAATAAGAGAGATATTTATCCAGTTTTCTCCTAGGTAGTAACAGCACTCAAAGATACACACATTCAGGCTTGGCCGCGCTGTTCAACTACACCGATGTGCCGGACGAACCGGGGACATAACGAACCGCCAACTCTCCGCCATATTGTGCAGGGTTTGGCAGTCGAGTCGACAACTCAGAACGTTTTCCGGGTGAACTCAACTCTCCGAGTCTTGATTAGCAATATGAAGCTATCTCGACGCAAGTGAGTGCTGTCCGGAGTCGTGACAAGTGAATATTCTGATCACTCATCAGTAGCAAATTGAACCGAGGCATCGAGTGGAGTCGTGCCAAGACACTTGCTAGGCAGGGCACCATTGAGCGTCTTTCGGATTCCTCCGATCCAATAGACGGCATCAATCTGGATGTTTACGCGTATAGAAGGACAAGGGGTCCAAAGCTAACAAGGACCTGAGTACAGAAAGGGGCTAGACTGACTCACTTTATCACATCATTGGCACGAGGATGAAGCAGCAAAACTTTAATTCGTGACGTCTTGATGCCTTGTTGGCGGGCATGTCACCACATTGGATCAATCCTCATCCACCAACAGGCCCGAGCCAGCTTGGTAATCCTCCCTGTATTTGCTGCCAACATGGTCACTACCCTATGCTCAGCGGCAACCACAAGATTGTCTGCCACTAAAGGACTTGGCACAAGGGAGCCGCAGAGATTGAGCGGTGCAGTTCATAGAATAGTTTGTATTGAAGGGATGTCTGCTCGAGCCACCACTCAACCTCCGGCTTGGGCTAGCCCTCATTGCCGATGCATCCAGAGACTGTGACATAAACCATGACCATTTAACATAACTACAACAATGTCGGAATGCCTGAGCGGGCGCACATCATCTCAACGGGCTCCGGCTGTTGGTTCAGCTGCGTTTGAGATAACTACCGCTTGACTCGGCTAAATCACGATCCCGACCCGGGCCAACCAGATCTGCCCTGAAAGTTCCGGACGAGGCTCGGCCGAGCAGAGAACGGCAGTTTCTTTATTGATCCAGACAGTTCTCTTGCGATGACACAGTCTCACTTACAAAGCAATAGTCGGAAACGCAGTTGCAATTCACTTCGCCGTTCACCGGAGAGACTATCGGTGTGGAAAAAAAGATTGTTGACGTGGTTAGTAATCGTTCGTCACTCGGATAGCTTGTCGTTTCCGTGAGGGGAATACTCCACAACCCTTTGGGCGGGATCTGGACAAGACCAGTGGTCTATTCTTGTCTGTCACATGCTCAGGTAAGTAGCTAGCCGACCTCTAAGGTGACGGACTTGATAGATAGACAGATCATGGCACGAATGAGGATAAGTTGGCTATTAAAGAGATTGGACATCGCGTGCCCTTTGACCGAACTGGGAACCGAGTGACTTTACTGTCGATCGACAGCCCGTCGCTGGTCAACTAGATCCGTCCAGAAGCGCGAAACACTTGGTCCAGAATGTGTCTGGTTCCTAGAGCGAGAAATCTGGAAGCGGTTTCCAGCCTTGGCTTTCTCCTGCCAGAAGCGTGGGAGACCCCCCGGTGCAAACAAACGGATCACCCGGCACCCATCATGGCGGAGTTTAAATCAAGAGATGTTCTGGAGTAATTAATAGGATACAGAAATTATCTAGTGATATTGCTATAGGTAGAAAAGACAAGCACAATCACAAACTGTAAGAAACGCTAATCAATCTGTATACTAACCCCCTACTCTTCACTCAACCCAAACCCATCCCATTTAACCACTCTTGACTCGCTCTTGACCCTGCTTGTAGATGCTCTCCCTGGCCTTAGCCTTGTCCAAGCCAGCTGCCTTGTTCGTGCTGCTATCAAACACGGTTCTCGGACCGACTGCGTTCAAAAGCCAAACGATGAACGCGTTGGTGCCCTTCCAAAGGAATGAGTCCTTGCCATTGATCAACGCGCCCACGACTTGTTTAGCGAACTCGTCCGGGGGCATTGTTTTGTCGAGATGGGTCGTAGTTCTCGCCTTGACAGAGTCCTCCACGTTGCAGTACAAGCTGTCGGGACCAAAGTTGATGTTTTCGGTCGCCATCAAGGGCGTGGAAACTTCGCCCATGTATAATGTCACTACCTTGATACCCAAGGGCTGAACTTCGAGTCGGAGGGTGTCGGAGTATGTCGCGACAGCTGCTTTGCTTGCGTTGTAGGCGGACGAGAAAAGGTTTGGGACGCGGGCCAGAACCGAGGCGACATTGACAATGGTCGGCGTATAGTTTGGAGTAACAGCGGCGAGAAGGAGAGGCGTGAACGCAGTGACCATCTCCATTAGGCCAAAGACGTTCGTGGCAAACAGATTTCGGACACGAGTCGGATCGGCTTCGATGGCTGGCGCTTCGTACACTGTGAGTTGATGGTTAGTACTTGGATTGCGATATTCAAGGCGACTGTGCTAATTACGTGTTCCAGCGTTGTTAAACAACATGTCTAGGTGTCCTTGAGTGCGGCTCGCAATCTCAACGGCAAGGGTCCGAATGCTGTCGGGGTCTGTGACATCGAGAACAAGGGTTTCAATCCCCTTTTCCCGCAAGTTACTCAGGGTCTTCTGAGAGCGAGCCGTGGCAAAGACGCGGTATCCCTTGGCCGCAAACTCCAAAGCAAGTGCATTTCCAGCACCGCCCTGGGAGCATCTGTTGATCCATGATGGTTAGGGGGTTGTAGACAGGAGTGGTGTCAGTGCGTACGTACCCAGTTACGAGGACAGATCGCTTTTGTTGACTCGCCATTGTAATGATAGAGATGTTACTGGTTAAAGTTGACAATAATCCATGATAGAGGGGAGCTTCTTCTTAATAGTTCTTTATTCACTGCAGTGTCTCAGGCCTGTTCACTGGCACTCGGGCTAATTAGTTATCACCCTAGCCGTGACAAATAACTCCGTTTAGTGGCGCGACAGCTAAAAAAGTCTAGACACTCGGTCGGAATGATTGTTGCCCCGACAGTGACGACGTCATACAAAGTAATTATATAGATCTGGTGGAATTGACTTCAGTAGATTTCCCTTGGCTTTCCTCATTGCTCCATCTCCTCGTTTCATCTCTCCTACCCGTCATATCTTCCCTCTCACGCAACATACACATCATGAAGGCTCTCAAGTCCAACAGAAGCATTGTCACGCGACTACTCAATGCTGCCACCAACAAAAGCCACTGCGGCATGGGTGGTCGGGTCCAGGATAACGTGCCTGTTCCCACCATCACAAGCAACGAGATCCTCGTCAAAGTCAAGGCCGTCGCCCTGAATCCCACCGACTTTAAGCATCTCGACGTTATCTCACCTCCCGGATCAACCATTGGCTGCGATTACGCAGGCGTGGTGGACAAAGTCGGCGACGCAGCTGCGGCAACTTGGAAGGTTGGAGACCGTGTTGCCGGCGCAGTTCACGGCGGCCTCTTCCCCGACAAGGGAGCATTTGCCGAGTATCTCAAGGTCGAGTCGGATCTCGCCTGGAAGGTCCCAGACAACGTCAGTGATACTGACGCGACTACATATGGCGTCTCGGCTGTGACCGCGATGCTGAACATAAACGTGCGCCACGGAATCCCCTTCGTCGATGGAAAGACTGCAGCTCCGAGAAATGAGACCATCTTTATCTACGCCGGATCAACTAGTGCCGGCCTGTACCACATCCAACTCGCAAAGGCAGCTGGATGCACCGTCGTCACAACAGCCTCGCCGCATTCGTTCGACCTGGTCAAGAAGTACGGCGCTGATGCCGTATATAACTACAGATCACCCACAGTTGTTGAAGAGATCGTCAAGGATTATCCCGATATGACAAAGGCTGTCGATTGCTTTTCCGAGGGAAAGTCCACCACCGTCTGCGCCGAGGTTATCAAGAAGAAGGGCGGCAAGGTCATCACCCTGCTTCCCAATGGCAAGTCCAAGTTCCCCAATGTCACCTACGACCTGGTGATGGCGTATACTGCTCTTGGTCATCCGTTCCAGTGGCTGCCACCCATCGGCCCCAAGTTTGAGGTCCAACCAGCAGACAGAGAAGGCTTGGTTCGTTTCTACTCTGTCCTGCCGCAAGTATTGCACATTGTAAAGCCAATCCCTACTATTGAAGAGAAGGCTGGCTTTGATGGAATCCTTGAGGGTCTGGACAAACTCCGAGGGGGCAAGGTTTCGGGAGGCAAGCTGGTGGTCAGCTTTGGAGAGAAGTGAAGGAAGCAGAGTTGTGGACTATAAGTACCAAACTCAGAGGTGTTATTTTGCCTGACTGGAGACTGTAATTTGTAATACTATGTAGCCTTTTATGACTTATCTCATTAGTTGATCTTCGCAACTAGAAAAGGCTATCCGCTACCTTGCACAGGTTTGGGAATCAACATGCATTGGCTTATGGAGAGAAGCCTTTACTGGAATGCATACCCGGTGTCGCTGAACCATCCTCTCAAAATCACCGTTCTGGATAGGAGGCAAGTCTTGTGTCTAGACTTCTAGCGATAACTGTACCTTTTGCTATTGTGGCCGAGTGTCTCGTTTGGAGTCATCATTGACAATAACAACAAAATCACAGAATTGGCGCACCCATGCTGGGTAAGAAGAACGACGACTCACCCCGTATGTAAGAAACTAATATCCTTTGGAGTTTTTTGTTATAAAAGAATCTTCTCTAGAGCTGCATGACGCCAAAAATCTCGTTATTGTCCCCCATCGCCAACCGCTGACCATCTGGTGAAAAGGCAAGCCTACTGACGCCATCACGATCATACTGGCCCTTCGACCGAAACGTGCCTGAGCCACTCAGCCCCCATACAAGGATTTTGTTAGTGATGCAGCTCACGACGAGTGTTCGAGAATCTGGCGAGAACGCGATAGCCCGCACGGTGCTAGGGACATCCAACATGGCGTTCAACTTCCAACTCCCATCCGACATTATTTCAAACACGAGGAAGCCTGATTTAGGCACTGCCTGAGCAGCAAACCACCGAGAATCTGGAGAAAAGGCTGCAACAGTTGCGACTTGGTAAGCCGACGGTCCAGGGTGACGAGTCAGCATGCCACCAGGGGCCTGGGACTTGAAGAAATGCTGGCCATTGGCTCTCTTGGACGAAACTCCAACATACTGCTCACCATTTGGCGACCAGAAAAAGCTGTGGTTGTCATCATGGTGCTCCTGGAATATGTCATATCCCCCTTGTGAGTTGGCGTTCCAGATAGTCATCCTTTGTTTCTTGGATTTTGGCTCGACCCAAACGATCATGATTCGTCGTCCATCCTTGACTATCATATTCCTCGCGATGGTCTTACCATGAGAGACGTAATGGCTTATGGTCGGCTGGAAGAAACCTCGCCCATCAAGCGTACAAGTCACAGCAAGTAATTGCTCCTTGGTCGTCGATGACCACTCCTGTCCCAAGAATAGTACCAGGCGGCTGCTATCAGAGGAAAATGAAACCCAGATCTGCGAACTGCTTCCACACTTTGTCCTAAGACAATGACTTCTTCGGAAATCGCCTTGTTTGTCAACACTCCAGAGTTGAAGCCGTGTCCCGTATTCTTCCCCATAAGTAGATGCAAACCATTTGCTGTCTGGTGAGAAAGCGAGGTGCGTAATGGACTCGTAGAGGTTGTAGCTTGTAGCTTCTGTAGAGCTGTTGCTGGATTCAATCGTGACAGATATTGCAGTTTCGGCTCTGGTTGTGATGATGGGTCGAGCCTCGGACGGTGGCAGAATGACTTGTGGCCCTATTGAGTGTGTCAAGTCGCCTTGAGTATTCTGTGTGCCACTGTAGATGATGTAATCATGTCCTTGGAGCACAGGTAATCCGGATGATTCCTCTGGTGTAAGGAAGTTGTCGGATGTCTCATCAGCAGATCCACGCAAGCTGTTGATGAAAGAGAGCGAGCGACGCCAGAACTCAACCCTGGAGCGTTCAGAAGGGTCAAACTCAATCGACTGGTCTCTTGTACGAGTAAGAGGTGTTAGATCATCGCTAGGATGGTTTGGCAACCTCTGTTCCTCACTTGGTAACCTCACAATTTGGGTTCCAGATGAGGTGCCAGTGTCACTAGGCTGGACTTGTTGAGGATTAGGAGACTGCGCTGTAACCGTTGTCCAGCGCCCGGAGGCTGGTCTCATTTCTAATGTTCCACTATTACTCGGCTCAGAATCTCCTCCATCGATCGTGCTCAAGGTCGAAAGATCATGGGGGGATGATGAAATCCAGCAATGTTCCAACGCCTGGGCCGTCGTGGGACGATCACCCGGAGAACGACTCATAAGCCACTCGCTGAATGACTTGGACTCGTTAGTTAACAAAGAACTGGTGGGAAAAGGTGCGCTTTGCCGAACATAACGATATAGCTTGGAGTATGGATTGTCTCCGAATGGTAGAGCTCCCGTTGTCAAACGAAACGCGATGACACCAACGGCCCAGATATCGACTTCAAATGAATAAGCCCGATCTACTATGCAATCACTGGACTCTTCGTCGGCGTGAGTGAAGATATGGCATAGTTCGGGTGCCCAATACGGTGGTGTACCGACAGTAGTTCGAAGAGTTGTGGCTTCCTTGCTGCATCCAAAGTCGGAGAGCTTAACCCACCAGCTGGGGCCCTTTTCTTGAACAAGAATGTTCTGGTGTCAAAGGTGTTAGAGGAGATGCAAGACCGGATTGTGCGGAAGAGGGGGTGGGGAGGAGGGAAGTCAAGAAGAGGGAAAGGATGAGTGGTTTAGGAGGATAAAGAAGGCAACACCCACTGCGGGTTTCAAGTCTCGATGAGCAAACTTGTTTTCGTGCATGAAAGAGAGGCCTCGAAGAAGTTGCCGAGTGATAGTGGATGCTTCGCCATCAGGGAGTGGTCGGGTGATATGGGACTGCAGATCGCCAAGAGGAAAGTACTGCATGGTAATGAACAGTGACTTTGGCGTCTGAAACCATCCGAAGGAGGAGACGAAATAGTCGCGGTACTGCAAGTCATATTCCTTAGTCAACATACTGAAACAGGGTCATAGGACTATACCTGTTGGTGCGAAAACTTGATGAGAGCCGAGAGCTCCTGGTAGCAGAACTTGTTGCTTGTATGCTCTGAAGATTGGCGCGACATTTTGGATAATTCTTTCACAGCTCGAAGATCTCCTACCCGAGGACCTGTGGTGCATTTCTGAAGCCAGACTTCACCATAGCCTCCTCTACCCAGCATCTCTAGGCGCTCCCACCTCTCGTCAGTAGTCCACCTCTGTTGACTGGGATGACACGTAAAAGTGTCGTTAATTTCTTTGACTTCGAGCTCCCATTGTTGAATGAGTTGATCATTGTCCATGGTGAGCGGCGAGGGGTGATGCCACTTCAGAAGACGGGGAAGTCGAGAATTGCGGGGAAGTGAAGGGTAACATAGAAAACACGCGCATGCAGCAGCAAGGCAAGGCAGACAAATAACAGCAGGATTTAGCCAAGGTAGAAACATGGCTTGTTGTGGCGTAATCTGTTCCATGTCTTGGGCGTCTCCAATTTCAAGGTGCAGCCTGACGTTGGGGCCATTCACAAGAGCTTGTGGCTGCTTTGTCGTGGGCCAATAGGCTATAACTGTGACCCAAGCTCACCGACCGGAACCGAGTTACTAATATCGTAGAATATAGTAAGGGAAGAGATGCTCAGCTGCTTAGTCCTGGACATGGGATTGAGAGATTTGAGGTGCATAGTTATTCTTGTTAAGAGAATTTTATCAAGTCATGAACTGAGCGACTAGAATGAGGTTTACCCTTCTAGTGGGAGAAATCCAAGCAGGGAGAAGAAGACAAACACCTGAAAGCAATGCTAATAGGTTGGTAAATTTAACAAAAATGAACCATTGTTATCCGTAACTAAACAGCGGCTCAAAGCGATGCTCGTGGCGATAACAAATAGTTGCGCTGGAAGGGAAGCCAAAAAAGACAGGACGCACTCCGGTACAGGGAATCGAACCCTGGGCTCCGCGGTACTTAATCCCTCAGGTTATGAGAGCGCGAAATGTTAGCCACTACACCATACCGGATTGGTGATCATTGGGACCCTTGTCCACGAACATGTCGGCAGCAAGGGCGCAGGCAACCCCCAGCTTGATGACGGTAATGTTAGTTCAAGCAACGTTGTTACCAGCTCGAGTCTTGCAACAGGCGAGGATCAGCCCGAGGTAGCTTTTTTTCGTATGATATAGATCCCTCGTGCTAGTTCTCGACCAGTGAAAGCACCTACTCACCCATGTCTGGTGAAACGAGAGGTGATGGATGGGCATAGTACTGTCACCTCGCATCCGACCCGGCCCCCTTGAAAAGGTCTTTTGGCCGTGTGATCTCTGTTACAAGGGTCTCGATGCACTAGCTAATAGATCCGGTTGTGGAGAGTAGGTAGTTCCAATATCGCTTCAACGTCTCGGGGAAGGGTCCCACTCCTCTCCGCCCGACATCCGACGCTGCTCCCGAGCCCCTGGATGAGGGGCGATAGCTGTTGAGAAGGCAGTGCTCTATTCTTCCATGGTTGCCCTGGTAGTCAGCTGCTAAACATATTTTCTTTCTTAGCCAGCACTGCATTGCAATACTCCTAGACAAAGGATCCATTCCCGGCCTCTGTTCATTCCCCCTTCACCACGACAGGACCAACCATGCACATTCTTCAGCGTGCCCCGATAGATGTTGAGGCAACACTTGCCTCGCTGACATTATCTGAGAAGGTCTCTCTCCTTTCAGGTCCGCATCTTGACCACCTCCTTGGTATCTCTCCATCAACTCACGCTTTACAGGCGCCGACTTCTGGCACACCGAGGCCCTACCATCCCACAACATCCCCTCAGTGAAATGCACTGATGGACCTAACGGAGCCAGAGGCGGTCGTTTCTTCAATCCCGTCCCCGGACTCTGCATTCCCTGCGGAACGGGATTGGGCGCCACTTGGAATCCCGACCTGCTTTACGCCGCAGGCCAGCTCCTCTCACGAGAGTGCGAGGCCAAGGGCGCCCATGTTTGGTTGGGTCCTACGGTCAACTTGGTCCGTGGTCCCCTCAACGGACGCGGCTTTGAGAGCTTCTCTGAAGATCCCTACCTGAGCGGTGTGCTGGCTACAGCCATTATTCGCGGAGTGCAGAGTCGAGGAACGCTCGCTGCTCTGAAGCACTTTGTGGCTAATGACCAAGAGACTGACAAAATGTCGACTGATATTTGCATGTCTGAGAGGGCCTTGCGAGAGGTGTATCTCAAGCCTTTTCAGATGGCTGTCAGAGATGGAAAACCAAGGGTTGTAATGTCGTCCTATAACAAGGTCAACGGTACCCACGTTTCGGAAAGCCAGAAGCTTCTAGACCAAATACTAAGGCAGGAATGGCGCTTTGATGGCCTCATCATGAGTGATTGGTGAGACTCTACTTGTTGAGGTAAATGTCTTGATTGGTTCACTACTAACGGCAACAGGTTCGGCACTTATGGGTGCAGTCGCTCCTTGAACGCCGGCGTGGATATTGAGATGCCCGGCCCATCGAGGCACCGAGCTGATAAAGTCATCGTGGCTGTCACTTCAGGCAAGGTGTCTGTGGACACGATCGACGAAAGAGCTAGGAAAGTACTCGAATTTGTCAACAACACGGCTGCAGCGCGAGTCTCACCAAAAGAGACAACTCGTGATTTGCCGGAGGATCGGGCCTTCAATCGACGTCTCGCCCAGGAGAGTATCGTTCTTCTCAAGAACTCGGAAAACATTCTTCCCCTTAGACCCCAGGACTGTCAAGACGTTGCCGTTATTGGCCCGAACGCCAAGCTTCCTGCCGCTTGTGGAGGGGGAAGTGCTAATTTGCGACCCTACTACACGAGCTCCGTCTTCCAAGGAATTCGAGATCAATTACCATCCTCAGCACGTCTTCATTCTGAGCCAGGCGTATTCGGGCATCTTCTCTTGCCCTACTTCACAAGCGAACACGTCGTCGATGAGTTTGGGCAACCAGGGGTGTCCGTCGCATTCTTTAATGAGCCTGATTCTGTCCCGGATAGAAAACCCTTTGACAGTCAAAACGTTCCAGATACTACCTACCAGCTTATGGACTACGACCACCCAGAGAAGAAAGACGTGTTCTATATATCAATGCGGGCAGACTACAGACCAGATGTCGACGGTCTGTACGAGTTCGGCCTAGCCAGCTACGGTGTTTCAAGGCTTTACATCAACGACCATCTCGTGATTGACAACGAGGCAGAGCAATCTCATTGCGGCATGTTCTTTGGTCACGGCTCATCAGAGAAGCGTGGAACTTTTGAGATGTCGTCAAATCGTACCTATCACTTGCGCGTGGAAGCGGGAAATGCGCTGACGTCCAGGGTGACTGGGGGTGCAAGTTCAATGTTGCCTTTACCAGGAGGTGCCTGTCGGCTGGGCGGGTGCCTAAAGCTTGATCCGACCGAGGGAATTAGCCGGGCTGTCTCTTTAGCAAAACGATGTCAGCAGGTCTTTGTCGTTGTCGGCTTCAACTCGGATCTAGAGAAGGAGGGCAAGGATAGAGACTCGATGGCACTTCCACCCCACGTCGACGATCTCGTCTCAGCCGTACTAGAGGTTCAACCAAACACCATAGTGGTTACTCAGGCTGGTAATCCAGTGGCTATGCCATGGCGTCACAAGGCCAAAATAATTCTTCACAGCTGGTATGGGGGCAATGAAGCAGGAAACGCAGTTGCCGACGTTATCTTTGGCAAGATAAATCCCAGCGGAAAGCTGCCGATGACGTTTCCTAACCGACTCGAGGACGGGCCTACATATCTGAGCTTCGGAAGTGACAACGGCCAAATATACTATGCGGAGGATGTGTTCGTTGGACATAGATGGTTCGAGGCTCGTGGTATTGATGTTGCATTTCCATTTGGGTAAGAATGCCTCTCTACCTACCTCTATACTGATACAGTTCACTAACCGGTTCTAGGCACGGTCTGAGCTACACGACGTTTGGAATATTCAACATCAGAATGGAAGGCACTAATGTCCTGGTGGATGTTAAAAACACTGGGAACTTGACGGGTGCTGAAGTGCTACGACTATACATCACGTTCAACACGACCAAATCTGGCAGGAGGTCTAGATTCTTGCGGCCACTTCGAACGCTTGCGGGCTTCCAGAAGTCTCTTCTAGAGCCTTCACAAAGCAAAACCGTGGTCATGCCTCTAGATAAGTATAGCACGGCTGTCTGGGATGTCAAAAGTGACAGCTGGTGTCGTGAAGCGGGCACGTACACGATTTCTGTTGTGAGTTCGAGTGGGTGGTTGGAAGCGGATTTTGTTGAAGGCAAGGATAATTATTGGAACGGGCCTTGAGGAACAATAGACATAGGAGCGCAAATTAACAAGATTTCTTTTCATTCATTACTACGGGGAGGTGTGCCATCTTAAATACGTTTGGTTGTCGGAAACGTCGCTCGACGGCATTAAACTCCGCCACCACTAAATGCATGCGAATTTCGACTTCGTAGGAAGAAGCATATGGGGGCAAATAGGGCAAGAGAGATAACCGGCTGCACCGAGAATATAACACATTTACAATTGACTATTGCGGTATTTCAACTCAGAATTACAAGCGTTGACATGTATTAATAGCCTGCTCTACTGAATCGAGCCAAGACTCAGGCTAGTTACGCCCCAAGTGGAAAAGAGGAATTTATATGAGAGAGGTTGCCTGTTTCATTGTTCATGGCTAAGGCTACGAGCTACATTACTCTATAGACTTGAGATATGTTCTAGATCAGGCTAAGATCTGGCTATGAACCCCCCGAGACATCTGATCTATAAATCCATAGAGCTGAAACCCAAGCTGTCCATGGTCTACTCCTTATGGCTCGTAACGACCACGCCAACTCCCTTCTCAGCTCCATCAGCCGAATCAGTCGCAAGGTCTTCTGCCTTGTACTTGCCAAACTTTCGCAGGCTCACGTTCTGGTTGAACAGACGATCGACCTGCTCAAGAGACTTGCCCTTGCACTCAGGAACGCAAAAGTACACAAAAACGATGGCCAGCGCGAGAATCCCAGCAAAGACGAAACCGAGCTTGGACCCGAGCCCTGCATACTGGTCATACAGCAGGTAAGGGATACTGAAGCTGACGGCGAAACTCGTGCAAACGTTAACAATGGAGGCGGTCCGCTGCGAGGCATCTCGGAGACGCAGAGCCGGGATCTCGGTCGTGACGACGTAGTTGAGCGGTGCAAAGGCAAAGGTAAATCCGGAGCCGAACAGGGTAAGCATCGCTACGATGCCTGATTTAATGCCGAAGGAGGGGTTGGCAACTGTTCCGAGGGCACCCATGGTGACAATCGCTGAGAACATCCATCCGGCACTCGTGAATAGAAGGGGGCTGTCCATAATTAGCCAAGTTCAAGGCCGGGTGCACCTTGACAGAAGACTTACCGACGACCAAGCCGATCAACGAAATACAGGCCGGTAAAGGCAACAGTAAGGTTGACAATTGAATTGATGATGCTCATGGTGAAGGGGTTTATGGTTCCGATATCGCGAATGAAGATAGTACCGTAACTGGAAGCAAATGCCTGGCCAGTGGCTTGTTGGAAGAAGTTCATGGCAACGACAATTCCGGTTCGCTTGAGGTTCTTCCCCTGGAAGAGTTCAACGTATCGTCCCTGCTCAGGTTCCTTCTCCAACGCGTATTGAAGAGCTGCAAACTGCTCATCGATTTCGGCCTCGGTTTGTTTTCCTTCGCGCAGTTTTCCGAGAGCCGCTCGTGCTTCTTCGGTTCTATCCTTGGTCAGGAGCCAGCGCGGGGACTGTTCAAGTAAGCTTAGAACATCTAGAGAGATTGACAAGTGGCTCACCTCTGGGATGAAGAAGATCAAAATCATGACAATCACGGGGATGATGAAGAAGAGCCCAAAAGGGATTCGGAAAGACAGGTTTCCGGATAGGGAACTCGTGCCTCTGCAGACACAGCTGACAATGAGAGTGCCCGTCTAATAAAGTCAGAGAACTGTGATGATGTGACTGGGGGAAGGGGCAATTGTACCATCAAACTGAACTGGTATGAGCCGACTGCGAAGCCTCGAATTTCTTTGGGCATGATCTCGGATTGGTAGACGGGGACGACGGCAAGCTCCATGCCGATATAGATATCTGTATCTGTTAGCGGGACTCGTTCCCAGAGTTTCCCTGGCAAAGACCTACAGTTAAGGATTCTTGTCGCCATAATCTGATGCTTGCTAACCGAAGTGACGGCCATGATGGCTGGAACAAGCGCCCAGGCACTCATCCCAAACATGCACCATCGCCGTCCCCAGCGCTCACTAACCAAACTACCGATGATGACTCCAGCGCCGAAGCCGATGTAGTTCAGACTGTTGAAAAGCGACAGCCATGACGGCGAGATCTTGTACGTGCCTGCCGCTTCGTTCCAGTCGCCAAACTGCCGCTGGAAAGCGTCCATGGCCTGAGTGTTGTTGTACGCGGCATTGTCGAAGCCATAGTTGAAGGTTGATACAGCGATGACGCTGAAAGCGAGGGCGAGATGGCGGTTGAAGTGCTGGAGGATCCTATTGTTGGACAACATGGTGTCGTAGATGGAGAAGGTTGACTGCTTGGCTGCGCAGGCTCTACCAGGGAACCTGACGTGACGAGGTGACGATCTTCTTATAATAGCGAGCTTCAGAGAAGCAACCTTGGAAGGAGCTGGGATGTCACACGAGTCACGCCCACCAGCCCGTAGGTCGTTCGAGACTCTGCAATTCCTGCTCCCCTCCCCGGTCTCAACATCCCGCAAAAGCTCGCTTCCCCATGGGCACAGTCAAAGTTGGATAATTAGCTCCGGGGAAAGCGGAGATGAGTGGGGACGACTCGGATGTCGGGCGGAGGAGATGGTCGCCTGAGGGGTTCCGAAAGGTGACCTTGATCCTCCTCCGCCCGACTTCCTTGACCTGCTCCGACTCTCCTTTGAGATTTTGTATTGATCACCCTGGTACCGAGACCAACTGGCTCTTCTTTGCCATGGTGGATAACTCAAGACGAGACCGATCCCAAGCGCGGATCCGGAAGACATCCGAGATTTGTGCCCAGTGCCGCAACCGCAAGGTGAGTAAAGATTTTCCCGCCAAACTGGACGTTCGGTTAAGCGCAGCGCCCATAGGTCCGGTGCGATGGAGACCTTCGAGGATGCTGCAACTGCAAAAGACTTCGGTTCGAGTGCTCTCTGGTCGCCTCGCCCACCGACAAGGACGATCTACCAGAGCTACTCGAAAGACGGCGGGTTTGGAGAGCGTGCATACGTTGCCGAGATCGCAAGTTGAAGTGTTCCGGAGGATCTCCAGCATGCTCTCGGTGCGTTCAGCGAGGCGTCGCATGCCAATATCCCAGCTCTGCGACGCCGATTAACACCAGTGCACAAGGTGTTCTTCAACCTGCCTCTTCCAATTCACATACTCCAACATCGCAACAGGTGCAAAGCGAGGGAAGCCCACCGCTTGAATCCACGCAAACTACAGCTAATGCGCAAGCCGAGGCTTCGACATTGTCGCTGTGAGTTGCTACTTGGTCCATCATGCGGCGTAGCTAACAGTTATCAAGGGAGTTGGGAATTGACAGACATGCTGTGAAGCAATATATAGAGGCCTTTTTCGAATTCATCTACCCAATTCCCTGTTATGGATTCCTTCACCGAGCGAGCCTCCTCCAAGCCTGGTCCAGGGGCCATCTCAGCCCACTCGTCCTGCGTGCCATCTGCGGCCTCACCACGCGCTTCATCCACCAGAACGACCCAACGCACACAACTCTTGCACGTAAATGGATCCAAGAGGCCGAGTCTGAACTTCTTTCCCGCCTTTCTGAGCCAAGAGTGTCCGATGTCGAGGCCTGGTTGCTTGTCACGCTTGACCAGTACCTCTCACGACAGTTCAGCAAGATGCTTGTCTCCATGTCGTTGACCTCTCGGCTTGCTTATATCCTACGTCTCAACCACGAGAATGACCGACCATCATTCCTTCTACAGGAAAGGCGAAGGCGGCTGATGTGGTCCATCTTCACGACAGACACTCTGTATTCCAGTGGTAAGAAGGAATTCACATCTTGTACTACGGAAACCCTTCATATTCGGCTCCCCTGCAACGAAAAGTCTTTCTCTATGGATATGCCTGTTGCAACAGGGTTGTTGACAAACGAGGTTGATGCTTCCGGCGAGTCAAACATTGGTCTGCTGGGCTACTGCCTCCACGTGCTAGACATTCGCGACCGTTGTCAGAGGTAAGAAGCCGCCATCCTTTGTTAGCCTTGCTTGCTTAGCTCTGATACCTGCAGACTCACGCTGAAGATCAGCAATCATCGAAAACTCTCGGAAGCCTCCCTCACCGCCGTCCAGTCCATCGAGAACGAACTTCAGCGCTTTGGCAATTCCCTCCCTGAGCGCTACAAGTTCGATGCCAAGGCCTTCTCTTTACGGGCCTTCTCTCCATCGCGAACTCCGTTCCTAATGCTACACGCTTGGTGGCATCAGACGCACTGCGACCTCTTCCGCTTTGCGATTCCCGGGTTCCGAGAAGGTCTCCCTGTAACCGAAATCTCCCAGCTATCGCCCGAATTTTCGACTTCTTGCCGCGAAAAGTGCCTCTCTCACGCCTTGGCCGTATCAAGAATTCTCGAGACACCCAAGTTAGTCGGCGGGGCAGACCTGATCAGTGACCCATCCCTCGCCATGTGCGCTTTTCACTCGGCAAGGATCATCTCGAGGCTAGGACAGCATCCAATGGGCAACTTGCCTCAAGATGAGCTCGTTGCGAGGTTATCCTCGTGCGCCGATGCACTAGAGGAGCAAGCCGCGATTTATCCTACCTCTGCCATCTTGAAGAAGGGCATCATGGACCTAGTTAGTGATGCCCAGAGGGATCGCGATGGACAATTTGCGTGCCCGTCAATCTGGGAGGAAGAAGAACGTGAGACCTACCCTCCGGGGAGTTCTACTCTACAGGGCAGAGGAGCCAGAAATCAGGAAATTTACTCGAAGCATAGTGTCAGTGAGGTGGTCCAGAGTCTGCATTTCGAGCCGGGAGACGGCGATGAAGACAGCGCAAATACCCAAGAGACGGGAGTGGAAAATGCACCAGACTCGGCATATCTCCAGGGCCGCCCTGATCTTGTAAACACCCGGCCGACCGAGGTCCAACAACAAACGGCAATACCGGAGCTCTTTGATACCTCGATGCGCGATTTTGATGGCTACCCGGGAGATTCTTTGGGGTATAGCGACGAGTTTTTGGCCCTTGGAGCCGATCCGAGACATGATTACGGACAGCCCGATCTTTTTATGGACTCATTCTGGCCTTTGATGGAGGGAGACTGGATGCCTGGACAGTTGTAAGAGAAGATAGGCAGTTATGATCAGCCTTATAGAAGCCTACAGGCTGTCGGTGTTAGTGCGCTATGTGCCCTAGGAGACTGTTTCAACCAAGGCACAAAGACGGTCGCTCAGAGTAGAAACCAGAAATGGTAAGAACTGTTCTTATTGTTCTGGGCGATGGCTTCCTTTCGTCACTTTGTCCACTAAGATATCAAGACACATGATCCACAAAGGAAAGCATATCATAAACCCAATACCCCCCTGTCCACGACTTCAAACCTCCATCTCAGCCTTTACTTCCTATCCACCTGCACAACAGCAGCCTTGGCCGACGACTCCAAGCCCTCACCATTCTTCTCAAAGCCGGCAGCATCAGCATTCGTATCCAGACCCATCTGCTTCATGGCGTTGGTGCCAACCGCGGCATCTGGACCGTCAAAGATCTCGGCCACCTCCTCAAGAGATCGACCCTTGGTCTCGGGGAAGAAGAACCAGATGAGGGTCAAGTGGATGGCGATAGCGACACACCAGACGATGTAGTACTTCCACGCAATAGCTTCCATGGCGACGGGGTTGGCAAAGGCATTGTAGATGCCAGCCAAGTTACCGGTCAGCTGGTACAACATGGAGGCCTTGGCACGCAGGGAGTAAGGCGTGACCTCCATGATGTAGGTTGCACCAATGGGAGAACAAGCGTGGTACCAGAGGGAAAAGACAAAGATCATGGCGAGAACCGCGCCGGCGTAGCCAATGTGCTTGAAACCCGTCTCCTGGTTGAGGGCAGAACAGATGGTCCAAATCACGTAGGAAGCTCCCATACCAGTCATACCGACGAGGAAGAGTCTTCGTCTACCAAACTTATCGACAAGCATAGCGAAGAGAACGGCAGAGAGGAAACCCCAGATTTGAAGACCGGCGTTGAGAAGAAGCTGAGTCTTGTGGTCGGTGATGTTGATCGAGTTGAGAACCTTGCTGAGGTAGTAAGAGGTGAGGGCATTGCCGGACCACTGTAGCATAGCGGGGATGTACAGGGCGAGGAACAATCGGTGCCAGTTGCCGCGGCTCGAGATCCACTCAGCCCAACGAGACCTCTTCTGAACCTTCTCGACCTCAAGAGTAGCTGTGATCTCGGCCATCTCGAAGCGCGCAAGTCTGGAGTTGGGGTCTCCATAGCCGTGCCACTTGACCAGGATATCCCTGGCCTCCTTGTAACGACCCTTGTAGATCAACCATCGGGGAGACTCGGGGGCGAACAATACCAGAGCTGCTTGGATGACGGAGAAAGTGGCCTGAAGAATGCTGGGGAGGCGCCAGGCCCAAGATCCCTGGATCTGAAAGGTGCCGTAAGTGACCCAAGCAGCGATCAAAGCACCGAGAGGCCACGAGCACATCATGAAGGAGACAACCTGTCCACGATGCGTCGGGTACGTGACCTCAGACAGCAGGGGCGGAGCAGCGGTGGAAACAATACCCAGGCCAAAACCGATGATGAAGCGAGAGGCAACAAACATGCCATAGTTGTGGCTCCAGGTCTGAATGATCGATCCGACAATGATGAGAATGGATCCTCCAAAGATGGGCTTTCGTCGACCGAGCCAATCGCAGAGCTGAGACGAGACAAGGATCGAGATGAGGACGCCACCGTTGGGACCAAAGGTCATGGCTCCGAGACGCGTTCCCTTGGGTTCGCCAAAGAACTCTTGCCATTGAGGCAGAGACTGCATACCGTTGAGCATACCTGCATTGTTAATTAGTTTGAAGCCACGGTAACAAGGAACTCGGTTCACATACTCGCATCGAAACCCGTCGCCGTCTGCGTCAAGAGACCACTGAGCAGAAGCAGGTTCAGCTTCCAGAGGGTCCAGTCAGAGTACCACGGCTTGCGATCGCGTGGGATGACATCGGCGAGTACAAGGCCCTGGAAGTCATCGCCGTCGACACCAGGAAGGTGAGCTTCTTCGTTTGGAGACTTTGCCATTGTCAAGTATGTTTCCGAGTGACAATTGCTAAGTGACTTGGCTTGTCGTGCCAGTTGATGAAGTGGTGATGATCCAGATCCACAAGGTGCTTCAACCGTCTTTAAATCTACGAGGTTCTGGGGTTGAAGCTGGAGAAGCTTGTATTCGGCCACCGCCTGCCGGCACATGGACCGACGCCCATTCCCCATGGGCACACGAAAGAGGAGAACCTTGTTTTAGGCCCGGACGAACTGTCTTCTGAATGTCGAGGTATTATTGGTGCGCCTCCAAGGCCCGGGGGTCCCTTAGCCCGAGGCCCGATGCATCCTGACTCAAAGTCGTACCCCTACCCCGGATCTACCCCAGATTCACTCCCACACCAACACCGTGAAGCTCAGGTCATGAGCCTGTTAAACTGGTTCCTCCGGTAGCCGACGTCGGGGAAGACGGAGCCGGCGGCAAAGCACCCCAACCTACCCCGTGAAGATCATCATGCTACCACTTGGAGATCCCCGCATGTTGTGAACCGCGGCATAACCGTCGGGCTAACCGTCGGGCATGACTTAGCCCGGCCACCCGGTTTCCACCAAACAAGAAGAGGAAGAAAAGAGGCTCTCTTCATGCAACCTGGACTAACCAACAAAATTCCTTTCAACCGAGATTATCATCATGGCACCTCATGCAGACCGAGCTTCTGGCGATGTCGAGGCCGACTCCGCGCCTAGAAACGGCATCAAATCTCAGATCGTCGATTCTGAGCCGTCTCGCTTGGAGTCGACTCTACCTCTAAGAAGTCAGTTGCTCGAGTTATACGAGGACAATATTGCAGCCAAGATCATCAAAACAGCGGTCAATGGCCTTGTCGACAACGTGAGTACCAGTCAGCAGATTGATATGTCGTCTCACATACTGACCAGCATCAGAATCCCCCAGCAGCCTACCCGGAGTATGTTCTCCAAAGTGGCCCAGAAGCAGGCGAATACCACCTTCGGGAAGCCAACTTCTGGACATGCGGCTTCTTCCCAGGCAGCATCTACTCTCTAGTAGAACGTCTCGTCAAGTACCCACAGACCGTGCCGGGTCAGCAAAAGCAACAACTCCTCGAGAAGCTGGTCACTCTCGGTGATGCTTGGGCTGAGCCTATCCACGCCATGGCTCGTCGGACCGACACTCATGACATGTCTTTCATGATCCAGCCGTCCATGCGCGTGCGATGGGAAGTTTTGCATGACCAACGCGCATTGGACGCGATTATTACGGCAGCGCGGTCACTTCATACGCGTAACAACAAGACTGTTAACGCTATCCGATCTTGGGATGTTCTAGACCAGAAGGGTGTGGACATCTCAAGCGCAACAGAGGATTTCCTTGTCATTATTGATTCAATGTGCAACTTGGACCTCCTTTACTACGCTGCAGCGCAAACTGGGGAGACCCAGCTGGCAGATGCTGCTACAGCACATGCCAAGACACTTATCCGCTCTCACCTCCGTCCAGAGAAGGATCCTCGCGGCAACAAGAAACTCTTTAGTCACTTTCACGTTGTCAACTTTGATCCCCGGTCAGGAGATATCAAGGACCGTCGTACTGGACAAGGATATGAGGCCAAGTCCACGTGGGCTCGTGGTCAGGCTTGGGGTATCATGGGATATGCTCAGACATACCTTTGGACTACGGATGTCGAGTTTTTGGAGACCTCGATTGCCATGGCTGAGTATTTCATCATGCGCTTGGAACTATCGCCATCGGTGGTAGAGCTTTCAGTCCCTGGAGAGAATCGCAAGAGAGGTCGCTATGTCCCTCTGTGGGACTTTGATGCGCCTATTCTTGACGAGAGCAACCCGCTCCGAGACTCTTCAGCTGGTGTCATTGCTGCAAATGGCATGCTCATCCTTTCTCAGGCGTTGGCAGGTCTACGTCGCTTCGAGGAGAGCAAGCGATTCCAAGACATGGCCATCACCATCATCAAGGATACACTTGACTTTTCTCTATCTCAGCAAAAGACGAAAACTGTATACACTGATGGAGCCGTTTCAACTGAAGAGGTTGAGGCAGGTAGCCGGTTCGACGCCATTCTTCGAAACGCGACGGCCAACTACAACGCCAAGGATCACAAGCGTTACTGGGACCACGGGCTGGTCTATGGGGATTATTATCTAATTGAGTTTGGAAACCGGTTACTGAAGATGGGATTGCTTTAGAGATAGATTTCGTTTGGCTACGATGCGTTGAGAATTGGATTCTTTGCTCCGCGGCTGACACTCTTTTGGATTCGGTACTAGGGTAGTGTGCAAACAACAATAGACGACATTTTCACTTCTCCTCTTAGTGCATGATAAGTCTGACACGATGAACGCAGCTATCTTAGATACCTGATTGGGGAGCCTAGTCCAAGGATGATACATTGCTGGTCTCGCCGCAGGCCGTATATCATATCACAATATTGACCTCGCTACCCTATCCCGAACACGGTCTTAAATAGAGCCCTATACACCATGGAACCCGTAGCCCATAACGACCGGCATCCGAGCTCGTCCAATCTCCCCCATAGTCGTCGCATTGATAACCACCAAAGAACGAGCCCTCTTCGTAGTATCCATGGCCACTGTCAAGAGAACACCATCGTCCTCACACTCGCCGCCCGGAGTGGGCACAAAGATTGGCTCAGACGGGAGGTGCTTGACAGATGGGGTCCAAGTCTTAACCTCCTTGGTCTGAGTGTCAATCTTGATGATGGAGTCGCTAAAGTAACCCTTTTGGTTGACGTGAACACCGTAGGTATACCTATAAGGGCGTGCGTAGAACTTTTCGTTGATTCGCGGAAGCTCAATGTTTGCCTCGGCATAGGGTAGCGTGAAGTCGACCTCGGTGGTGTGTGTGATGAGGGATCCATTGGAGGCACGAGCATTGCCACCGAGGCATGGCAGACGGTATCGAGTGAATGTACCAGCAATATCGTTAATGGATGAGCCGTGGGAAGTGCCGATGTTTGCCCTCAAGTTGGACACCTTGGCTGCGCTCAAGAAGCTCGCATCCGGCTTAGTCGGCAGATCGACGTAGATGTCCCCATTTTCTGTCTCGAAAGAGTTGATCTGGTGGAATGCAAAGAATGCATCCTCCGATTCATACTTGGCGACGACGCCGCCGTTGACACGATCAATGACGTAGAAAAGTGACTTCCGGTCGGGATTCCATGGACCCATGCTTTCCATGACGGTTCTTCCAGGCTTGACAAGATCAGCCTGCCAGACGATGAGAATGAGGTGGTTCTCTGTGCCAAAAAGGGAATGAAGGTAGGCTGGCGGCGCGTCGGTGATATTGGCAAGGATTTTGGCTTCACCACTTGGAGGCTGGATACCAAAGACGCGATAAGTAGGAGTCTTGAGAGACATGTCGAGGAGATAGTTGTAGATGGATCCGTCCGTTCCAAAGAATGGGTGAGCGGCGGTCCGTCCGTCATTGCTCAGTAGTGGATTCGCAGCTCGGTAGGTGAAGAGCTCAATGGGCTCCAGAGTGACTGGGTCGATCTGCTGCAGGGAATTGGCATCTGTCGTGACGACCAAAGTGTCGAAAGGCGATCCGACGCTGCTGGTGTTACGATCCAAACCAGCAAAGTTAGGGATGAAGGCAACGCCGACATTGTTGTTATCACTGTCGCCGTGAGTGTTGTTTCCATCCCTGAACGTGGTCTCCATGGCGCCGTAGATGATCTTGCAAGGGTCCGTTCCGAACGAGCCCGATGGATAAAGACCCGTCTCTCGGACAAAGTGAATAAGCTCATCAGTTGAGTTGCGGCTTCTGTAGGTGACGGCACCATTGGCAATCTCGAACTTGTGGTTACGACTGAAGCCGTCGAACCAGTGTTCAGCTGTAAAGTTGCCGACGTCCCAGGTACCTGCACCGCCACGGTACAGAGATCCGGTGAGCCATGATGGGATTTCGCCATCTATTTCGAGTGCGGTAGGCTCTTGGATCTCATGCGTGGCGTAGAGTCCCAAGGCCAAAGGGTTGGCGTCGGGAGGTGGACCGATTGCAGCGGGCAACTCAGAGGCTTTGACAGCTCTGAAGCTATTCAAGGCCAATGGAAGAAGATGCAAAAAGCGTTGCATGATGGTCTAGTGGTGCTTTGATCTGTGCTGAAGGAAGAAGATAAATTGTGAATGAAATGAAGTGCTTGTTGCTGTCTTTTCGTTTTAGGTGCGTTGACTCTGGATTATATAGTCTGCTTGCCATTGTGACATCTACGATTCAGCGTAACTATATCGATTTGCTCTTCTCGTCATGTATCCATTTGTCTGACTAGCCTCTATCGTCAATTAACAACTGCTAGATGCGAGTGCGAGTGCGATCGCCAATTCAGCCAATGACCATCTTTTAAAGTCAGTGACGTAAACCTAGGAGCCGTCGGATCTCCGTTCGGACGAATCAAGCAGCTTCTCTTTAGTGCTGGAGATCGACAGGTGGCTCAGCATTTCGTCGTCCTGTCAGCATTTCTTTGATGGTCAATTAATAATGAGGCACAGCCCTGTGGACGCGGCCTGGAGATCTCGGGACCCGATCGTAGATTTCGACAAGGACGAGGGCATCATATTGGTCCCTGGACAGATTCCGACGGAGTTGGATTATTGGATTAATATACAAGACTCGCATTCGCACTACAGCATAGCCTTCAGCCTGTGTCATGTCGATTGAATTGAGTATGCATCTGTCCTGTCCATGACGGTGTTTATGTGGAAGCCGCTGTGTTCATCACGTACCACCATTGTACACGCGTCATCTCCTATAAATCTCGACTATCAGTCCAGAGATAGAGTCCAAATATCCATCATTCGTTGTAACCATGAATAGAACACCCACAACCCACCATGGTGCGCAATCCAGAGCCGACTCTAGTGTCCGAGCCGTACAGGTTGGCATAGTCGCCGACGTGTGTCTGACTGCCCTCAAACTAACCGGAGGGTGGGCATTTCAATCCAGCTCTCTTTCCGCAGACGGTTGGCACAGCGCTGGCGACATGACAACTGACCTTGTTGCGCTTGTTGTTGTGCATGCCTGCCAACATTTACGCACAATCAGAAAAGACACGTCGGCGGCTAGACTCCTAGAGGAGACGTCATCTCTCGTTTCATCCGGTGCTCTTGTCGCTCTTGGGCTACAGATGGCATGGGGGAACATGACGAGTCTTCAACTGCAGTTCTTCGCAGCATCATCTGGCATTGACACTCCTCTCGATGTGGCCACGGGGCACTCACTTGGCCCCTCCAGCACAAATTTCCATGCGGCGTGGATAGCTCTTATCACTGTCATCGTGAAAGAGTGGCTTTATCACAGAAGTAAGTACCCATTGTGCAGAGTAAAAGCTGTGTACTGAAAATGACAAAGCACTCAAGGTCGCAAAGAATCAGTGCTCTGCCTTGTTGAAATCAACAGCCATGCACCACCGACTAGATGGGCTCATGAGCCTCGTCACCGTTGCAGCTGTCGTCCTTAGTAGCACGGGAATCGGGACGGCGTGGATAGATTCCTTAGGCGGGCTTTGCATTTCCATTCTTCTTTCTCAGGGGGCGCTTCGAAATCTCATCACTGTCTGTAGTGGGTTGGTCCAGTGATGCCATGGGCCAATAACTGTTGCGTTATGGGGGGTAGAGATGAAAATTTATTCCCTTTTACATCTTTTACAATGCATCAGCTCCCTTTGATCATTCCATGTACTGCAATCGTGACTTGACGTGAGAGAACCTCTGCTTCGTGGACCTCTCCGCAAGGGGCCATGCAAAGGACCCTAGGGCAGCATGGTAATCCCTAGCAGGTGTTCAGCAGAAAAAAACAGTGGTCTCCTCTTTCTAAGTTACGTCGCCAACGTATCCCCTGAAGGGAATCAACGGCAAAGGCACTATAATGAACCATAAAGCAGTAACTATGGACATCCCCATCGGCGGAGTACCTTGAGACTTCCGCCGATTTGCACGTGGTATCTATTGGGTCAGGAAGAGAGATAGATAGTAGCGTCCAAGTCGGCGGAAGTCTCAAGGTACTCCGCTGATTTGGACGTTACATTGACGATGTGATCGTCTTAGCCTCGTCCTTGAAGCCCTTGATCCAAGTACACTCCTTGTTTCGAATGCGCGAATGGCCGGAGTCGGTAGGCTTATATGGGACTTTGGGTCTGAGGTCACATCGTGGCAGCCAATCGCATCTCACATTTGACGCATGATACATCGACCAGAGCCCAACCAAGCTGTTGGGTCATCAACGGGAATGTTTGGTCATGTAAGGGGAGACTGTAGGAGTGTTGGCGTACTTTGCTTCTCAGTAAGCCATCCAAGGAGCAGTCGTAACAGAACAAAGTTCATCTTCCGGTACTATTCAGTTTCGCCAGTATCAATGTGGTAATCTGAATTAGCCTACCAGCCCTATCGCCAACTCCAACACCCCTTCGACATTGATTCCACATCCAATTGCAGATCATGTGGAGTCGAGGCCGGCTCAAGAACCAGGGGCCGTCTTTAGTTCCAGCCCTGCGATTAACAAGACAGAGAAAATGAACGCAACGGTCCAGTGGTGAATGGTTTCTGGACATTAGCAAGGGGCAATGCCCGCATGCGTTGGATTGCAAGTGGAGAGAGCGACTGCCGGCCGATGGTCCGTGGGTGGCCCGTCGATCCTTGGCGGCGGCGGCGGCCGACCCTGGTATTAGTTGATTCATGCTCTTTCGGCCAAAGTTGCCTAGTTTCTTGCTTTTGAACGTTAAAGTTATCTCGCAATGGATTGGCTCTGGTCATGGCTTAGCCACAAAGTTCCCGACGGTTGGGCTAGTCTTGGGACTCGCCGAGTTAAGGAGTGGAGATGATACTACAATGCAATGTACACCGACAAGGTTGCGACCATCAAGCTGTGGAATCATTGGGGGGATGACAACAGAAGGCACAAGGCATGAGATTTAATATTGATAGAAATATCTGGCTCATTCCCATGGGCCTCAACTGAAAGATAAATAGCTTTGACTTTGCCGCTATTCTTGAGCTCAGCATCCAACTCAACAAGACTCTTCACAGCATCAACAAATACACCGCTCACTACATTACTGAGCACGGATGCCTTGCTTGCGGCAGTGTCCCTACCGGCTTTCCTGGTAGCAACGATGTTGCCCAGGGCGAGCTGACCTTCAACTACGTCTCCAACCCATGCACTGGATTCACCGAGGGTTCCAAGCGATGCTGATTGCGCTTTGGGCATCGGAGGTTGTGGGGGATGTTAACTTCTAAGTCAGGCGGGCCCAGGAAACCGTGAGATGAACAGCATGCTGGCCTGGACAATTGTACATAAACCGTCTCTTTTAGTCTGAAGCATGTTTGTCGCGGGGGAGAGGGGGAGAACGTACATACATCAAAACGCAATCTCAGTTTATCAGCCAACTACCAGTTACGTAGACAGCAACCCTAGATGTGAATGACAATGAGATATGCCAGTGCGTGTATGAGAGCTCTTGGGGTCAAGGGTGGATGTAGAAACCCGTTGGGAAACGAGACGAGCATTTTGATATGCAGCCTTGCCGATGTGTGAGGAATACAGACGAGGGGAAGATCATTCCGTTCATGCGAGCATGTATTGTATAGATGAGGCACAGCAAATCTCATTCCATTGCGCTTCTTAATGCCAAGCGACAACAGTTCCTACGCATCCAAAGCAGCCAATCTACTGCGTAACCAAAGCCCATTCAATGTGATCAATATCGAAGAAGCCGACATGAACGCCGCCGCAAGGGGTCTGACGAGATCAATCAGTATCATTAATCTATGCCAAGGAAGACACGACTCACGGAGTCAAGACAACGCCAAAGGGGCTGAAGAATCCAGCGGCCATGCTGAGTGCCAGGCAGTTGTAGCCCAAGACCCAAGCGAGGTTATATCTGATCTGCTGGACAGTGTGCTTGGCAATCTTCAGAAGTAAGGGGATCGAGTCCAGGCGTGAGTTGAGAATCACGACGGATGCACCCACTGTAGGGGTTGCGGCTTCGTGATAAAGGGCAATGCCGACATCAGCGGCAGATAAGCTTGGGGCATCATTCAATCCGTCTCCAACCTTGAAAGAGAGTTAAATAAGAATTGAGGTCAAGTTCGATCTTTTAGTACTTACCATGGTTACCATTTCCCCGCCACTTTGAAGACGCTTGATCCAGTCCAGCTTGTCCTGGGGTTTAGCTTCAGACGCCAAGACAGGAATCTCAAGCTCCCGGGAAACTCGCTGAGCCGAGTGAGACACATCTCCGGTAAGCTGTTCAGCCATCAGCAACCATAATAGGTTCGTCGTCTCTTTCCGCTAATCACGTACCAATTTGGTCTCACAGCCCATGAGATCGAGTTGTCTGATCGTAGCTTTGGCGTCTTCCCTCACGGCGTCAGTGACCAACAGCGTTCCGGCATACGCGTAGTCTACGCCGATGTGAACAGCTATCACTCCATGATCGGACTCCTCGGGGGTTTCTGGAAGATCGAGTATGCCGCAGGATTGAAAGTACCGTAGACTCCCGATGGTGACATGCTGCCATGGCTGACTCGCTATCGACACGTCCCCCGAGATACCCATACCTGGCTCCACCGTTACACCTTCAGTGCAAAGGTCCATCTTAGCCTCGACCCAAGGATTATCGAGGTGTGCAACTCCAGCCGAGAAGATAGCTCGCCCAAGAGGATGTGTCGACATGGTGTGCTCCTCGACTGCACAGATGTACGTCCAAAAGTCTGTGGTATGGTGAACCCATGTCTTTGACGTCTGGAAGTGCGAAACGTCCAACGTGGCCTTTGTGAGGGTCCCAGTCTTGTCGAACACGACGGTTTGAGTATCGCGGAGCTTTTGGATCGTGGTGAATCCTTTGGTAAGAACTATGCCCTTCTGGCTCGCGACGTCTGGTACGGCATCAGTCTTTCAGTCTTTATCGACTTGCCTAGGGGCGTCACTTACTAGCCGCTGCCACGACTGCCGAGGGTATCGCCAGCCCCAGTGCACATGGGCATGCGCAGGTTAGGATCGTCATGCAACGCATGATGGCCAAGCGAAGAAAGGTGTAGTTCAATGGATTGGAAGACCAGTAAATGTCTTTCAACGGAACCAGAACAGCCAGAGACATGACGATGAGTACAAAGTAATTCATCATCAGATCTAAAAACTGGAAATCGTCCGACTTGGATCCGGAGGCTTCAACGGCGCTCTGCACCAGCTGTGCGTAAAACGAGCTACCCTGTTCTTTGTGCACGACGCAAACAAGCTGTTCGCCCATATTTCGAGTGCCGCCAAGAAGGAAATCACCAACACTTTTTTTGACCGGCATGGACTCGCCAGTTACAATAGCTTGGTTGATTGAAGCCGAACCAAGAGTGATGTAACAATCGCACGGAATGGTGGAAAAGGATTCGATGATGATTTCGTCTCCGGGTCGAAGGAAGCTCTGGGGAACGAGCTACTAATGGTTAGCGTTATAGTTCTCTGAGTGTGAAGAGAATCATACCTGTCCTGTTGAGTACATCTTCACATATTGGTCTTCTAAGAGCGGCTGATAAACCCGAATCAAGTGCTCAGCCGCGGACCGGCGGGACATGGTTTCGAGATATCTTCCGGAAACCACAACAAGAGCGAGACCAATGACTGAGCTGTAATATGGTGTGGCTTTGATAGGGCCTCGAACCAGAAGGTCAAGGAATGAAAAGGCTGTCCCGAGGGAGACGGATGAGGAGATGAGCGTGTTCATGTTCGGTTGTCCACCACGGACCCATTTCCAGCCATCTATGTGTATCCATGCGATGTATTGATTCTGTGCATATAAGACAAGGGATGCGCAAAATAGATGTATAAAGAATAGGATAAATGAGGGTAGTCGGTCTCTTCCAAATTTTGACAGGAGCAAGCTGACGAGCTGGATAACGGTCGCGCATCGAGTAAGCTGAGAGAAACTCAACTTAAGCCGAGAAATTTCCTCTTTGGACCGTAGAACGTCTATTATCTCATTCGGTGATCGAGGCCCAATCTCTACCCCATATCCAAGATCAAGAACCGCATTCTTGATCGCTTCTCGGTCGAGAGTCGGGTTCTTCCCGATGACAGTGGCTTGCTGAAGCGCCAAGGATACCCTCGCCTTTTTCACACCTAGAAGGCTGTTGAGAGTAGACTCGACGGAACTTGAACAGGCAGAGCAAGTCATGCCCGAGAGCGACAGAATGATCGAGTTTTTCTCGACTCTCTGGTCATCAGCTGCTCTGGGCTTCTCCGGATACTGCAACTCGGACTTGTCCTCATTGTATCGAATCGAGTTGTCGAGATCTAAAAACTGGCAGGCGTTGACCAGTTGGCTGATACAGAAGGCAGCTATGTAACAGCAAGCCATGATGGATGGGCTGGACGGAATGATGTCGTCGGTGGTTACGGTGTTTTACGACATTGGGGTTTGATGTCGCCATAGGTTGATAAGTATATAGTTCGTTATTGTAGTCAATCTCTTCTTTTCAAGAAAATTGCCATGATCATTGACAGTAATATCGTCGCTGGTGAGTCCAACCAGGGCTGTGTGCATTGGTGCGGAGGAGCCGGGGAGCTGCCGGAATATATTGCGGGACAGTCTCCGCACTGAGCGGTCCGACCTCCGACGGCATCCGGACGGAGGTCACAGCGCGAGAACCATACTGTATTTGGTCTAGAATGCTTTGAATCAGAGGAGTCACTGTTAGGACTTCCTCTCTCATGCTTTCCCCATGGCTCCCACAATTGTTTGCAGAGTTACCGGCAATCTCGTCAAGATCTGGGCTCTTGAGCTTAGATAACGCGGGGCAGCACAGGCCCGGCATTTCCGTCGTTGGTATCGAGCACTTTTTCAAGACGACCAATCACATGGACAAAGTCACACTTCAAGGCTGGGACACACTCTCGTTTTAAGCGAGCGAACTACCAACGCCACGAATGACCCGAAATCGAGTTGAATCAGGCTTTGTTGGAGTGCGGCACGTGGGTGGTGGGAACAAGCGTCCCCCTTGCAACGGTTAACCGAGTCATTGGCGGCGGGGTTAGAGCTTACCGTACGCTCGTGGAAGATGGTGATGGACAAAATTGATATAGAATGAGTGATGAGTTGTATCACACACGTTGATAGCTCCAATCTCACTCGCCGTATCAAACACAGGAGCTGAGAGTCTCGGGTCGACCACCGAGCTGTTCAACCCTCACCTTGAGCTGTTCCCAGTCGGACCGGATACCACAAACACATCCAAGGGCAGCTCGTGAGCCCATCTTGCCCAGAAATAGCAAAGATGGACCGTACCATCCCCGCATGCCCCCGGATTTCCACCCCCGCAAGCTACCCTCTTGCGTCGTAGCTTCAACCCGGGGGATCAACTCAACTCGCTCCTCAGGCCGCAAACCAAGGTGCCTTTTGCGTTCCCTTTCCCTTGTCACTTTTGCCCCAGGACGAAGGGAGGGTTACCCCGCTCTCGGCCATGGGTCAACTCTTGGGTCCGGTCTCTGACCAAACTCGTGCTTCCCGAGCAATGACGACGCATTCCCCATGAATCGCAACAAGCCCACAAATCGTTACTTTGACGTTATCTCGACCTCCTTCTCCCGGACCGTCAAACCACCCCATGACTTTGAGTCCTATCTAGAGCCATGTCCACCACAACAACTTCCTCTGCCGCCTGGCAAGAGTCGACCAGGCCCCAGGCGCCGCAGTCTTCGGGGTCCGGAGGCATCCGGCGCATTCGACAGGCGTGCACCAGCTGTCGGTATGAGCTCCGCGTTCCTTTCCGATGCGACGCCATTCAATCGCCAGGATGCGCATTTGCGACATGACCTGTCAATAGGGACGCTGACGCTGACATTGACTCTAGACAGCGAAAGACGAAATGCTCTGGAGACCGCCCGCGATGCATGAACTGTCGGCGCGTCAATCGCTCGTGCCATTACGAGTCTTACTCTGCGACCATGGCCGCCATGGCTGCTAATCCTCTTGCTGCGTTCCCTCCTGGCTTTGGCGACGTAAGACCCCCGATCGAGATGATAGCAATTGCGCGTTGTTAGGCATATCATGGCTAACATGCGATGTCATAGCCGGATCTACTGAGAAGACTCAGCACAATTGAAGCTCAGCTGGCTCGATTGAGTGAACAAGGAGCCCAAGAAGCAAGGTACGTGGGCGCGCTGCGCAATGCTGTGAAGCCATCGCGCAATCTTTGACACACGCTGACATCTCGTGAAGCGCCAGTCGCAAGTTCTCCGATCAGTCCCTAGAAGATGCAGGTTCCCCATCTCGACAGTCAATGCCTTCGCAAGAGTACAGCTTTGACGGCCAGCACCGACTATCCTTTTCTATGCCCTCGCCGTTGAATCAATCCGACTCAAACACACAGTAAGGCCTCACAAAGACTACACGCGACCTACGGTCTACCCCACCTTTCCCGGCTAACTATTATCCAGATCCTTCAGCGCGATGCCGCCCGATGAAATAGTGCAGCATCTGGTCGACACGTACTTCATCCACGCCCATAACCAACCGTATGCGTATTTCCAAGAAGAGCATTTCCGACAATTGCTCGGTCTGATGATTCTACCAAGATGCTTGATCTTTGCGGTTCTGGCATCTTCGGTGAGATTCTCAAACCACGACTACTTCCAAGGACGAACACACGAGGCAATGGAGAGCTATGCGCGACAAGCTTGGTTGAGCGTTCTGAATGAGCATTTGACTGTTGAAAACTGTCCAAATTTGCATGTCGCGCAAACAACCAACCTCTTGGCCATTGTGGACTTTACAGCTGGTCGAACGAGCTCAGGGTGGCTTAAAATCGGCCTCGCCGTCCGAATTGCACAGGATCTGCAACTCATGAAGGAGCCCAGTCCGATGCTTCCCATTGTCGAACAAGAAGAACGGAGGCGAGTCTTTTGGTCTGTATATCTTCTCGACAAGTTGGTATCCTGCGGAAAAGCTAGACCTCCAGCCATCGCCGACGAGGATTGCCATGTTCAGTTGCCCTGTGAGGAAGAGGTCTTTCGAACCGGCACCTGGAAGCAAACAGCCACTCTCCACCAGCTTCTGAACTGGAACACAGATCTTGGTGAGATTCGAGGTCATTTCACGCTTGCTATCCTCGTGGCTTCCGCTCTGGGCCGCTGCGCGCGTTACGTCCTCCACGAGCGCGAAACGGACGATGTGTTGCCATGGGACTCGCGTTCCGAGTTTGCAGCAATCAACTCCTTTCTACTCCTGACGGAACAACACCTACATGTGGAGGACCTCTCAGTCAACGACATAATCGCCAACAACACATTACCCGACGGCTCGCTAGATCACCAAACAGTCGGTCACGCCATATTTGCACGCGTTGTCTTTCACTTATGCCACTGCCTCCTCAACCACCCATTCCTCCTAGCTCTTCGACTGCAAAAGCTCAAGTCAAAGGCCCCCTCGAGTTTCTTATCTAGAAGCTTCCAAACGTGCAGCGAGCATGCCTGCAAGATCCCGGCTCTACTAGATCAGGCGCAGAAAGCCGGGTGCCACGTGGAAGCGTCGTTTTATGCCTATTCTACATGCCTTGCAGGCAGTGTGCTTTCGCTGTTCATCCACGGCGCCTCGAGCAAATCGCAACAACCTCATGAGCTTCTTGAGCCGGGACAGCAATGCCTGAGTATACTGAAAGATATGGGTGCATTCTGGGATCATGCTTCAAAGATGGTAAGTTTTGGACTGCAGCTAGAAACACTGAAGAAGCTAACATGTGAATAGCACACACAACTTGTCAACTTTGACGCACATGCCCAAGCCTTCCAAAGGTTGATTGATCCGCATGCCTCTTTCGAGATTGAGCCAGAACTAGAGGCACTTCTATGGTCCATGGTTGATTACGGCGCCATGTGTGGAAGCTCGAGGTCCACAAGTCCAGAGGGCCAACTGCCTGTAAACTTGCAGTCACCGTCCTTTCTCAACTTTGACGTAGATTTCACAGCCAGTAGCGCTTTTGACATGGCTGGCAGTGAATCACTATCTGGTGTACAGTTTGCCGCATGAAGTGACGATGGTAAATGGGGATAGCGCATAACGTTTGAGAGGTTACGAAAGTGTGCTGAGAGCATCTGGGTTAACCGTTTGTCATGACTAGTCATTTTTTCTTCGTTGAAAGGTAACAAGGGCGGCATGGGATTGAGATAATGTATTCAATTTTGAACAGGTATTTGTGGGTTTATCGAGGCTATATAACTACCATAACAACACCTTTCAAAGCCAACCAGGCATAAGTATGGTGTCAATCACCCTCCTGGGTAGGGGATCCCCCATACTAAACCACACTCGTCCCCGTGTCGGACCGATTCAACTTTTCTGCATCATCCCACTTCCAACATAGGAAGAAACTCGTCAGCCCCCTTATGCCTCTCCTTCACCACCATAGGACGGCTTAGAACTCTTGCTCTTGACCACGTTCGTCAAATCGCCCACTGGAATTTGGATGGGAAAGTCGACAGTGGCGAGCAAGATGGCGAGAAGGATGTACCAGCCGGACAAGCAAGTGACAAAGAGCAATGCTCCAGCGGCCTGAGAAGTAAAACCATTAGCAAAAATGTAGAACTGCAGCAAAAAAGCCAACGTACCTGGCAAAGCTTCGTGGCTAAGGCTGTGTTGGCCGTGTAGTCTTCCGCCCACACCCAAAATGCTCCGACGAGAAGGAACAGAGCTGGGACCAATGTCAAGAAGATGATGACAAAGGCGACGTTAGTTCGTAGGGAACAGATGAGATAAATGATGGATAGGATAGCCATTGCCAACAAGAAGAAGCCTGATGAATGTTAGTTAGCTCATGCAATGTGGGGGTATGGTTCTTTCATACCGAGACTGGCATTGAATCCTTCCGTAGTCATGCCTTCAGCTGCAGACTTGGCATCTGGGGGCGCGTATGAAGAGAATGCAGCAAAAGATGGGTTGAGGATGCCGCCAAATGTGAGATAGAAGCCTCCAAAGCTGCTAAAGACAGTGGCAGGGTAAGTGTTACCCAGGATCCATTCCAAGATGCCGCTGATCAGCATGAGGACGCCTCCTAAGAAGAAGTAGGCAGGGCTGAGAAACGTGTTAGAAGTGTTATGCGAGGTAGGGCAAGAGAAACATACATGTTGGACGAGGCAAACTTACTAGCCCCGCGCCAACCCATGAGGGCAGCCGTCAAAGGCATCAATGCCAGCAAAAATCCTGCAAGTGCCCTATCGTATCATTAGATTGTGGTCTTCATGTGTTGAAAAATGGGTAGGCGCACATAGGAGTCGGGTTGCCAAAGGTCTTTCTAAGATCCCCCTTGACTGCATTCGGAGGAGAAAGGTAGAGCTTCTCAAACATCTCCGGACTCATCGAGATGC